TCAAAACGAGTCCACTGTTTTTTCTCCTCATCAGCGTTTCAAGGGTCAACAACGTCATCTTCGACCCCCACCCACGAGTAAGAACCATCAAACTAAGACCGACCTCGTTGCAGTACGGTCACGCACTGAGTCCACATCGTACCATCGCAAAACACTCTTGGCCCATCACCACGTCGTTCAGGAGCACTCCAGCACCACCGCTAATCTTAATCGCATCGCTCGGACAGGTCGACCATCTTCTCAGTATGAGCATCTAGTTGATAATGACTACCGAGGCAGACCAGAGTGACGTGAGTAGACCTTCTAAAGCATCGCCAGGCCAAACCAAGTCACCTTCCAGCCCACCATGCATCACGGACGGATATCGCTACCTTCATCGACCTTGTCGTGTCTATGATAGACATTTTCATCCAGAAGTCCACTTCTGCCCATTACCTTGGCGACATTGTCTTCGATGTGTCAGAAAAGGAGTACACTTGCCCAATGCCACGCCATCCAATGCATCTCGCAAACGAATTTCAACAAAGTTGACGTTGACACACATTACATGGAGACGAGACAATCAGTATGTTTGAATCAGTCAAATGTACACCCGAGAACTGACTATATGCGCTTAACAGCACTACCGAATTATTTGAAGGGGAACGCGGTGTACTAGAATTGTGTTTGTCGCAGCCACTGTGATCTATCCTATCGCCGAATCCATGACGTGTATAGAAGCATACCTCGCATCTACGATGTTTTCATAGATCCTTGTGTCATGACTATTGACGCTGTGAACGCGGAATTTGATCGCAACTGTGATATAAGTGTAAGTAAGGCGCCTGCCGCGTACTACAGCCTGTCACCGTAACAGTGACCATTGGTCTACATACTACTCAAATGAAATTGTCATATCTTGAATCTCCCTGATGGAATCTATAGAACCCGACATTCGAAGCACAACCGTCGATACGCAGCTGAAAAATGCGCCTGCAATGCAGTGTCCAGCAGGTCTCTTTGTCACTTCCACCATCTCTGCTCACCCTCTTTCCGTGCCGTTGAGCTCTATCTCACCGCCAACCCGTCTGCAAAACACAACAGATTTTCAAAACTTTCATCAGTGTCATGGGCGAGTCAAGCACATCAGCAAAACGAAGAGAAGGGGAACGAGGAACGATGTTGAACTTACCAGTGCTTGAGGCACCTTACGCGGGGGAGAAGGATCCACCACGCTATGGTGCACAGCATCGCCAGGATGCACTTTGGGAAGGTGAGTGACCGCATGTTAATACCTACTGACCTGCTCAACGAGAAACAGGCGGGAATGATGCTCTCCCTCCGCTGTGGCGTGAGTTCAGAATGTTGGACGACAAAGTGTACTATCAAGATGACACATTTGCGATGCATACATGGAATCGACCTCGACCAGGGCTCCGACTAGGTCAGTGAAGAACGTACCACTAGCAGCAAGGAACTCAGGTTAAGCACAGATTATCACAAACAACTCGTTCCCGGATGCGAGTGGTACATCTCACCACTCGGTCGGTCTTACTTCGTCAATCACAATACCAGGACCACATCGTGGAAGAAACCAGCGCCCGAACGTCCACCAGAGAGCTTGACGCCGGAATGTGTCATGGAAGGTCATTCCAGAGTCATTCTGAGCCTTTCCTGTTTGGACAGTTGCAATATAATGAGCGCATCAAGCGATGGTTCAATTCGTCAATGGATGAGAGACGGAGAACCAGTAGGAAAGCCTTGGGTTAGTGACGGAGGGGCAGTATCATCGATGGCAATATCTCCAGACGAAACAGTAACAGTATCTGGATGTGCTGACGGCAAGCTACGGCTATGGCATATAAAGGAAGAGAGGACGGTCGGCGACCCATGGGAAGGGCATGACAGTTCTGTGAACTGCCTCGATTGGTCTCTCAACGCTCGGGAGATCGCAAGCGGATCACATGATGGCACCATCCCACGCTGGAATCCGGATACTGATCGACAAATGGCAGCACCGATAAAGACCATCCAATGGAGGCTTTGCGCTATCAGATACTCTCCATAAGGCGACAAATTCGCAAGTGGCGGGGACGGCAATGTGATCTGTGTGTGGTCAAAAGATGGCAAGCTCCTTGTGGAGATCAAGGGACATGAGAACCTGGTGAGGTCGTTGCGTTGGTCTAAGAATGGTGTACACATATTCTCCGTGTCATCTGATAACACCATCCGAAAATGGCGGTCGACTGATGGGAAGAGGCTCTTTGTGTTTCGGGGCCATACCAACGGTGTACACTCCCTCTGTCTTTCCCATGATGAAAGCTATCTTGTCAGCGCATCAATTGATTACTCAGTTCGCATCTGGGATCTCGAGACGAATCAGCTAGTCGGAAACCCGCTCTTGCACGACGACGAACTCTGCGCTGTTGCTGTGTCCCCTGACGGAAAATATCTTGCCAGCAGCTGGATCAGATGCAAAAGTTATTGTGGAACCTGGAGGCAGCTCTGAAACAGCAAGGCAATGATGATGTGAGTGTGTTTGTAGTGTTTTCTGCGTCTTTTCTAAGCAGGTCTGATTGTTGCTCAGAATGCGGATGAGAGTAATGCAAAGCCCAATGCGAAAGCTCAAGGCAAGTCGTTTGTGCTTCTATTGTGCGCTGTATCTCACTTCTTTACTAGGGACGTGCAGCTCGACCGAGAGATGTGCGTCAATCAGCTGTGAACACCCTAATCATTTGCTCATTCGTCTTGTCAGGTCTTGCACACTACTAGTTTGGTTTCCAAGCAGCAGCCCAACAGCAGAGGCTTGGCGAAATACGTCAGTATAATCTTTCGTTTCTCAGATCATGTAGCTTTAACACTCGTACAGGGCAAAGACTTCTGGGACGCTGATACCAACCCCGCTCCTGATCCTGCAGCTCCTCCTGCAAACCCATCATCGTTTGGCCTTCGTTGGCGTAATTTTTTCGGCTCGCTGCGTTTCAACACTCGACCTGCACATGCACCACAATCAGTACCGCTCGAGCCTCGGCGTTGGAATTTCAGGTCATTTCCTATAGGAATCTCTAGACGTACCGTTGAGGTAGCTCCCTGTCGCGATGAAGATGTGAGTGCTCGACACTACCAATATTCGACCCTCTCAACAAATTTACAGAGATATGGTATTACCCCTGAGACTGACGCCGAAGCGGCCGCAGCTATGCAACGTACAAACAGCGAGGTTGGCAGGTCAATGCAACCAGGTCAACCTCAGGCTGTGTCGGGGACACAAGTGTCTCAGGGACAACCAACAGGAACGCAAGGTTCGAGCGGTGAGACGGGAGCAATTTCTTATATCGAAGTTCGGTGTTGCGGATTGTTCTGCAGTTGTGGTCGTCCCCCCTCGCATGAGTCCTGAAGTTATTTACTAAAACTCTCATTGTCGCTCGATAACTTCCCCTCATGTTCTGCACCACACCTGCTGCGACCCCTACTTGTTGTGTACATATTACCTACTTGGTAGGTGGCTGGACTGTGGCAATCCAGATATTTTTGAAGTAGGTAGATATGTATAAATCCGATGTTCTTCATGATTGACCCTCCTGATACCATTCTTTTATTAACGTCAAACATCCTACTCTATTGAAGTACTAGTTCCACTACCAGCAGACTTCACTCTTATAGTCAGAAAAGAAGACAGTATTTCATTCCCTCTGATTCACGTCCCGAACACACCAAGTTGACCGAGTTAGATCAAGCTGTGTCCTGTGATTCTCATGCCTTTGTGACCCTCTGCATGCAAGTTGAGGACCACCGCGGCGGACGTAGATATTGATTTTGTAGGAGGTGAGGGCGTCTTTGAAGGTGGCGAAATTTGGTGATACTACCAGTGAGGAGGTCGACTGGAGCCAGCTTACCGAACTTAGCCTGAGCTTCATTTCGAATGATTGAAGCGAAAAGACATGTACACGTATTACTACTGATAAACTCACATTCTAAAATTCACACTCGGGCTGCAGCCAATCATACAATCGAACGACAAACCGAATACGATGGTCGAGAGATGATGTTGGATCTATACAACAGATAATTTTCAGGCACAGCCAGCGCTTCAAGTTTTTGCGACTTGCATTGACAGTGTCAACAGACGATAATTGGTTTGTATCATTGTTTGATACTGGATGTTGTGCACTGTCGCTATTGGAAAGCGGTGGATGCATGAAAGAGGAATAATCCTGATCCAAAAGTGTTTGCCGGCAAATACCAGTTGAACGAGTAATGACACGAACCAATGTGCCCTTTTTCCGAATAAATATGGCATAAACACATACGTCAAATAGCACACAGCTATCGATGAAAATGAGCTCATTGTAAGCCTAACTGATTGGCGCACATCACTAGACGGGGTTGCACGTCCCTGGTGAAGTAAATGGTAATCCTTGTCACTTCAAGGGTGCCGCTCAGTCTGACAAGTTAGTTCAGTCATGCGTCGAAAAGGGTCGAAACCTGTTTTCGAGCAACTCTATCGTCGTCGAAAACAGATTTGAAAACACCGTCATATATAAACTGCGCGTAAGGTTTAGCATGAGTCCCATTTAGGTTTAGTGACGGACAAACAAAAGGGTTCCGCTTACAATGTGCTGCATCTGAGATTGCAGTACGTGTTTTTCAAAAACTCGGCCTCGCTACTGTGACCTGTTACCGTTCTGGAATTGATCGGTTCCAAAACTCAAGAAGAACTGCCAACAGCACTTTAAAGGCTGCATATCAGGTGTGAAAAGTATACGCACACGAGCGCTTTCAGACAACCTCGTGCAAACTTAGGCTCGCCTGGCTTATATAACCATGATTTCCCACTCTCAAAGGACGTACGTCAGACGAGTCTAATTGACAACAGAATTGAACATCCCTTTTGGGAACCGATCAATTCCGGAACAGTAACAGGTCACTCATTACTCGGCTAACATCCCACTTAAATAGAGCAACTCGAAAGGTTTCGATGGCCAGTTTGCAAAATTTTATTCAGACGAAGATAGTTCATAATGGTCGCATTTGCTGACCTTTCACTCTCCTTTCTTACCGGCCTCTCTGGCCTCACAGTACGCGATGCTTCTTCAGGATCTCTCGATGCAGCCTGTACAGGGAATACCCAACTTGAAGTTCGAAGCACCGTTTGTGAGCAGATCGCAGCGAATGTCTCGTCGAGCTCCGTAGTATATTACACCGGTGAGTATTTCCAGTCAAGTCCCTCGTGGCAGTGAACCCAAATTTCTATAGGCTCGAGTCAATATACCAAGGACAATTATCACTGGTCTGCGTCTAGTATTCAGGCCTCTCAATGTTCCTTTGAGCCTGCAACAACTGAAGACGTTGGAATTGCGGTATGTGCGAGGCGAACAAATTCAGCACTCACCTCTTGATGTGTCCTTCATATCAGCTTCGAATTTTGGGACAGACGCAGACACCATTTGGAGTGAGTAACAACGGCTTCGGCTTCCATTGTATCTTGATGACTGACTGTCACGAAGATTAAAAGTGGAGGACACGCCGCGAATCCTGGCTTCTCTTCGACATCAGGTGTCCAAATTGCGATGTATTCCTTTTCGGATGTTGTTTACAATTCGACCGCACAAACAGCAACTGTGGGCACGGGTTTACTATGGGATGATGTTTATGTCGCACTGGAGCAGTATAACGTAACTGTCGTAGGGGCAAAAGTTACTGGCATTGGAGTCGGAGGCGTTGCTTTGGGGGGAGGTATGGTTTTACCAAGACCCACGACGGGAATGAAGCTCATTTTCTCTATTCACCAGGATATTCGTATTTGACTAATCAGTATGGTTTGGGCTTCGACAACGTCGTAGCCTTCGAACTTGTTTTGCCCAATGGGACAGTGACTGATATCACAAATTCTACAAATCCAGATCTGTTCTTTGCGCTGCGGGTGAGCTCCCAGTGGTCTAATCACGTCAAATTTCTTAACTTTCTACGAATTTTCAAGGGGGGATTCAATAACTTTGTGTGTAGCTCCAATTGATTTGTTGACGAACGTACTGACAATAGCAGGGCATTGTGACGAGGGTTACTGTCAAGACATATCCTCAGTCTCTAGTCTGGGTAAGGACTCGAAATCTGGGTAACTGTACACTGACAATCATCTCATGTGTAGGGCGGACGTGTCTCGTACGCGCAAGACCAATGGGAAGCAGCAAGCTCAGCTATTGCCAATTATTCGGCAAATGTTAGCGACCCAAAGGCATCCATATACAATACATATAACTATATCTCTGGAGTGGTACGTCAGCTATCGTCATTCTACGCTTACTGCTCAGCGAATAACTTACGTGTTGCGTTGCAGGCAGAAGTATCGAGTATCCTCTTTTATGATGCTCCAACACGCCCTGAGGGCATATTCGACGAGTTCTTGTCGATTCCTCATATCGAAGAAGACATTTCTACCAGATCCTATGTAAATCTCGTCCAGTCCCTTCCCTTGAATCTTACTTCCGGGCTTAGGTGAGTTAGTGTGGAACATAAAAGCATCTACCCTACTCACTTGAGAACAGATCCGTGTTCCATTGGGTGGCAATGGAGGAGGTTACAGTGCCTATGTTGAACATGATTGCAAATGAGACACTGGTAAATACTCTTTCCCTTTAATTTGGATGCAACGTTTACGAATATAATATTTGTCAGTTCTGGGGCGAAGAATTAACAAACTCCAGTGCTCGAATTGTATCATATGACATAGACGTCTACTTGTCTACGCTCTACGACCATGTGGATTCGCCGACCGCATACCCACCGTCACGGAGTCGAGGTTACTCGTTCATCGAAGTGTACTATGGTTGGACAGACTCGGATCTTGATGACACAATGTTCGACGCTGTCAACGCAAGTGCCAAGCATATGATACAGGCACTCACAGATGGTGGCCAAGATATCGCGAACGTTGCCGTGTACCCGAACAACGCACCTCCTAACACGAGTTTGGAGAGAATGTATGGTGATAACGTATCTCGTTTGCAAGTCATCAAGAAGGCTGTCGATCCGGACAATGTGATGGGATTGACAGGTGGTTGGAAGTTCTAGTCCTCATTCGAACAAGACAGATTTACATTCGTTTTCACCTTATGATACCCACTTATCTACACTAGAATATTTCACATACGGTACTTACTATGTACATGCAATAGTCGTTAGATTTCTCGTCGAACAATAACGAGCCTTCCCTTTTATATGCTCTGCAGGGCCTCACAAATCCTGCGGTAATATCTATCCCCGATGGAAGTGCCTTGTACTTTGCCAGGGTTATAACCTTGTTGGTGATGATGACGGGACTGTATCTTTTCAATGTGGGTATCACATTTCTGTCGTAAATCGCACTTTATTATGCCTTCTTTCAGGTTCTTGTTCTGCATTTACTACTCGTGAGTAGTAACTACCTGCGTGTGGAGGTGTTGAACCTAACACTCCCGACAACAGATCTGGAGGCTTTATTTAGTTTGGGATCATAACTTGATCCTTGCTATTGTTATGGTAAGCACTATTGTCGTGGCTTTTACGTGTGTCTAGATCGCCAGCTAATTCTGGAAACTGGAACCTCTGTGGGCCTGTTCACATGAGTTGGCTGGCAGTTCAACATTACTTTCATGCATAGCAACTGCTATCGCGACCTGTGCTATGGTCATGCGGCTCGGTGTCGTCATTACACGAGATTTCGAGACTTTGTTAAAAGCTTGTTTCACGTTCAACTTCGTTCTCACTATTTGTCTCGCGTCTGGGAACGCATATCGTCCTTGGCGCGCGGGAAAAGATACGTTTGGTTTGACGCATATGCCTACAAACCTGCAATATACACTATCACTCAGTACGGTGCGATCTATACCAGCAGCATCGTGGTAAGGTGCGCTCTACACCTCTCCGGGAGCCGCGCTGGCGTCATGGCAGATTACGTTGGTGTCCAGCTTGCCGTCAGCACTTCAAGTTCATATTTCTTCTTTGTACTATAATCTCACTACCTCCAAGACCTTGACACCTCTTCTTCTCATCGCCAATCTTAGCCTTGGTGTGATGCATGGAGAACATAACGAGGCACCAGATATTGTGGGACCCACCTTCGCTCAACCAGTCCAGGTCGATATTGCTGAGAAGATCCGTACCCACCCTGACTGACACCATAGATCCACGACCTACCCGGAGGAATCAAAAATTCAAGTTGCCGGCATATGGTGACGCTGGAAAGGGACATTGACTAGGAGCACCTCATTAGTTTTTCCTTCAAATGAGTGGACATGTCAATAAGCATGGATTTTGCAGTGCTCGGTGTTGCGCCGATGTTTAAACCGTGAACTCGGGGAATGAATTAAAGGTGAAAAACTGACGACGTTGGACACGCAGGAACTATAACATTTGGTTATAGTAGAGAAGGAACACTTATCTCCATTCGATTCAGAACTGCCTAGGGGAGACTGGCCCACACAGAACGGTATGATCAATAACAACCCTCATAAGAAATACGGAAATGATGAGTGGTCAAATATTCAAGGATTTAAGATATCCACCTATCGATTACGGATTGGCATCAAGTACTGTGGATCAAAGACCGAGCTCGGTATATACTTAGACATCAGGGGAGGGATGCAACGGCGTACGTAACCGCTGGAGTTATGTGTTAAAAGGTTGCATATATATAGAGCGAAAGATGAAGAGGAGACTACGAAGAATTAAAGTGCGGTGGAATTATTTGATCTTGCGAAAGTCTGGCCCTTCACTCGGGGAATCGATCTTGTGCCTGAAGAAAAAAATCAATAAGTCGCGGATCTGGACCATTTGACAAAATGCTTATTTACTTGACTTTCAGGTGCTGCTTGACACCTTCCAATATGAAGGACCGGTTTAAGTCATTGCAATGTTGACAGAGATATTTCAACTTGGTAGGAGGTTTAGACTTCTGAGTTGTGCTTGACTTTGAGGGTTTCTTGGTCTGAGGGGTAACGAAGAACTTCATCGCTGGAGGCGGTTTCTCGATGACGCCTTGGTCATAGCTGAAGTCAATTCCTTCAGTCGGAGTGATGATTCTATGCCTACTACACGTCAAAAGAAGGTACAGTAAAACAGAAAAGGTGATGGCTTACGATTTTATATGATTAATCACATCAGCCTTTGTAGTCGGATTTTCGTGGTATACATCGCACTTGTTACAACGCCACACTCGCTGAGTGGCTCCGGGATATTCGGGCGCACACCGACTTTGGATGACTTGAAGTTGTTCGGTACTCAAGAGTTCCCAACGAGGCTCTTTGTGCGATGGACCTTGTTGGTCGACGTAATGGAAGACCTAAAAGACAGTAAGCATAAGTGTTAAAGTTACAAACATAGGACGAACGCCCTGACGCCAGTTCATCGCTATCCGGTAAGATCCTCCTTTCTCTGGCTTGGGTGGACAGTTGGAGCAGAAAAAGCGACAATGGAGGTCGTCCATTGTAGTTGCAGTCGTAGTTTGGGCATCGAGACCGATCAAGCCTAACAAAGAACGTGCAGCAGCAACCCCACGCTGAGAGATCAAAAATGTGCAAGATGTCGACGTCGACGTTGTGTGACTTTGGTGAGCGTGATACTGCACTTTGTCCCATGTAATCAACGGGAAAGAGCGCGGGTGAGTGCATTGGAAAACGGAGGTCGCCAGACGCATTAGCATGTCATCAGGGGTGTCGATTCTTTGGCTTTGTAGCGTTGTGGTATCTTGCAGTATATTGGTGGAGAGGGCAAGTAGTCGTGTCAGCTCGAGCTTCCTTTTATGCAAATATTCAGCACAAAACTCGGGAAATCTTTCCGCGAAAGCATAACAAGGTTGAATATCGCTTTCTGTGTCGCCAGTGGGTGGGCTTTTGATAAATTCCGCAACATCGCATAGCTTCAAGAAATCTTGGGGAGGAGGTATGATAGCCTGTGGCAAGGGCCGCACGTATTTCTGGTACATAGCCAACAGGCGAGACTCCCGGACAGACGATACTTTTCTTTGGTTCTCGAGGCGCCATTCTTCCTCCAATTCGGCAAGCTTACGCTCGACTTTTGGGATCAAACGCTTCCAGCCTGGAAATCGACAATGTAAGGACAAAATATTTTCAAATGAAGTAGATCACTGACGTGCATCGGTAAGCTCCTCATCTAGTACGCCATAGTGATGACACTCGAACATGCGCTCCACATCTTTAGCATTGTGGCCGAGGTCGACCAGTCTAGCTTGGAACCTAGGATAAAGGAGTCAAGACGTGATTAGATGACGAGTTGATGGAATTTACTTACAGTTCTGTATTTTGGTTACGAAGCTCACGGGCACGCGATAATTGACGATCATAGTCCTTGCCGGCCCAAGCGTTACAAACTGCTATATGCTTCGAAGCCATTAGATTTAGTAAAACCACCTGTAGGAATCTTACGTCGATATCGGAATCAACATATTTCTTGCGTGATTGCTTGAAGCCTTCTAATGCTTGCTCAGCACCTGGTTTGAGGTACGCCTCCAGCTCTTTTGCCATTTTCAGTACGTCATCTGACCACAAAAACTTGCAATCAGTGATATGATCATGATCATCTCTGCCAACTGCGCAGGAACATCAGATACTGATAAGTCATAGTAAGACGGCACCCACTATCACTGAATGGTATCAAATCCATGATGATCGGATCGCATTCAGGAAATTCGAATGGAAAGGCGCTGTCACAGACTAGGCTTCACGAATTGTTGGCCAGATAAGGGCACGATAATAAAGTAGTACTCACTTCTCATTGAGGCATCGGGGACATACTCTGCGCCTGATGCCGAAGTCTATCTCCCAAATTCCCTTCCTGCCACATTCCTGAGCTTGTGGTCATGAAAGTACAAAATATGTAAACGGAGACCAGACATACTTGACAGTGAAAGCCACCAAATAATAGGTCAGCCCATTCCACCTCAGACATGCCAGGTAGGCAGTCGGGAACACCGCCACGGTTGACACGAGCAGCTTTCCAGACTGAGACTGCATTATTAGATGATAGAACCATACGGAAAGCCTTGTTGGTGCCAAACAGATGTAAAAGGTCTATTGGTTCCAAGAAACCAAAGATCTGATTGGAAGCAGAGTTGAGAACAAATAAGTAAGATGCATGAGCAATGCTTATTAACTTACCTCGAGAAGAATATCGGTTGGCACAGTGACAATGAGACCAGGAGTTTTCTTTCTTCTGTCAGAACCCTTTTGCTGTTGATGTTGTTCCCGTATCGGGTCCTTTGTCCGTCCTGGCGCGCTTTGTCACGGGTTGTCTATCTGGAATTTTAAAGTAAAAATTGGTGAACAATTTCGCGCAGACAAACAAAAGAAAGTGGTAACTATGTCTCTCCGCCATACTCACCTGCACCGTCTTCACTGAGCGCCTCGCTCGGGCTGCTATCCCCGCTACATTGGCTACTACTACTACTATCTTCCAGTGAGTCCGTGCCCAGGTCCGTTAAGTCGGAGTCCGAGTCATAGTCGCCGCAATCGCAACACATGTGAAGACAGTCAAGAGAGTTGCAAACAGTAATAGGTACCAGAGACGCCCACGACGGACTGAACGAAGTATAGAGCGAAACTGAAGAAGTCGCGCTTTATCATGTGTTGGCGACTTGGTCAAATTTAAAGGGTGCAGACATTGATGCCGAAGATGACGAGAGGTTGTTAGATCAGATAGGGAAACATAATGTACTCATGTAGCGTATTGGCCCGGGAGTGGCGGAGACTGACCATATCGCGAATGCTCAAAATTCGGTGGTGGCACCATAAGTGCTTAAAGTTAAAGTTAAGCGTATTGGTTGCGGACGATGGTCGAGTAGTTCTATGATATTTATATAGCAAGTACTGGGTGCATTGCTATAGTGCATGATCGAGGGCTTATATCACGGACTTTGAAAAACACCAGTGGCATATCGAACCGCAAATTCATACAACTTAGCGATTGGCTCAATTCGCCTATACGCTAGCAAAATATTCCCAGTCACATCCTACGAGCTCATCATCCTCTCAGGACCCTGCTACAGATGGCAGAGTGGCATTGTTGACCTCTACTTGGACGCGAGGAAATCTTGCGCCGGAAATCTCGTCTTTGTCCGCCTTCAAATTGCATGGAATTTTGACAGCATGCGGCACTAATAGTAAGGACGTCGAGAGATTGCCCTCGTAGGCCCTTTGCATAATTACTGAGGGATAACGAATCACACTGAAAAGCATAACCCTTCAAGAGGATATTGGTTTACTCTCCTCATCGATCACAAACTCGAGGATGAATTCTGGGCAACCCGACCATGGTCTTCCTCTAAAAACTGTATATCGGGATGCTGTTGTTGATATTCGCTATCTGCACCCGAGAACAACAGACTCGACCTGTCAACCGGTACGTATGTGCTGTTTGCTCCAAACATTTTATCAAGTTTTGTTTTAGGTATATCAGCGCTTTCAGATCACATTTACCACTGCAACAAGCCCAGCTCGGTTTATCGATGCTGTCCGACCTGTTTGTCCTTGTAGATTGAATCTACAGCTGCAGCCTCTGGTCACTCGCATCCCTACTGTTGCTGCAACAGGCCTTCTTGACGACATTTCCCGTCGAGGTACGATACTCCCAGCTGTTTCACAAGCTCGGCCGTCAATTGGTGGAACTCTACTCAGACCAGCGCCGACTACACCTCGGATAGCCATCCCAAAGTCCAGCCACATGCCAAGCACCGTCTGGCTATCTCTCAAATTCTCATCCATCACGATCATTAGATCTTGAACAAGCGTCTGGCCTTTAATAAACAGCCTGCCAATAACAGAGGCTTCGCGATTCAGAGATATGTCAGTGTCTGCTTTTGTTTCTGAGGTCTTGTGAGCCTGGCATTGACACAGGGACACGAACTCTGAGGTGCTGATACAAACCTCACCTCGTCGCGCAGCTCCTCACCTCCCCTTCCGAGTCGTCAATGCAATCTATTCAGTTTCCTGCCCTTAACTCGACCTGCCAATGTGCTGCAACCGGTACCACTTGACCGCCGCCGTTGGAATTTCAAATCACTCCCCGTAACAATCACCAAGTCGTCGCGTGTTGCTCCTTCTCGCGATGAAACGTGAGCGCCGGTCATCAGCAATACTTTCCCCTTCTGATACTATTCAATTTGCAGAGATACGACTACTGAGTCTGATGCAGAAGCGGCTGCAGCTATGCAAGGTACAAACAGCAATAATGCCGACAGTTCGACGTAAGTCACGCAACAGGTGCACATGGGTCTCAAGGATCGCAAACGCAAGGTTCGACTGATGGGACGGGAGAATATTCCTATGAAGTGCTTGTGAGGTGCTGCAGTTTAGTTGTCCTCGTCCGACGTCGTGGCAGACGTAAGGTCCTTTGAAACCACGCAAGATTTTTCTCCTTTCTCATGTACTTTTACGGACTGTTTGACAGGTTAAGAGCATTGTATTTTGCTTTTCTATGGCAACCTATATATTTTTTAATGAAGAGGTGCAGCCAGCGCTTTTTGTGACTCATATTAATGGCAGTGTCAACCTACGATAATTGGTTGGTATTGACCAATACTGACTCGTTATCACCCGATAAGAAACGTAACGACTGTTGGATGCACATAGTAAGTACTGCATGTAAAAGATTCCGATGTGGGAATTGAGTATAGGTAAAAACGAATGTATATCTATATCTTTCTGTGTTCAAATCAGGACTAAAATCTCCAACCGCCTGCCAATGCCATCACATTATCCGGATCGACAGCATTCTTGATGGCCTGCAAACGAGGTACATTATCACCATACATTATCTCTAATCTCGTGTACACGGCAACGTTCGTGACGTCCTGGCCATCATTGACGAGTGACTGTGTTATATGCTGGGCGCTTGCGTTGACAGTCTCGAATATCATGTCGTCATAGCTCGCATCTTTCCACCCGTAGTAGATTCCGGCGTACGAGTAACCTTGACTCCGTGATGGTGGGTATGTGGTCGATAAGATCTTGTCGAACGGGTGTATATTGAACTGAATCGGAACGTACGTACATGGATATTGAGAGGAGTGACTAGTGAGCAGCGGGCGCAGTGTTGGGAGGCAAGACATTGACAAAAGGCCCATCAACAAATAATAATCGTTGGAACTTCGTTCTTGACAAACAAGGTCAAACAAATAACTTGATTCCTCTCTGAAGACGAAGCTCCACTGGAACCTGATATCGCATCACCCGATCGCTCGTGCCAACTAGTTTACACGACAATGATTACACTGGTGCAGAATGAGATTATGGACCGGTGGAAATGTCACACCTGTATCTGGGTTGCATAACCGCGAAATGATAATATCATGATGGTGTATATCCTCCTCGCATGAACACAGTACGCCCTATTCAGAACTATCGACCTCGTGATCCCTCATGATCAGATGTATCTTTGGAGGTGCCTGTTCTAGGATGCTTTGTCGCGAGTATCAACAGTTTATGAGCTCCATCGTTTGAATCTCTTAATTCTCACCCTTCTCCCCGTCCTCGTCGCACCCACCGAACGTGATATACGCATCCTCAATTCATATATCTCTACGCCGCCGCCCACCCTCTTACTCCACAACATTATTGTCAGTTCCCCCCAAACTACGACGTGTCAAACTTCGCAGACATCAAGACCCCTGTATTCTCTCCTCTAACTGCGATCATTCCTACAATGATTAACACACCTTTGGAGCGGAAATGAAGACACCGTTACGCCGAACCCTGCTATTTTTGCGCTGGAGAGGATAAAGTGGGCTACGGAAATTGTCAATATGCACCACCCAATAACTACTATTTGCGACCAATGACTCCGGGCCTGTGTGTGTTGACTTAGACGCACGTAGTAGCTGTATTATGAACGCCCTTTCAACAGCTTCGTGAGTCACAATTTACATCTCCTAGTCTCATGTACAAAGATCCACATTGTCACAGATTTATCACGAGTTCAATACAAAGTTATGAAACTCGATTGTAGTCCTTAGATTCTTCCTGCTGAGTCTCCAGAAACTGACTATCGAAGAGCTCCTTGACAGGGCTCCCTTTGTGATACCCTGGTGCACCTGTGTCTAATATCACCCTCAATTCAATGTCCTCTATCGTGTGGAACTTCTACGCTTCATATTGCCTCAATATCATCCCCCATTCGCTTGCTCTTGCCCAGTGCCTTTTTTCCTCCAGCTATTTTTTCATACCTCACAGCCTACAACATCCTTATACGCATAGTTTTCATCTCACCACCCTTGTCGTAGATATCGCGATTATATGCTGTACTATATAGCAATGAACTACATGTTTCGTCCCATCCCCACTTTGAATGTACTCGGTGCAACGGGAGCTTAAACAACTACAGATGACCGCAACAACAATGTCCTTCTGTTCAGCTTCTCGATCCGCCATGAGAAAGTACCGACATTATGCATCACTTTGACACAATCCATGGCGCACTTGCAACCGCATTTTTGATGGAATCGGCATGCCTTGTTCGTCGTTATGTGCTTTTACAAACTAGCACTAACATCATGAGTGCCATACCGTCAACTCACTTCGTTCACATGGACAATCCTAAATTTGCTGGGTATGGAATAGAACACGAAGTATGATCCACTGTACACCGTTACCATCTAATTGTATGTGAAATCTCCATAATGGATCTATTGCTGCAGGCATCGTTGGTACTAAAGTCTGCAAATATTAATTTTAGTAAGTGCAAGAAACAAAAAGGGTGTTGAGGAGACTCACTCCTGTCGACACTCTTTCCAACGTTGTCCATGTGTCATGCGGCTCAAATCAAGCTCGAGACCTCTGGGTATCACAAAGCAAGTTCCCGGGCTCCATAATGAATGTCGGGAAGCGGGTGGTACCCAAAATAACAGTTGATGTTTGGGCCCTACCACCCATCCACTGTCAACATTCAGGACAAAGGGGCTGGAACTGCGGTCGTCATTGGATGCTCCCTCCGTTAATTCAGAAGTGTTGCGCAACGCATGGATGGAGTTGGGCGAGAAGCAAACGAAGTGATTGTTCCAAGTATTCAATGTCATGGGGGTGACGGACTCGATGGGATGCATGATGCGACGATCATCTGATAATGCTGACGGATCTGACACAGCGTAATATTGCGACGGCTGGCTCATCACTGCATCCCACAGCCGAACAGTCTTATCGTCCGAACCAGTAACAATGCGAGTGCCGTCTGGGGAGAATGAGACAGACCTTACTGAATAGGTGTGCCCCTGCAAGGGCTCACCGACTGGCTCTCCCGTCCTTGCATCCCACAGCCGAACAGTCTTATCCCAGGAACCAGTGACAATGCGAGTGCCATCCGGAGAGAACGAGACCGACGTTACTGAATCAGTGTGCCCCCGCAGGGGCTCACCGACTGGCTCCCCCGTCCCTGCATCCCACAGCCGAACAATATTGTCGTGCGAACCAGTGACAATGCGAGTGCCATCCGGCGAGAACGAGACCGACCTTACTAAAGAAGTGTGCCCCAACAACGGCTCACCGACTGGCTCCCCTGTCCTTGCATCCCACAGCCGAATAGTTTTATCGTGTGAACCAGTGGCGATGCGAGTGCCGTCCGGCGAGAACGATACCGACGATACTGAATCAGTGTGCCCCCGTAAGGGCTCGCCGACTGACTCCCCTGTCCCTGCATCCCACAGCCGAACAGTGCTATCGTGCGAACCAGTGATGATGCGAGTGCCGTCCGGCGAGAACGAGACCGACGTTACTGGATAAGTGTGCCCCTGTAAGGGTTCACCAACTGGCTCCCCCGTCCCTGCATCCCACAACCGAACAGTGTTATCGTCCGAACCAGTGACGATGCGAGTGCTATCCGGAGAGAACGAGATCGATGTTACTGAAGAAGTGTGCCCCCGCAAGGGCTCACCGACCGGCTCACCCGTCCTTGCATCCCACAACCGAACAGTCTTATCGTCCGAACCAGTGACGATGCGAGTGCCGTCCGGCGAGAACGAGACCGATGTTACTGAATCAGTGTGCCCCCGCAAGGGCTCGCCAACTAGCTCCCCCATCCCTGCATCCCAGAGCCGAACAGTCTTATCGTCCGAACCAGTGACAATGCGAGTGCCGTCTGGTGAGAACGAGACCGAATAAACTAAAGAAGTGTGCCCCCGCAAGGGCTCACCGACTGGCTCCCCTGACCCTGCATTCCACAGCTGAACAGTCTTATCGTCCGAACCAGTGACGATGCGAGTGCCGTCCGGCGAGAACGAGACCGACGTTACTGAATCAGTGTGCCCCTGTAAGGGTTCACCGACTGGCTCCCCCGTCCCTGCATCCCAGAGCCGAACAGTCTTATCGTCCGAACCAGTGACAATTCGAGTGCTGTCCGGTGAGAACGAGACTGACGTTACTGAAGAAGTGTGCCCCCGCAAGGGCTCACCGACTGGCTCCCCTGTCCTTGCATCCCACAGCCGAACAGTCTTATCGTCCGAACCAGTGACAATGCGAGTGCCGTCCGGCGAGAACGAGGCCGACCTTACTGAAGACGTGTGCCCCCGCAAGGGCTCACCAACTAGCTCCCTCGTCCCTGCATCCCACAGCCGAACAGTGTTATCGATCGAACCAGTGACGATGCGAGTGCCGTCCAGCGAGAACGAGACCGACGTTACTGAATCAGTGTGCCCCCGTAAGGGCTCACCAACTGACTCCCCCGTCCCTGCGTCCCACAATCGAACAGTGTTATCCCAAGAACCAGTGACGATGAGAGTGCCATCCGGCGAGAACGAGACCGACGTTACTGAATCAGTGTGCCCCCGCAAGGGCTCACCGACTGACTTCCCCGTCGCTGCGTCCCACAGCCGAACAGTGTTATCCCAAGAACCAGTGACGATGAGAGTGCTGTCCGGCGAGAACGAGACCGACGTTACTGAAGAAGTGTGCCCCCTGAGCACGGTCTGAACAGCTGGCCAATTCACATCACGTTCAGATGCCAAACGAAGAGTATTCGGAAATCGTGCCGAAAATTTTCTCGACAGTAGAGAGTTGGCAGGTGAGAATGGGAGTGCTGATACATACAGATGTGGCGTGCTATATAAAATCATGCCGCCGAAGACTTGAATGAACCTCTGTACGTCCATTGCAGTCAACAAAACATTTTTGAATTTAGGATGACCCTATGGTTGCACATGAGCGCTTTATCTGACACTCAATAGCAATGCACTCACCTTCAGCCACTGGGGAATATGTGAGAGGGCAGGAACTGCGCCGCTGAGCGCAGTTGACCAGGGCGAGCGACTCGAGCCAGAAAAACAGCCGCTCGTTGTCGAAGAACAATTTCACTTCTTTTGCGAGCTCCTTGTCAAAGGATGTGGTTCGTACGTGCGAAGTCCAAAATCGAGAGGAATATGACAGATGCTGGGGGATGCATTTTCGGATTCGTCCTTGCAACCCAGGATCTTCACTATTAGGAAGATACGACGACTTTAAATCACAGATATTGAAGCGAAGACCGTGTTCCATCACTCGAAGTGACGCAAATGCAAGGTCGCGTTGCGCCTCCAACACGTCGATGAAAAACTCTCCACTGTATGATTGATCCGTCAGGAAATCGCGGAAGGATGCATGAAGGGGTCGGATTGGAGAATCTGGGTTGGTGATGCCGCTAAGAAGGGAACCCATGTATTTTACCATAAGATTTACGTTGAAATTGTCCTCTTTCTTTGGAAAATGGTCCCTCATGGTGTTCAGGGAAGCTAAAGGAAGGGGTTCAGCTGTGCCTAGTATTTGTCCCATCACTGAGCGAAATCTCGCTAACGCAGTCGAACGCAGTTTCTGTGAATGCGGGGATGCATCCCCGGGCATGATATCTTTTAAAATGAGGCGATACATGTCATGCAATAGCGGGCTTCTCTCAGCAGGATTGCGTGATACCACAGCCTCGTAGCACTCCATTGGAGATAGCCCAGCATGGGACTCTTTGATATATCCGCAAGCGAGACGCGCCCACTCGAAAAGTCCATCGGCTTTCTCCGCGAGGACTGCGAACTCTCTGTCCTGGAAATCCAGCCCTTCCAACTCCCTGGATACATAAGCATGGATGTCGCGCTCTGCATCTACTCGTGGAATATCATCCATCGACATCTGTCGAATATGCTGAACGTCACCAAACTTGTCTTTGACGTCATCAAGTGGGCGAGAGGTAACGATGAAGCGGAAGTTGCAAAGGAGGTCTGTGATTTTGGGAACAGCGGGATTTTGATGATTGCCAGCTAGAATACGGAGGAGGTCTCTCCGTGTCTCTATTCCACCGCTCTCGTCCAGTGCATCGATCACGATCACAATGGGCTCCCCAGTTGACCCAGATGACTTCTCCAGTGGTTCAATAAGAATCTTCTGCCACTGCTGGATGATATCTGCCGTCTTCTTGAGCGAATTCGCGGGCCTGACTGCATCTGCCAATGCCCGCCTCATCTCCGGATCACGGTCAGCCAAGTCGCGCGCGATCGTAGAAAAGATCTTTTCATGGCGACGATCTGCTTCTCGCTGGCGGTCAAAACAGTAACACGAACCAAGCCCTCCCACGTCGTTGACCCACTTAGCAATAGTGTGGGCGATGGCCGATTTGCCCTTGCCTGCGGGGCCAGATAGCCACAGGACACATGGAACATTGTCTCCGGTGCTGTTGACCCATTCCGTGATCCGGGAAAGGATATCTGTGCGCGTCCCTTCAAGGCATTGTTTCCTGGTATCTAGTCCCGCGCCCTCTGCATAAGTCATACCGCTGAGGTCCAATATTTCTTCTTAAAAATTATGAATATATGTCAAGTCACAAGGACGTCCGAACCCTTACCCGTACGGTGGACGTGTATGGCTATGTCGTGAACGCCTATGGCTACGTCGCGAGCAACCTGGTCCCGGAAGTTTTGCATGAGCCCCTGGAACACGTCAATGTACTTTTTGATGGTATCGTCCGTTTCCGAGAGGACATCCTTTGCAAGTCTCTTCCCTGTAATTATGTAGCAGCTCGAGACGGTACAGAGCGCAATAGCTTGTGACACTCACAAAATTTCTTGGTTTCCGAATAATTTGTGATAAACTGAGCACATTCACGGGTCTGCTGAGAAATCTTTCCAAGGATAACATGCATCGACAAAAGTTGTTTGAGCTTCTCGTCTTGTGTCATGAAGCTGTAAACTTCATATATCTTCTTGAGAAGTTTGAGCACTGCTGCGTCGCGATCCGTTTGAGCTAGAATAAGCTGTACAGATGGTTGCTAAGCGGTGGGAGATAGGAAGAGATAAGGAAAAAAACATACTTTGGCTGCAAAAGACAACACGCCCAGTGCCATCTTCGCATATGGATGTACCTGTAGAACTCAATTAGTTCGGATCGGATCGAGAGGTGGGCCTGCATACATCCGCAATCTTCTCAACAACTTCGTCGAATATCCTGAGGGGTTTGAGATATGTGTCCTGGAAACTGTCAGCAGCATCGAGATCCGCTTGTGCGTCTTGGCCAACAGACGCCACAGTTATCGCAGGTCTAGAAAGTGGATACATGCGTTTTGTAGCCTCTTCTGCATCCCGAAGAGCCGATTGGGTATCAGCCTCCACTTCTATACCAGACGGCACGACCTGATCCTGCGTGGCCACCAAAATTTAGAAAGAGCACAGTGACTAAAGGGCAAGTTTGAGAACCCACCCTGATATTCGGGGGAGCAGGGCTATGGCTACGGGAATCCTTCAAGCGCTTGTTGCAATCTTAGTCGTATGCCAGGACACTCACTACACATGCCCATTGACTCACCGAGATCCTTAACTTGTCCTTGACCTCCCCAAGAAACCGACGGACTTTACCACGCCGGGGTTGGTGCTAGACGGAGGATGCGTCAATGTTAGTGTTTGAAGTGGAGTGAATTTTATAAGCGATCCTCGAAAATCACGTACCTGACTTCCACCAGCTGCTGCTTCGCTAGATTTGTGGATGAGTTGAGTTGAATCCCTCGACGATTTACCTTTGCTCATTGTGAATATGTGAAGTAACAGGCCAATGATTAACGCCTTGAGGCAATATTTGTTCCAGTGTTGCAAGCGCTTAGTAAGCGATAAGCATTCACTGCGGAAACGAGAAAATAACTCTACCCTAATTACTCGATCGACATTCCAGGTATAAATATATGACCCGTCGTCGAGAATTAACCAACCAAGACTTTCACAGCCTTACTTTGAACGCCATTATTAAATGAATCCGTTATGTTCCTGATGTCATGATAAGAATTTTGTGTTGAAGTAGCTAGGAATAAGGGTTTTGTGAAAGTGCCAGCTTCTGGATGGTACCTTGCTCTTCCCTCTCGTGCATGTTTACCGACTGTTTCGTACCACACCCGGTCTACCTACCTTATGAAGAGGCACAACCGGCGCTTTCTAAATTCTGTGACTTACATTGGCAGTGTCAACCTACGATAATTGGTTCGTATTGACTGATATACTATACTGGCTCGGTGATAAACGTAACGACTGTTGGACGTACATAGTAAGTATACGTACTATATGTAAAAGATTCCAGCCCAGATAAGTAGGGTATAGGTGAAAACGAATGTGAATATACATCTTTCTGCAATCAAATTGGGACTAGAATTTCCAACCACCCGTCAACGCCATCACATTATCCGGATCGACAGCGTTCTTGATAGCTTGCAAACGAGGTACATTATCGCCGTACATTGTCTCTAAACTCGTGTTAGGAGGTGCATGGTTCGGGTACACGGCAACACCCGCGACGTCCTGGCCGTCATTGACGAGTGATTGTAGCATATGCTGGGTACTTGCGCTGACAGCGTCGAATATGGTGCTATCATAGTTCGATTGTGTCCAACCATAGAACAATTCGATGAATGAGTAACCTTGACTTCGTGATGGTGGGTATGCGGTCGGCGAAGCTACATGGTCGTAGATCGTGGGCAGGAAGACGTCTACGCCATATGTGACAATTCCAGCACTGGAGCTTGCCAATTTTTTGCTCCAGAACTGACCAATATTGTGCGTTAACGGTGTGTCCAATCAAAAGGGAGAGTAGTTACCGTTGTCTCATTCACAATCATGTCCAATACAGGGACTGTAACGTCCTCCATTGCCACCGAACTGAACACGGTTCTGTCTTCAAGTGAGTAGAGCAGATAGTGACATGTTCCACATGAACTTACCTAAGCCCAGCAGTAGCATTTAAGGGAAGAGACTGAACGAGATCTACGTAGGATCTGGTAGAAACGGCCGCTACGATAGCAGGAATTGCCAAGAACTCGTCGAACATGCCCTCAGGGGGTGTGGGAGCATCATAAAAGAGGATATTCGCCATTATTGGCTGCAACGAGACATGTAGGTCAGTCGCTGAGTAGTAACCGGGGAATGGCGATAGCTGACGTACCACTCCAGAGATATAATTATATGCATTGTACATGGATGCCTTTGGATCGGTGACATTCGCCGAAAAGTTGGCAATAGCTGAGCTTGCTGCTGCCCATTGGTTTTGCGAATACGAGACAAGTCCACCCTGCACATGAAATGATTGTCAGCGTACAATTACTCAGACTTCGAGTCCTTACCCAGACTTGAGATTGAGGATGTGTGTTGACAGTAACGGTCGTCACGATGCCCTGCTATTGTCAGTACGTTCGCCAACAGATCAGTCGGCGCTACGCACAAAGTTATTGAATCCACCCTTGACATATCACAGAAAATTAAGAAAGGTGACGTGATTAGACCGCTGGAAACTTACCCGCAACGCAAAGAACAGATCTGGTTCTGTGGACTCTGTGATATCAGCCACTGTCCCGTTGGGCATAACAAGTTCGTAGGCCACGACGCTGTCGATACCCAGACCATACTGATTAGTCAAATACGAATATCCTAGTAAACAAATAAAATAAGCTTCATTTCGGTGGTGGACCTTGGTAAAACCATACCTCCTCCAAGAGTAATGCCTCCGATTCCGATGCCAGTGATTTTCGGCCCTACGACAGTCATGCCATACGGTTCAAGTGCAACATAGACTTCATCCCATATCAAACCCATGCCCAAAGTTGCTGTTTGTGTGGTCGAATTGTACACAACATCTGAAAAAGAATACAACGCAATTTCGACGCCTGATGTGGAAGAGAAGCCTGCATTCGTGGCGTGTCCTCCACTTTTAACCTTTGTGACAGTCAGTCGTGAAGATATAATGGAAGCCAAAATCAGTATTACTCACTCCAAATGGTGTCTGCGTCTGTCCCAAAATTCGAAGCTGATGTGAAGAACACATCAGGAGGTGAATACTGAACTTGTTCGCCTCGCACATACCGCGACTCCGACGTCTTCAGCTGTTGCAGGCTCAAAGGAACATTGAGAGGCCTGATTACTAGACGCAGCCCAGTGATAATTGTCCTTGATATATTGAGCCGAGCCTGTAGCAATTTGGGTTCACTGCTACCCAGGACTGGACTGGAAGTAGTACGCACCAGGGTAATACACTACAGAGCTGGACGAGGTGAGTGCCGCTGCGATTTGCGAGCAAACTGTGCTTCGAACTTCAAGTTGGGTATTCCCTGTACAGGCTGCATCGAGAGATCCTGAAGAAGCATCGCGTACTGTGAGGCCAGAGAGGCCGGTAAGAAAGGAGAGTGAAAGGTCAGCAAATGCGACCATTATGAACTATCTTCGTCTAAATAAAAATGTGCAAACTGGCCATTGAAACTTTTCAAGTGGCTCTATTTATGTACAGCGGAACGTTGGATGTGGGCGAGTTACACACATACTTACGTGACTGTATTATGCATTCAACGTTCCGACATTTCCGTGACGAGATTCCGCCATGAAGGCTTTCGTAAGTGCCTGTTGCTTTGCCTGTCAGACGAGGTACAATGGCTGTCTGGTCAATTCTAAAATATGATCGTGAATGTGTAAGTGCCTCAAACGTCAAAAGACACCTGGAATTCAGGACGCCAATTCGAGCCAACTCTGATGTTGATTTTATTCTTTGATTCAGAAGTGATGCAGGGTGGCAACCAGAACGCGTTCAGACTGTCTATGACATATAAAAGTAAGTTTGATCACATCCTTATAGAGGGTGGCAACGTTTGGTCGAATTTCATTCGGCTCTATATGTGCGATAACAGCGGTAGTGGACAATGTCCCGTTTCAAGGGTCTAGCCCCCCGTACACTGCCTTTTTAGGACCACTCACATCAGCGATATCCGCTGACATAATCTTACCGCGCTGGTTCCGTCTTCTAGTGCCGATCGATACTACCGCTCCTGCACTTCGCGGATTCTATGTGTGCTTTTGCATATTAGTACTCACCTTGTTTCTATAGGCACTTGTTTGGACGCTTTGTGATGAATCTAATCTCTGGGCCTGGCAATAGGGACGGCGGTGCTTCCTTCAAGACATGTATTAACGTCAACGTACGACGGACAACTAGTCGCCAATGTAACAGTCCCCTCAAGAAATCAATAAAGTCCAGCGGCAGGCTCCGAACCGGCAGTGCAACTTGCTGATTCGAATCAGAAACTAGTGCGGGATTTGGCTTGTCTAAGGTCTGTGCAGGCTGACTATGTGACAAAGTCTGATCAGTGTCATTATCATCCGGCCCACCATCAACGTTAACGTCCATCATGCCTGCCTGTCGCATCAAGATCTTTACCTCCATCTCTGCGAGTCTCTCACGCTCGCCTGGCTGTCTACTACTCCCTCCGTGCGCCGACATGTCAGCTGCACAAGGCCAAGCTGCAACTGGGGCACAAGAAAACCAACACAGACGCAAGGCGGAGCGGGAGAAACTTCCTACAAAGTGAGTTGGTTGTCCTCGTCCGATGAATCTGTCTCTTTCACCACTCGAGAATTTCACTAACTCATCAACCGTACATGCAATTGATTTTGATACTGTCTGGTTTGATTGGCAACTCGGCCGAGCTTCGTCCTCGACACCGAGTGTCATTTCGTTACCGTTTGAAATTACGGGCCTGGCTAAGTGAACGACATATCGTATGATGCGACTGACGCGAGCTGCAGCGCTGATGCCTGCTGATGCGGGGGTGGACAAAAATATTAAGAAATTTCATGTAACATTATGTAAAAGGTCCCCGTCTTGAGTTACGTCAGCGTGGTCAGCCAATTACAATCGTTTATCGTTTACGAGAAATGATCGATGCCCTTGCCATTGAGGTTGTTCGACTCTAAAGCATCTGATGAGCCCAACAGTTACCTTGCCTCCCAACATTAATACTGTGCCCCTTGCTCACTCATCTCTTAATGTTCCTATTCAGTTCAATATACCCTCCTTCGACAAAAATTCATCTCCCTTTGTGAACCCCTTGATGTCACAATCATCCCGACGGGCCCATCGCTTGCCTGCCTAGGCCCTAGGCCTCCCGCATCAGAATCTTCACCGGCACCTCTCATCCCTGCGAGTCTCTCACGCATGCGCACGTCTGTCTGTCTACATACTACTTCCTCCGACGTCGCGGCAGATAGGCGGTCATCTGAAACTGTCTCTTTCATCGCTCGAGAGCTTTTCTCATGTCTCTTGTGCTCTTGTGGATTGTCTCGTCCCCCGCTATGTACCTGGTGCCTGCAAACAGTTGTATCTACATGAACGCCATATAGGAATGTCTCGTTGGGAATTTAGTACTACTCATTGATACCGATCACTCAGCAAACTCATTGACTACACGTAATTTCGACTGTTATGATGCAACACATCGAGTACGAGTAATACCGCACAGAACAAAAAATAATACGCACACTCAGACGCAGAGCCTAATTTTCGTCTTCCAAAAACAGCCAGAGAGCGTCAAAAGCGGACAACGGTAACTGCTACCAATTCCAGTCGTCATCGTCATCGAAACTCGTCGTTGTCGCTGTTTCTTTTTTGGTGGGTGCAAGTGAATCGGGCGTAAGCACAGACGGCATCATGACCCCCCCAGCATTCACCGTATCCTCATCTTCCTCATCTTCCAGCCAACTGTTTGTACGCGGGGCCGGGGCATGAGTATGGGTGCGAGTGTGCGGGTACGTGGGGCGCGTCAGTGGAGAGCTCGCACTTGGTGTGCTTAAGGAGATGGTGCTGCTTGAAGGTGTGCGGAGGGATGAGGGGAATGGGAAAAGGGAAGGTGTTGATGTTTGTATTGATGTTGGAACTGGTGCGGGGGAGGTTGCTACTGGCCCTGGGGTTAATGCTGATACAATGGATTGGGAGACGTCCGAGAGGAGACTGGAGGCTCGTTTTTGACTTTTGGAGAATCTGTCATGGAGTGTTAGTTTGAATGTGATGAAATATCGAAGAGAAGCGGGGGCGAATGCGCCAAACAAACTCAAAAGTGGGAAGGGGACATCACTCACACATCACCTCCAAGTTTGCGACCAACGTTCCCCCATCCACTACCAGCTACGGCGGGCGATCCCGCGCCAGGCATCGATGAAGGCGGCGCTAGGGAGGAGCGTTTGCTACCGAGCGTGTTTTTGCTTGGTATCTCCGAGGACCCTGCACCGTCTGCATCGAATTCTGAAGCTACCGCTACAACGGACGCGTCTATTCCCGGATTGAATGTACCACGAACGACCTCTGTAGTCGAGTCCAGTTCCACGCTCCCTCGCCCGAGGTCCACACTAGTGCTCGTGCTATTATAGGAAGTGGCATGCCTCGTAAATGCAGTCGGAGGATGCGAAAGATCGCGCGATCGTCGACGAAAGACTTTTTCCTGTCTTGCTCTTGACATTTCCTTGTCTCGTGCTTGATTCGTGACATGTCGTTCGCTGTTGTCCGCGCCGATACCAGAAGAAAGGGACATGTCTTCGTCCCAGACAGATGACGCGGAACTCTTCGAGAGTTGTGTTGACGTTGATGTGGACGAGTCACTCACACGCTGTGCGTGACGCCTCGGAACATCCACAGTTTCTTCTGTGTTGATTGGAGGAGCCGGCGAGGGGATCGGAGAAGAGAGGTCACTTAGGTCGCTCAGACCTGCTGCGAGTAATCTTACACCTTCTTTGAGGCCATCTACGACAGAAGCAGTGGGTGTTGATGAGGGAAGAGTGGGGTGGTATGGTTCGCGGTTGACGATACGTTCCCATTTGCGCTTTACTAAGAAACGAGAGAGAGAGGGTCAGTTCGCTTTGATCAGGAATTTACGCATGTGTGCTGGTGGATATAATGCGGAACAACGGCACCGAGGGAGATACAAAAGCACGAAATGAAACATCAAGAAAGGACTCACGTTCTGCCAGATCCCCTTCAACAGCTGCCAGTTGACCAGTTAGCTCGAGGCGTCTACTCTCAGCGGCTGCAATTGCGTGTAGGAGGTCGGCGTGCCTGAAATTTGAATTCCGTTGGCATCAATATAGGTACGCGGAAATCCGGACGTACTTCTCAGCCAATGTCAGTGCAGCTCTCTCTATGCCCCCATTGGCACTGGCACTGGCACTTCCAACGCTCACACGTGTGCGGGCTTCCCCAAGTGCGTTTATTCCGCGCAATTCTTCGAGCCCTACTATGGTGCGCCTCTTCATCGAGCGTGAAGTCCTTTTGTGTCCTTCGAATAGACCTCCCGTTCCATGTACCGTATCCGTTGCTATCGAGGCATCAGCCACGGTTGTCCCGTGTCGCGAGAACACGTCGACGCGGGAGGATACGTAGGAGATGGAAGATTGCCGGCGGGTGGCTTTGGGGGCTTTGGTCGCGTCGTTGGGAGACGCGCCTTGTGCGTGGGCGCTGGTGGGTGGTGTGCTGCGGTTTGGAGGGGGTGAGTAGGGCGGGGAAGGGAGAGAACTCGCTGCTGTTGGCGAGCTGGAGGTGTTCAAGAGGGTCAGGTGTTTTCGTGTGGTGCCATTATAGTCCATGTTCATGGTCGTGGTATAATATATAGTTGACTTTGTCGTGCGGGTGTCGTTATATGGCAGAAGACATGGACGTTGGTGAGGGAATGAGTAAGAGAACGTTGTTGGTGTAAAATCACACAGTTAAAACTAGTGATGATCTGGCAGTTGCGATGCAACGACGGTGAATATTTTCAACTGTAACACAATCACTTTGGAGTAATTATGAACCGAAAAGGAAGCAGCTCCGACATAGGCTTGGACGTCGACGAAAGCAACGATGAGAGCGAGACAAAGATCTATTTCCAGAGGTTATTGCACTGGTATGTCTCTGACATGCATCAAGGTAACTACATCCTGGCCGATCCGCACTGTATATTAAGACGAGAACCCGAATCAATGATGCGCTACCCCGCCCTCCTTCTCGGCTTCTGCAATAAAGTTCTTGATGCTGTTCATCCTGGTCAGTCCGTGCTGCAGCACGAGTCGTTTGGTCCTTATAGAGCACATACAATTGTTCCTCTTCACTGTAGACCATACGGTCAGTCTGTGTCTGCAGGCCAGTGAGAGTGAAAATGTACGCACCTGGATCCAGCATTTATGGGTACAGCCTCTTTCACGCGCTCTGCAAGAGGTTTGCTTGAAGATGCAGAATCCTTCTTTCCACCAAGCGATGCATACACGGCACCACCGGTCGCGAAGAGTGTGCCTAACGTGAGGTACTCGGTTTTAATGGCGCGGCCAAAGATGACGCTGGCAATCCGGTGGGTGTGTCAGTAGCTAGTTAGAGGGATGTGTATGAAGAGAGACGCACTAAGACATGTCGATTTTCGGAAGTGGAGGAAGAGGTTCAAGCAGAAGTGAAGTAGCCCGGGTTTTCCCGGATTGGTTTCGGTTGCAGCTTCCCTTAGACGGTTAATTAGCCAACCTCTAGGCTCTGGCAAATCCATCCCTTAGAATTTGATCACCGAGTTACTTGCGAACTCCCACTTCCTGTCACCATTGATTAAAATCTAACCAAGGCAGATCTTAGACAAAGGCCGTACTGAAGTTAAGCTGTGATGCACGGGACACTATCGACAGTCGCGCGTGGAACAGCGTTCGAGCAACGGTCGCTCAATTGCTTCAAGAATATTTCTCGATGTCACTCAAACGCGTCGGTGGCAAATCAGACGGCGGCGTCGACTTGCTCGGCTGGTGGTGGCTTCCTCTTAGTTCAGATTCCCAATCTACCCCAATCACACCTCCCCGTAGACGCATACGCGTCCTTGCGCAATGCAAAGCGGAAAAGAAGAAATTCTCACCAAACTACGTTCGCGAGATGGAGGGCGTATGGCATATGCACGCTCAAGACCGCTCCCCATCTGGATCCCCTACGCCCGTGTCTGAACTGGGTACAGTGGCGCTCCTCCTCTCAGAATCAAAATTCACCACCGCAACCCTCACCCGCGCACTCGGATCCAGCGTCCCCTTTCTCCTCATGCACCTCCCTCCCCCTCCGCTAGTTTCTTCTGATCCAGATGTTGAAACCACGCTTGGAGAAGTCGGGTCTGCTTTCTGGAATCCTGCTCTTGGTGGTGCGCAGGGTCTTCTTCGCGGGGAACTTGATGTTCGATGGGAACGTGATTTGGGAGGTGGTGGGCGGCCTGGGTTGTGGTGCCGTGACAAAAGAGTGCAGAACCGGACGCCGGATACGCTTGGGGAGTGTGTCGATGCCCTTGAAGACATTGGTCGTTGACTCGGATGGTCATCCATCTATAGATGACTCAACTCAGGTGTTGAACGTCACGCTATCATTGTATGTATGTATACATACCACGTATTCCTTTCTGCTTGAGTCACTTCTCAGAGGTGCCGACTGGACGTGTAACTTCATTTGCATGTTCATTTCTTTCAATCGAATTGACTATCACTGGTGGTCTAGGTGTCTGGATATATGTCTGGTCCTGGGCTCAAGCGAAGTCCATATCTTAGCGCTCGCCGATAGATTTGGTACGAGTGGTGATATGTAAGACGGAACAAACCGAGGTGCATGGAAATTCGAACAGAAGTTACCTCACTGCCACTAATATGCGTGCCTGCAACTACAGCATGAAAATCTGAGTGTTTAGCAGATCCACCCACCACCTCCACCATCTCTTATCCTCGACTTTTATTTTGCGCATTACTAATATCAAGGCTTCTTGTCTACCTCTCGGTAAAGCACATCGTCTTTTCCCGATCAGGATCATGCTCCGCCAAGAGGCTGAGTCAAGCACGTCACCCAGAGGGAGCGAAGTGTTGTTGAACTCATCAGCACGTATGAGACCTGTAGCGGGAGAGAAGGATCCACCATCATATGGCGCACAGCACCGCCAGGATGCTCTTTGGGAAGGTGAGAAGGCCGTATTGGGGTACCCACTGACTTACTCAACAAGACACAGGCGGGAATGGAGTGCTCCCTCCTCGATGGCATCAGTACAAAGTGCCGGATGGTAGAACACATTATCAAGACGACACGCTGGTTATGGCTTCATCAAACCGACCTTTACCAGGAGTGCGACTAGGTGAGAGAGGAGTATATCGCTAGGAGCGAGGAACTCATAGCTGAGTACAGACTATCTTCAACTCGTCCCTGGATGCGAATGGCACATCTCACCACTCGGTCGGTCCTATTTCGTCAACCACAACACTCGGACCACGTCATGGAAGAAATCAGCACCAGAACGTCCAGCAGGGAGCTTGATGCCGGAGTGCATCATTGAAGGTCACTCCCACTGCATATCGAGCCTTGCTTGCTTGCGCACCACTTGCAACATACTGAGCGCTTCCGAGGACTGTTCGATTCGCCAGTGGGAAAGAGATGGAGAGCCGGCGGGAAAGCCTTTGGATAGCCACGGGGCACAGGTGTGCTCGATGGCTGTATCTCCGGATGAAACAATGGTTGCGAGCGGAAGTCCAGACGGCAAAATACGGCTGTGGAACATAAAGAAGGGCAGTATGGTTGGCGATCCATGGGAGGGACACTATAATCAAGTGATGTGCCTCGATTGGTCTCCCAATTCCCTGGAGATTGCAAGTGGATCAGAAGACGGCACCATACGACGCTGGAATCCGGATACTGGTCGACAAATAGCACCACCAATAGAGACCGGTCATGGCTGGGTGAATGCTGTCCAATACTCTCCACAAGGCGACACATTCACGAGCGGTGGGGAGGACGAGATGATCAGTGTGTGGTCAAAGGATGGACAGTTGCTCATCAAGATCAAGGGGCATGAGTCCCCGGTGACGTCGTTGTGTTGGTCCAAGGAAGGCCTATACATATTCTCCGCATCAGTCGATTATACCATTCGCAAATGGCGGTCGATTGATGGGGAAGAACTCATCGTTCTTCGTGGCCATACCAATACCGTCAGATCCATTTGTCTGTCACCTAATAAAAGCCATCTTGTTAGTGCATCAGCAGACTACACTGTTCGCATCTGGGACCTCAAGACGAACCAGCAAGTCGGAGATCCACTTTTGCATGACGACGAACTCTTGGCTGTTGTCATCTCCCCCGATGGAAAATACATTGTTAGTGCTGGATTAGATGCAAAGATCTATGTATGGAGCGTGGAGGCAGCGCTCAAACAGCAGGGTGTGCGTATCTGCATTGCGTTTTCAATGTCTTTTCTATTTATTAAAGGTTTTGGTTGTTGTTCAGGCTAATGCAAAGACCGATGCGAAGCTCAAGGCAAGTAAGTCGTGCATCCCTTTCCCACTTGATCTCAACTTTTTATTAGGGACACCCAGCCCAACCGAAACATCAAGCCAATACCAGAGGTTCGGCGAGATATGTTGGTGTAATTTTTTCGATCCGTGGGCCTTACTAAGTTGATTTTGATACAGGGAAATGATTTCTTCGGCAACGATACAAACCACACGCCTCATTACGCTCTATCTGGGAGCCCATCGTCTCTCATTCGTTGGCGCCATTTACTCGGTCCCATTCATTTCGGTACTCGACCTGCAGATGCTCTTCGACCAATACCACGCCAGCCCCGACAATGGAATTTTAACTTATTTCCTCGAGGAACCTCCAGCGACATCATCGATGTAGCTCCTAGTCGCAAGAAAAATGTGAGCGGCTCCCATCACCTTTTTGATACATCGAAATCGATCCATTTGCAGAGAATTGCCATCGCCCCTCCCACCAAGGCGGAATTAGATGCAGCTATGCAACGTGCGAACGGCAACGAGGCCAACAGTTCAATACGACCAGGCCAACTTGCGCCGGGGGCACAAGGGTCTCAAGAACGACCAGCACAAAATCAAACTCAAACTCAAGGCTTAACTGGCGGAACGGGAGATGTTTCCTACGAAGTTAACTGCTGTGGACTCTTATTTAGTTGTCGTCGTCCCACTCCGCGTCAGTCATGAGCCTGTCGTTTGCTGAAACACTCCCTGTCAATCGAAGATATTCTCTCCTCTCTCTCGGGTGCATTTATGGAATATTTCGCACCCAGCTATCACACCCATGTTATCGTCTCATTTCCTGGATTGCACTGTACTCATGACCGAGATTTAGAATTACTGTGACTGCCATCGATGTAAATCACACTATCCAATGTGCTAATGGGACGCAGTAGTTCAGTACGTGTCTCTGGTTTTTTCCAGGTGCGCTTCCAGTTGCACACCACACAATTTTGCGACACGCTCAGATACTCCGCTAATCCAACCACCGGAACGCCCTCCCCTTTGTGATACCCCTTCTCGCTTTCTGGTTGAAGTGTTTGTCACAAGTGTGCATAGATTTGGTACGCTCCTTCTATGGCAAATCTGATGGTGGCGTCGACTTGCAGGCACTTCCCATCCAAGTCATCCATACCCATATCTAAACTGGATACAGTAGCGCTCCTCCTTTCAGAGTCAAAATTCACCATCGCAACCCTCACCTGTGCACTCGGATCTAGCGTCCCCTTTCTCCTCATGTACCTCCCTCCCCCTCCGTCAATTTCTTCACATTCACGTGTTGAAGCCACTGTCGGAGAAGTCGGTTCTGCTTTCTGGAACCCTGCTCTTGGCGGTGCGCAAGGTCTTCTTCGCGGGAAACTTGATATTTGATGGGAACGTGATCCGGGAGGTGGTGGGCGGCCTGGGTTGTGGTGCCGTGACAAAAGAGTGCAGAACTGGACTCCGCATGCGCACGGGGAGTGTGTTAATGCTCTAGAGGATATTGATCGTTGACTAGGATCTATGAATGACTCCACTCGGGGTTGAATGTCACGCTACCATTGTATGTATAAATACCACATATTCCTCTCTACTTTGGTCACACTTCTCAGAGGTGCCAACTGGGCATGTAACATCAATTTCCATGTTCACTTCTTACAATCAAAATTGACTCTCATTGTTGGTCCAGGTATCTGGATATGTGTCGGGTCCCGGGCTCAAGCGAATTGCATATCTTAGCGCTCGCCTCGGACAGATTTGGTACAAGTGGTGATATGTAAGAAGGAACAAACCGAGGTGCATCGATATTCGGATAGGAATCACCTCACTGCCACTAACCTGTATTCTCAGCAAGGTGCCTGCAACTACAGCATGCAAACCTGAGCGTTTACATAACAGGTTCGTTCATCACCTTCACCATCTCTTATCCTCGACTCTTATTTTGCGCATTACCTCAAGGCTTACTGTCTACCTCTCTGTAAAACATATCGCCCTTTCTCAAATAGGGTTATGCCCCGTGAAAACGCTGAATCAAGCACGTCAGTCAGGGGGAGAAAAGCGCCGTTGGGCTCGTCGGCACGTATGGGACCTGTAGCGGGAGAAAAGGACCCACCACCATATGGTGCACAGCAGTACCAGGATGTTCTTTGGGAAGGTGAGAAAACCATATCGAAATACCCACTGGCTTACTCAACAAGAAGCAGGCGGGAACGGAGCGCTCCCTCCTCGATGGCAACAGTATAAGATATTGGATGGTATAATACAATATCAAGACAACACGCTTGCCATGTCTTCATCGATTCGACCTCTACCAGGAGTACGACTAGGTGAGCGAAGAACATATCACTAGGAACGGGGAATTCATGGTGGAGTACAGATTATCTTCAACTCGTTCCTGGATGTGAACGGCACATCTCCCCACTCGGTCGGTCCTACTTCGTCAACCACAACACTCGGTCCACATCATGGAAGAAACCAATGCTACGACGTCCAGCAGGAAGTTTGATACCGGAGTGTATCATTGAAGGTCACTCCAGATGTATATGGAATCTTGTCTGCGTGGGCACCAGTTGCAACAGTTACAATATACTGAGTGCGTCGGACGATTGTTCGATTCGCCAGTGGAAAAGAGACGGAGAGCCGGTAGGAAAGCCTTTGGATAGCCACGGGATAGGCCCAATGGCAGTATCGCCGGATGAAACAATAGTCGTGAGTGGAAGTCTAGATGGCAGGCTACGGCTATGGAACATGAGGAAGGGCAGTATGATTGGCGATCCATGGGAGGGGCATAATGGTCAAGTAAGGTGCCTCGATTGGTGTCCCAATGCCCTGGAGGTAGCAAGTGGATCGGCTGATGGCACTATACGACGCTGGAACCCGAATACTGGGCGACAAATAGCACCACCAATAAAGACCGGTCATGGCTGGGTGAATGCTGTCCAATACTCTCCACAAGGCGACACATTCACGAGCGGTGGGGAGGACGAGGTGATCAGTGTGTGGTCAAAGGGTGGGCAGTTGCTCATCAAGATCAAAGGGCATGAGTCCCAGGTGACGTCGTTGCGTTGGTCCAAGGACGGTGCATACATCTTCTCCGCATCATTCGATTGCACCATTCGCAAATGGCGGTCGATTGATGGAGAGGAACTGGTCGTTCTTCGGGGTCATGCCAACCCTGTCGAATCTCTCTATCTGTCCCCTACTGAAAGCCATCTTGTTAGCACGGCAAGGGACTACTCCGTTCGCATCTGGGATCTTAAGACGAATCAGCAAGTCGGAGACCCACTCTTGCATGACGACGAAGTCTTGACTGTTGTCATGTCCCCCGATGGAAAATACATTGCCAGTGCTGGATTAGACGCAAAGGTCTATGTATGGAGCGTGGAGGCAGCGCTCAAACAGCAGGGTGTGCGCATCTGCGTTGTGTTTTGACGTCTTTTCTATTTCCTGAAGGTTATGGTTTGTTCAGGGTACGGATAATGCTAATACAAAGGCCAACGCGAAGTTCAAGGCAAGTGAATCCTGCGTCTCTTTGCTACTTGATCTCACTTTTTGAATAGAGACGTCCAATCCGACCAAGAGATGTACGCTAATCAATTGTAAACACCCCTATCCTTCGCTGATTTGTGTTGTTAGGACTTTGCCTTCCGCCCAATCGTCTCCAAACAGTACGCGAACAACAGAGGCGTTGGGAGATATGTTAGTATAAAGTTCTGATCTCAGCTCCTGCTAACCTGACTTTGATACAGGGCAATGACTTCTTCGGCAATGATACAAACAGTGCACCAGCTCCGCCTGCAAGCCCGTCATCTCTCCTTCGTAGTTTGTTCGGTTCCCTGCGTGTCGGCACGCGACCTCCAGATTCACTTCGATCAATGCCGCGCGAGCCCCGACACTGGAATTTCAACTTATTTCCTGTAAGGATTTCTAGACGGACCGTTTTTGTGTCCCCTGCTCGCGATGAAGACGTGAGTTGCTTGCTACTGCTCTTCTTTTATTCCATTGAAACACAATGCAGAGATATGGCATTACCCCTGAATCTGACGCTGAAGCCGCCGCAGCCATGCAACGTACAGATGGCAATGAAACTACCAGTTCAGCACAACCAGGGCAACCTGCAGCAGGGGTACAAGGATCTCAAGAACGACCAATAGAAGCACAAGGCTCAAGTGGTGGGACTGGAGAAGTTTACTATGTAGGTTAATTGTTGTGGATATTTCTTTGGTCGTCGTCGTCCTACCTCGCCTCGGTCGTGAGGTCATTTATTCGAACTCTGTCATTCGATAACTTTGTCTCGTGTTTCGTGTGCGTTTGCGCTCATTCACTTGGCTCGTGCCGTCCTACATATGCACAATCGCACGGTATAGAATCATATCTTTAAATCATGCCATGCTATCATTGTATGCCTGTTGCATCGCTGGCTACTCCACTGAGGGGGGCCATTTAGATTCTATATGTCAGATCGCTGATTTCTCCGGTCTGCTTCAGCTGCCATGGAACCCCGGCCACAAAATACAACATATCGCAAATGTCTAACAACACAGTACGGCTCTGGAAACCGATTTCACTCAAGGGCAGGCTGCAACACACGGAGGATGGAGGGTTGTTAACGCGAAGGAACTTGGCAAAGAGGAACATGAATTGCAAGGCAGCATTAAAAAAATGGGATACAAGACACCCGCAGGCCCAAGGCTCAGAAACAAGATATGCAGCTCACGCAAAGAGTTCCTCTCAGCATACACTATATGCTCCTCATGATCATCTTCCAGCCATCTTCTTGTGCGCGAGCAGTATGCAGATACCTCTACATCAAGCGCGTCATTGGTGGGTTCGTGGATGATGGCATAAGTAAAGAAGCGGAAGTGGTGCTGAGTGAGGAACCGTGTAAGAAGGTGGTGTTGGATAGGTGCGTGTTTGGTTCTTGGGGATGCTGCATGATGGGTGTTAATCCATGGTCATGATAACGCTCCACAATCCACCCGCGAGGATCCGATGCCAGGCATAGATATAAGGAAGTAACCGTGTTGCGAGGGATGATCGTTTGTGTTTTTATTTGGTGCTCCTAGGGACCTTGCATCGTCTGCATCGATTTCTGGAGTTAATACGCTCACCATTGAAATAGTCCCGCATTCGATGTACCAAAAGAAGTCGAGTCGATGCTCATACAAATGCACAGAGTAGCATGTCGAAGTGATGAGACATCGGGTGACCCCGAGGACGGAAAACTTTGATGCAAAGACCTTGATGCTACTTCTTTGTGTAAGGCGTGATTGGTGCGACTTGGTTCACTATTCTCAGCACCAATACCAGATGAACAGAAGCATTCTTGTCCCAGACAGCCACTACCAAATAGCTCAAGAGCCCCCCGAACACTGATTCGGCAGATATTGATATTGAGGTGTCGCTTGCGTGTTGTCGACCATGGCACACAAGAAGTGAGATCGTCAGACCCGCAGTTACGCCGCCTCTGAGCTTGTCTATGACATAGGTGGTAAGTGTGTGTACGTGTAGGTAAGGAGGGGCGGGGTGGGAGAGAGATGGAGTCAAATCAATTGGGTTAGAAATCTAGGTATCGTGGGTGCGTGCGGCGACGGGGGGAAGACGGAAAGAGCAAATGAAAAACTAACATCTAACTCACCTTCAACAGCAGCCAGGCGTCAGGAGCTATATACTCTCAGCAGAGGCAATTATGTGTATGAGGTCGGTGAGCACGAGATTGGATTATATTAGTACCAAGAGGTGTCAAGACATGTAAGTAGGTAAAAACTAGGGCGTACTTCCCAGGAAGGGTCAGCACAAATCTCACTATGCTCATTGGCACTCCCATTGCTCACATGTGCGAGGGATTGAGGACATTATGCTATGATGTCAACAGTGACACAGTGCCCCATCCTTCGCTGTAAGGTCCTGATACTGTTCATCCTGGTCAGTCCACAAGTCAATTAGTGCTGATAGAACACGTATGATTCTTATTCCTCACTGTAGAAGCAAACACACACAGTCAGTCAGTGTCTGAAGATGAGTGAGAGTAAGATAAACGCATCTGGGCCCAGCATGTATGGGTACGGCCGCCTTTACACTCTGCAGATGTGTGCCTGGACGTGCAAAATCCATCTTTCCACCAAGGGTTGTGAAGAGTGTATCCAACGTGATGTACTCAGTTCCAATGGAGTGGGCGAAGATGACGCTACCAATCGAGTAGCTTTGGGAAATGTACAAAGAGAGGTGCACTAGCGACATGTTGAATCTTGGAAGTGGGGGACAGAAGCAACTCAGGTTTTCCCGGATTGAGCTAGTTCTTTGACGAAATTTTCTCTAGGATGAAGGAATCCAATTTGACAAACGTTATTCACACTAACTTGAGCTATTATGCAGAATACACTATATCTATACAATCGCACATAGAACAGTATTTGAGATTTGAGAAACGGTCAGTCCAATTATGTCAAGAATGTTTCTCAATGTCGCCTAAACTTCACGTGGCAAATCCAAGGCAAATCTGATAGCAGTGTCGACTCTTGGGCTGGTGGTGGCTTCCCCTTAGCTGAGTTTCCCAGTCCACCCCAATCACTCTCGTAGACGCATGCGCATCCTTGCGCAATGTGAAGCAGGGAAGAACAAATTCTTGCCAAACTACATTCATGAGATGGAAGCCGTGCGACTTATGCACAATGAAGCCCGTTAGGACCTCTTCTAAGGGCCTGGACAGCTGCCATTTGTTTCTCAGTTTGTTTCTCAGTTTGTTTCTCAGTTTGTTTCTCAGTTAGTTTCATTTACCACAATATATACAAACAGCAGTGACATAGGGTTTAGTCACACATACTAAGGACTCAATGCTGCCTCCACTGGCAGCAAGAGAGCAAATTCACTGGTTCTATGTCCTCCGAATGGCAGCAGCAATGGTTATCCAGCTCATAATAGGTGCTATAATTGTTTACATGACCCCATTTCTCAATAAAGAGCCTTACCATACCTTGATCCTCTCTGGGCATGCATGGGTGCAAGAGCTTGTCAACGGACATCCCAACCAGATCAAAAATGAGCTTGGGATGAGAAAGGTCATATTTCATGCACTTGTACAGGAACTTCAGGCTTGTGGACTTTGTGATTCAAAGTATATTTCACTTGATGAACAGATTGCTATATTTCTCTACACCTGTGTGACTGGGTTATCAAGCCGTCATGTTGCAGAACACTTCCAGCACTCTCACATGACAATACAAAAGTATGTTCACCTTGCAAAGATATTTGTACTACCAGTAGCCTCACACAGGCCTTATCAGATATTTCAAGAAAGTCCTACTTGCCATATCTTCAGCTCCATTCTACAACAAATTTGTATCCCTTCCGCACAACAATGCACCCATACCAAAGGAAATATTGGAAAATTCTAAATTCTTCCCGTACTTTTCAGGTGCACTCGGGGCAATTGATGGTACCCACATTGCATGCTGCCCGTCTGCAGCAGAATGGCAACTATCATGAAACCGCAAAGGTGGTGTCAGCCAAAATTGTCTCGCTTGCTGTTCCTTCGATCTCCAGTTCCAGTATGTCCTCAGTGGTTGGGACGGATCAACATCAGACTTGACACTCTACAATAATGCCTGGCTCACAGACCTATATATTCCAGAAGGGAGATATTATCTCACAGATGCTGGGTTTGGGATATGTGACTCACTCCTTGTCCCATACCAAGGTGTTTGGTACCATCTGGCTGAATGGGGGTGAGCTGCAGTTCGGTGAGTGATATACAACTCACTGTAGTGTCTTCTCAATGCTGTGACAGGCCAAAAACATCAAAAGAAATTTATAATCTCCGGCACACTCAAGCTCGTAATGCTATTGAGAGAATATTTGGGGTGCTCAAGAGGCAGTTCATGATACTGGTACACCCACCAGAGTATAGTATGTCGATGCAAGCTTGCATCCCCCCAGCCCTATGTGCGATCCATAATTTTATTTGCATTCACGATCCAACAGAAATAGAAGAATTTGCCGATGAAGACATTGTTGACTGCGATCCAGGCGAGTCTAGAGGCGACCTTGCAGAGGGACCAGCTGACCGTGAAGAGAGGCAGCGGGCAACTGAAGACAGAGATCATATTGCGGTCGCCATGTGGGAGGACTACCATAGGATTTGTTGTGCTCGTCAGAATACGTGAATAGAGACCTACAATACTAGTATTTGAATCTACAGAACCTGCCGGTTAATATGTTTGATTTTTCTATCAACAAAAGACTTCCTTGGACCATCATCTGTCATGACCATATATGCATCAGCAGCGCTGACGTCCATCTGAAATGCTTCAATGAGCGCTGCCATACTATCATCATCAAGATGCTTTTCTAGCTCCTGTGCGCGTCGCATGGCCACCTGTTTGCACTGAGGTGACAGTATAATAGATGGGCTTGAAGTGTGTGATTGCGACGAGGCTCGGAAGATGTCGCTGAATGCTGAAAATTGGTCATTGATTGCGTAGAGTGCCCCCACTGATCCGCTAAACTGACGGTGTTTCGATGGTGGACCAGAGCCTGTAGTACCAGATCCAGAGGCAGTGAGGGAGGGTGTTGAAGACCAGGTAGATACGAACTTGCACTTGACCGTGGTTCTGACAGGAGTCACCTCCCAAGGAATAATATTGTCTTCGTCGTCATCCTCAGCCACTACCTCTCTCTCGGCAACCGTTTTCCCTTTGTCACTGACCATTCCTGCTACTTGCTCCTGGTCCTTGACATACTCATCAACTAACCGCTCTACCTCATCTTCCACAACAGGTTGAGTATCGTTTCTGTTGGCCTGGTCATTGTCAGGGGGTGCTTGTTCAGACTCAAACATCTCATGTCCAGCATGGAAGGCGTTGGTACCGCGAGGGCGTTGTGTGCACATGAGTTCGTCCATCTCGTGGAAGTATTCCCAGCCCTTGTTGCAAAACAGTTTGGTATCAGGATGTGTCTGCAAACTCATAATCATATCAGTACCCCTCTCATATCATAACTGAAGCGCACCTTTGCAAATGCCATCCAACGAGCGGCGTCAGCAGGACCAATATTCGCACCGAGTTCATCATCCCATGAAAAGCCTGATTGAGATTTGATATCAATAATAGCGGCATATTTTTTTTTGCACTGTGCAAATTACAATCAGAATATAATCTAGCATGAGCAGAGAACATACATTTAACCACTTGTTCTTGCATGATTGCCAGTCCCTGCCAGATCCCCCTACATGGTTTTCCTTCGAAACACCATCTGGCGGCTCCTGCAAATGAGTTGATGTGCCAGTAAAAGTAGACTGTTTGAATCCTGTCCCATCTCCACCTTCAGCATGGTGAGCTATGAGGTATTCGAGAAGGTGGGATGTCTCTTCGACAGTCCAGCGAGCAACTGCTAAAGTCCCGGCATTGTTTGCTGAAGGTACGGTAGTCTTTTTCTTTGCCATAGCAGTGGTAAAGGGAGGTATGAGTGGGCATTTGAGACCGTCACACAAAGGTCACTGTTGGTCACTGTTATGTCACAAGTGCCATGCCACATACAGAAACAAACTGAGAAACAAACTGAGGAACAAACGGCAGCTGTCCAGGCCCTAAATCATTCATACCCATATCCGAACTGGGTACAGTAGCATTCCTCCAGAGTCAAAATCCACCACCGCAACCCTCACCTGTGCACTCGGATCCAGCGTCCTCTTTCTCCTTATGCACCTCCCTCTCCCTCCGCCAGTTTCTTTAGATTCACGTGTTGAAACCACACTCAGAGAAGCTGGCTCTGCTTTCTAGAACTTGATGTTCGATGGGAGCGTGATTCGGGAGGTGGTGGGCGGCCTGGATTGTGGTGCCGTAACAAAAGAGTGCAGAACTGGACGGCGGATACGCTTTGGGAGTGTGTTAACGCCCTTGAGGACATTGCTTGATAGGATGGTGATCCATCTTTGGATGACTCAACTCAGGGTTGAATGCTACATTACCATTGTATGTATATCTACCATGCATTCCTCTATATTTTGGTTATACTTCTCAGAGGCCCTGACTGTGCGTGTAACTTCATTCGCTTGTCCATTTCTTACAATGAAAATTGACTATCACTGTTGGTTCAGGTGTCTGGATATATGTCGGGTCCCAGGCTCAAGCGAACTGCATATCTTAGCGCTCGCCGACAGATTTGGTACAAGTGGTGATATGTCAGACGGAACAAACCGAGGTGCGTCGAAATTCGAATAGGAATCACCTCACTGCCACTAAACTGTATTCAAAGCAAGGTGCCTGCAACCACAGCATGCAGATCTGAGCGTTTAGCAGGTTCGTTCTTCACCTCCACCATCTATTCTCTTCGATTTTTATTATCTCAAGGCTTACTGTCTACCTCTCTGTTCCTTTCTCAATCAGGGTCATGCCCCGTGAAAACGCTGAATCAAGCACATCAGTCAGAGGGAGAGAAGCGTTGTTAGGCTCGTCGGCACATATGAGACCTCTAGCGGGGGAGAAGGATCCACCACGATATGGTGCACAGCACCGCCAGGATGCTCTTTGGGAAGGTGCGAAAATCATATTGGGATACCCACTGACTTACTCAACAAGAAGCAGGTGGGAATGAAGCGCTCCCTCCTCGATGGCAACAGTATAAGGTGGTGGATGGTGGAACACAGTATCAAGATGACATGCTTATCATGTCTTCATCGATTCGACCTTTACCAGGAGTGCGACTAGGTGAGCGAAGGGTATATCACTAGGAGCGGGGAACTCATGGCGGAGTACAGATTATCTTCAACTCGTTCCTGGATGCGAATGGTACATCTCACCACTCGGTCGATCCTACTTTGTCGATCACAACACTCGGTCCACGTCATGGAAGAAACCAATACCAGAACGTCCAGCAGGAAGTTTGACGCCGGAGTGTATCATTGAAGGTCACTCCGGATGCATATGGAGTCTTGCCTGCTTGGGCACCAGTTGCAATGTACTGAGCGCATCGTACTGTTTCATTTGCCAGTGGAAAATAGACGGAGAGCTAGTAGGGAAGCCTTTGGATACCCATGGGGCGTGGATATGCCCTATTGCTATATCTCCGGATGAAACAATGGTCGTGAGCGGAGATACAGACGGCAGACTACAACTGTGGAACATAAAGAAGGGCAGTATGGTTGGCGATCCGTGGGAGGGGCACCATGATCAAGTGAAGTGCCTCGATTGGTCTCCAAATGCCCTGGAGATAGCAAGTGGATCAGAAGATGGTACCATACGACGCTGGAACCCGGATAATGGCTGACAAATAGCACCGCCAATAGAGACCAGTCACGGCTGGGTGAATGCTGTCAAATACTCTCCGCGATGTGACAAATTAATGAGTGGCGGAGTGGACAAGATGATCAGTGTGTGGTCAAAGGATGGGCAGCTGCTTATGAAAATCAAGGGGCATGAAGACGTGGTGACGTCATTGTGTTGGTCCAAGGATGGTGCACACATCTTCTCCTCATCATGTGATCACACTATCCGAAAATGGCGCTCGATTGATGGGGAGGAACTCATCGTTCTTCCGGGACATACCAACGCTGTCAGATCTATTTGTCTGTCGCCTAATAAAATTTATCTCCTTAGCACATCAAGTGACTACACCGTTCGCATCTGGGACCTCAAGACGAATCAGCAAGTCGGAGATCCACTCTGGCATGATGACGAACTCTTTGCTGTTGTCATGTCCCCCGATGGAAAATACATTGCCAGCGCTGGAAAAGATGCAAAAATTTATATATGGAGCGTGGAGGCAGCGCTCAAACAGCAGGGTGTGCGTATCTGCTTTGTGTTTCAACAACTTTTTGTTTTTTAAAGATTTTGATTGTTGTTTAGGGTGTGGATGATGCTAAAGCAAAGCCCGACGCGAAGTTCAAGGCAAGTCAGCCCTGCGTCTTTTTTCTACTTGATCTCACCTTTTTACTAGAGACGTCCAATCCAACCAAGAGATGTACGCTAATCAATTGTAAATACCTTTATCCTTCGCTGATTTGTGTTGTCAGAACTTTGCCTCCCGTCCAATCATCGCGAAACAGTTTGCGAATAATAGGGGTGTTGGGAGATATGTCAGTATAATTTTTCATTCCTCAGCTTTGGCCAACGTTCCTCAGGGCAATGATTTCTTTGGAAGCGATATAAACCGTGTGCCAGCTCCGCCTGCGGGACCGTCGTCTCTCCTTCGTAGTTTGTTCGGTTACATAAGTGTCGGCACGCGATCTCCAAATTCACTTCAATCAATGCCGCGCGAGCCCCGACACTGGAATTTCAACTTATTTCCTGTATGGATTTCTAGACGGACAGTTTTTGTATCCCCTGCTCGCGATGAAGATGTGAGTGGCTCACCATCGCTCCTATTTCATTCTATTGAAACACAGTGCAGAGATACGGCATTACCCCTGAATCTGATGCAGAAGCTGCCGCAGCCATGCAACGTACAGGTGGCAATGAGACTAACAGTTCAGCGCAACAAGCTCAACCTGCAGCTGGGATACAAGGATCTGAAGGACTACCAACGGAAAGACAAGGCTCAAGTGGTGGGACTGAAGAAGTTTTCTATGAGGTTAGCTGCTGTGGATTTTACATTGGTCGTCGTCCCACTTCGCATCGGTCATGAGGTCATTTATTCGGATTTTGTCGTTCGATAGTTTTACCTCTTATGTTTCGTGTGTTTATGCTCATTCACTTACCTTGTGCTGTCCGATATATGTACACTTTGCATGATGTATAATCATATCTCTATATCATGACATGCCATCATCGCATACCTGTTGCATTGCTGGCTACTTCATTGAGGGGGCTCGTTCAGATTTTATACGTCAAAATGCTGATTTCTCTTGTTCCCTTCAACTTCCATTGAACCCTGTCGACTATGACGCTCCAAACCCCACTTTAATAAATTGCGCGATACACTACTGGGTGCACGATACACAACAATCGAGTGTGTGATACACAACGACTGAGTGCGCGATACACTACTGAGTGCGCGACACAGCCCAGAACTTGTGTGCACATTCCAAAAACATCAGTAAAAAGTCAAGTTCATCGTAGCCCTGGTGACAGCTATATAGAGCTATATAGCCACCATAGCGCTATGTAGCCGCAAGGTTTGCTACAAACTCCTACAGTAGTCACGAACCTAAACAGTGTGTTATAGGTATCTACAGGAGCTACCACGACCACTACAGGACGCTACAGGTAGCTTCATTGTGCAGTAGTCGGTCTCCATGACATTCTGCAATCTAATTAGTATCCACAGAAGTGCAAAACATCTCGCTGTCGATGAACTCATTAAAATAAAAATCATTTGCGGCCTCATATGCATTTCCACTCCTCAACCTTGGCTCAACTGATGGTCCCATCTTCGGTATTAAATGATATGGCCTAACAATGTTGTTGACATGAATGACAGCAGCATTGTGGTGACAATGGCGGGTCGAGCACAACACTAGTCGCATTCCAGAAGAAGGGTCAGGTGTCCTGAAAGGTGTGAACCACTTGATGTATGCGAGGGCTCTGGTGTATGTGCCGAACTGACAAGGGAGGGTGAATATAGCATGAACTTGAGCCACTCTCAGACCTGCAACAGCTACTATTAAACACCACCCTTGACACAACTCCCAAAAACCTACCATGCAGTGTCTGCAAACGTACAGGATGAGGACTGTCAGATATCAATGCCATATCAAACCGAGCTGGACAACCAGGCTTATGGCCTGATGACAATCTCTCAGGTGTGGCTCTAATGCACCTCTGCATTGGTGTATCACCAACTCACAAGTCAGCTGGCGTTACAACGACAACTTGCCAATAAACGTCAGAATGGTCCTGCACCCCTGGTACAACAGTACAGCCAGGGATATTCTTCTGTATGAAACATTGGAGAGCTGTCAAAAAGTTGGTAGCACTGTGTGATGTTACGATCTCTTGAATTGATCAGTGTGGATGCGCTAGAGCCTTTGCAAGGACATGCATCGTTTGCTCTGTTTCATGTGAGTCCAAGTCTGAATCTGAGTCTGAGTCATAAGGGGGAGTTTCATGTGAATCCAAGTCTGAATCCGAGTCTGAGTCATACGTGTTTGAATCATCCTGGGTCCAGCCAGCTGAGAGAGGCACTTGTGCCAGCCAATCCAGATATGCTCCCTGCAAAAAGACGGCTTCCTGGCGCTGAAGCCACAAGACCATTTGCTCTTCATAATCACATTTATTGGTGGCACGGTAAGTGTCCTTGGCAAAGTTTATATGCAAGTGCTCAGGAAGTTTTGTATTAAAACCATCAGTTGCACCAAACAATGTTATTGACTGGACGTAATGAGTGAGTTGGTGGATCTTTGGGATGTTGAAATGTTCACAAATAGACAGTTCCTTGAGGACATCCTTATGAGCATGGAATACTGATAGTGCTGTCTGTAAGGTTTTGAGTGAATCCGTCATGTGAATTTGCAGCTGTGCATAATATGAGAAGTCCAGAATTGAACGAGCAACTATCAAGACCCGACTGGCAGGGAACCAAACTCAGCCACATATTCCATCTTTGAAACTCAAAATACACATACCTGGGAACTGCTCCAGTGAGTAAGCCAATGAACACTCGCTGCATTTGTTTATGTTCACTTCCGGTCCATTGCTTGACAGTTGATATTCCTTTCTTGAAGTGATGGAGCCCTGGGTAATCCAGCATTGCCTTGAATTGTGCGTCCATTTCATCCTCTCCGATTATTTGCTGACACCACCTCACCAGGTGATCCTTGAATACACCTTTATGAACTTGGTGCAGAAGATCTGGAGTGAATGCTAGGAAGATGTCAGCATGGGGCATATTGGCCCAGAAAGGCTTGTAAATGCTATGTAGTCCATTTTCCTCGAATTCAGGCAGATGCTGACCCATCTTTCACCTTTGCAATATATCCTTCGTGGTCTTAGGATCACGCATCTCTGAGTGCAGTGCATCCCCTTGCTCCTCTGCCGCAACAAGACACTTTGGACACCGATTTTCCTTACAACAGGCCACCAAACACTGTTCTGGGAAATCGGCAACATATGCCACCAGAATTGGGTAGACACAACATATCCATGAGTTGGTGCACACCATGTCCACACCATCATTACTGGCAGCAATCAGAGGATGGAGGAGCAGGCCCATGCAATGATGGAAGAGTCGGTGTCCTGCATGATTTGGGAATCATGCAGAACATGTATATGACATATCATCCCACATTTCCATAGTCTGTTAGCTTAGCCCTCAGACTACACAAAATGTACTTCGAGTACAGACTCAAGTGCAATATTTCACTTTGCATGCTCCAATCATGCAAAAATATGGTGTGTTGAAGAAAAGTCAAATATGATGAAGAAATCATATATTGACCTGGTCAAAGTTGATAGTCATACAAAAGCTTAGGTTATTTCCTATCATTTGGCTTATTTACTTTGACTAGAAATAACCAAGGAGAAAAGATAAAAGCCTACCAAAACCCTATCTAAAAAGCCAGTGTTTTGATTTGTTCTGTCTTATGATTTATTCTACTTTATTTTCTTCATATTTTCTTTCATTTCTTTACCTACTTGATTCTTTGACCCCCCAGAGACTCCACAAAATGTACCTGCAGGGTATGATGTCATGATGATGTCATATAGCTCCACAGAAATTTCTGGAATATTCTGTTGGATACTATGAAGCCATCTATGATGTCATAGTGATGTCATTGGATGCTAGAATGTTCTGCTCCACTTGGCTCCACTTTTGCTCCACTTTTGCTCCACAATGAGGTCATTTATGATGCAACTCTGATGTCATTTCTCTTTCCAACCTTATTTCTTGGTACTATACAGTTTCTCCCATCTCATGTATTTAAGGAGAGCACTTCTCCACCCACAAGAAAAAACAAGAATCTCTTTTATCATTTAAAAGAACCTCCACTTCTTCCACTTTCTCTGACATTGACACTCTTTGTGTTAGCCAGGAAGTGCAGACCAAGTACATTTGGTTTACTTGCTCTGAGATCATTTATTCTTTTCTTGACTGTACCTGTGCTGTCTAGTGTGCATCTGACATATAGTTTCAGAGGACTAGAAGTACCAAGTCAAGCCATATTATCTGTGCCTGCAGATTCCTTTGTTGGATCATCTGCTCTTGTATCATATCATCTTCCTTGGATTAACCCCTTTGCATTTAGGCAGGGAGATCCAATCAGCTTCTACCTAGTTCCCTTTGATAAGTTCTTTGTATATCAAGGCAGGGGAATATCTAGCATTATTTGCTACCTAGTTCTGTGCATAGTACGCACCTATTCTTTATTTTCTGTCTAGTCAAGTATAGGACTAGAGAGATTTACCCACAAACTCTATTCTCTATCTAGTCAAACACAGGACTAGAGAGACTTACCTACAGAATCTATTCTATTTGTCTAGTCAAACACAAGACTAGATAAAGTTTTATCTACATACTCTACATTATCTGTCTTGCCAGATAAAGCTAGGCTTGTATTGTAGAACCCCTATTTACAACTAGGTAGAATAAAACCACCGGGCTGTATAGCAGGTAACCTCCCACAAACACTGCATTATCTACCACAAAAGAAGAAAAGTCGTAGACCGCAAACTTGAGGTTGTTGGCAGCATTCAGTTTTATCAAAAGTGTAATTGTGGTGTCATTGCCTTTTGACCACTTTTATATAAGACACCTCAAGTAAGAAGATATTAGTATCCAGCCAGGGAACGTTCCTCAGGAGTGAAGCAGTCGAGCTTCCCCACAGGTAAGTAACCAATAAGCACAGTTGCATGCACCGAAGCCTGACACCTTTTAGCTTTCGCAATGTTTCCAATAGACATATACACCGGCCATGCAGTCTTATTGCCTCAGAACTGTGACAAGGTCATTTTGTCTGATGATAAAATAATCAGAGCTATAGTCGCTCCTTCAGGCAATGCTTTCTACATAAGAGGTCAGTCTATTCCTTCAATGTTTCTCTAGATTAATCTTACCTGTTTCTCACCCCACCAGTCTGCTGTCCACATCTTGTCAATAACTCTATGTTGACCTGCATGGTCAGCATATGCTCTGCCAGGTGAGTAGGCCATATCTGCCTTGAAAGCAGGGTTTCCAATGAGCTCCTTCATGCATTCCACAGGATCTCAACTCCATAACTCAACTTCTTCTTGCAGCAACTCCCCATCCTCATCCTGATGATTTCCATGGACAGTGACCTTTTGACAGCTCCAGCCTGGACCATGTGGAAGTTTGTCTACTCTTTGCAAGAATGAACAATTATTGTGAAACGATAGCTTTGTGCGCTGTTGGGTCTGTTGACAGCATCAATACGTGAGTTCCAATTTTGTTCAATGCTCTTGACTTACTATTGGTAGTTTTAGAAATTCATCAGTCTGGGTTTGTCCCAGATTTTTGACAACCCACTGCACTAGACCCCACTCTTCCCTGGTGAGTCTACTCAGTACATCTCTGGCCAGCATGGCCAAGGACTTACGCATCCTCAAAGGGAGACCACAGATCTTCACCACCTTGCTGTTGTTCCCTTCTACGTCTCTCAAATCTGGTCTCCCCTTCACCCAAACCCCAGCCTGCATTTGGCTGGGGTTCAATATACTGGCCACCATCCTCATCATCAACTTCTTTGACCGAAACGCAATGAATTTTGTTGAGTGTAGGGTTGGTGTCCATTTCAGGACCTGAGTGCGCGCGAACATGGCATGGGGCTACATCTTCATGGCCAAAGTCTACATCAGGTGTGTATAAATTCTCTGCCTCTACATCTTCAATCATTGATGTCCACTCCCTTCGGCATTCAGGCCATCCTACAATGTGTCTTTTGAGACCCTTGTATGTAGATGTGACCTTCCCGCAAAACATACAATTAGGCATGGCAGGTTAGTTGTTGCCAACAGTAACTGGTTTCACTTCCTAATACCCTGGTTTTCAGGCACTAGAACCACCAACACGGACACAGTTCATAATGGTATGCCACCTTTCATTTCACTTGGTTGGCTACTCGCCTCCTGTGGAATGCATGTGTCCAGAGGCAAATGATGATATTGTATTTGCTTAGGATTACCTGGAGGGAAGGTATGCCACCTTTCACCACCTTTCAATCCACTTGGTTGGTTACTCGCTGGAATGCATGTGTCCAGAGGCGAATGATGATATTGTATTTGCTTGGGATTACCTGGAGGGAAGCCGGAATGTTTGGTATGCCACCTTTCATTTCACTTGGTTGGCTACTTGCCTCCTGTGGAACTAGGACTCCTCCACGAAGATGGTGGCAGGCTTTCCTCCCTCTTACCAGCACGAAGATCTGGAGTGAATGCTAGGAAGATGTCAGCATGACAGTCGACCACCCAGAACCTTCTTCAACATGGCCCTTCTCAATGCAGTTCATAAAGGTGTGCCATCTTTCATTTCACTTGTTGTCTGGTTACTATCATCTGGCCACCTCTTCTAATGTCTGGACCATTTCTTTCTCTCTCCTCATCTATGAATTCACGCACTGCATTGCTTTTGCTTTGGCTCATCTTCTCTATTCTCCAGAGTTCCTGCATTGCATGGCTTTGCATTTGCACCTCTTATCTATTTTCTCTTTTTATTTAACCTGATTCTGACAATGAGCCTCATCTTCTCAATCCAATACCTTTCGCCTCGTCTTTTCAATTCAATACCTGGATGCCATCTTTCATTTTAAAGAGCCGAGTTCACACATGGCCTAGCTTTTCTTTGGCTCATCTTCTCTATTCAGCAGAGTTCAGGCATTGCATGACTTTGCTTTTACTCCTTTGCTTTATTATTTCACGCATGTTTTCACCTCTCATCTTATCTATTTCATACCTGTAAGCCATCATTCATGCCCAACTGCTGACTTGACTAACTGACTAAACTAGAGCAGTTATACCATGAGATGCAAGTAGGATCTCCAAAAGTTGGACTTTGCGTGCTTCTTCACACTTCTTCTTCTCGGCATTCCAGCGACCAACTATTAACTCCCTTACATATGCTTGGTGAGTAGCAGGACCTTGCATGCATTCAGTGATTTGTGCTTTGCATGCCTCATCACAGTGCCTCAGCTCAGCATCCCAACGTTCTAACACCAGGGTTCATAGGTAAGTCTGTGATGTGGTTATGGGTCCTGGGGTTTGACGATGTGGTTTCAAGGGATAAACAAGCTCTGGAGGATGTGGTCCCTGCTTGGTGCATTTGGGTCCTTCCCTAGCCTGCCCTGGTGCAATGACCACATGGAATGGGCGACTGGGAGGTGGAATGGGCCTGCTGGATGGTCAGTGCCCACTACACCCAATCTTGGGGCAACATACCATTCTTCCCTAGCCTGTCCTGGTGCAATGACAACATGGAATGGGCAACTTGGAGGTGGAACGGGCCTGCTGGATGGTCAGTGTCTACCATGGCCAATCTCAGAACAACATACCATTGTTGGACTTGAAGTATATCTTCCTCCATTTTGCTGAATGGTGAGAAGGCATATCTACGACATTGGTTAGTGTGCTGTGAGTCTCAGACTATGTGGCTACTGACTGTTTGTTCATTTGGGGTTTGTAGGGCTAATGGTAATGTTATTCAGTCACACTTTATATACTGTTGCATTGATTCTCCAAATGAAAGCCCTAACTTCGAAATCAACAGAACTCAAAGTTCTTTGTTGATTGGTGCTTTGTTGATCAAACTCCATGGCACTGTATTTAAAGGCATGTCATCCAATTTTTTTCACTGCAGACTATCTTAGTCCTGAATCATGGCAGTGAAGCTTTCCTCAAAAAGGGGGCCCTCAATGGCAATATCAAAGGCCCAGGACGACTTATGTGCCCAGATGGTATCAACCGCTGGTCGCACTGCCAGTGGTTGTCACCACCGGCCCACTGAAAAAGAGACTTATCGAAGTATGTAAGATTCAGCTGTTGCTTGCCAGGTTTTTGACTGGCTTTTTACATATCAGTTTTGAAATCTCAGCAAGGTGATGACCGCCAAAAAGCCTTGCAAGCCAAGGCAGGAAAACGACAGTTAAAGGCCCTGCACACTACATATAGGACAAATCCTGAGGGATTTGATAACAAGCCCACTGAGCTGCTGAGCAATGTGGACCGGGTTGAAGATAACATGGTCAGCATCATATTCTTTCTTGTGCTCCATTGCTCACTATGATGTACTAGTTTACCAATCGGCATGTACCTGCCAAGCCATATGAGCCACAGGTACTTGCTTTCAGTTCGAGCAAAACGCTTGCTCCTGTATTGGCTCGAAAGACAAAAGGTATGCAAGCTTGGCTGGTTGGGTCTTATACTAAGGTTCGTCAGATTCTCCTGTGATGGCTCGAAGGACAAAAGGTAAGCAAGTTTGAGTTGGCCTGGTTGTGTCTTATACTAACTAAGTTTCGTCAGACTCTCCTGTATTGGCTCGAAAGATGAAAGGTAGGCTATCTGGGCTGGTCATGTCTTATACTGATTGAGTTTCATCAGATTCTGTGCCTGTGGTGTCTGCTGATGATGCCAGTAGTGAGGACAGTGGTGATGGTAGTGACAACAGCTATGACCATAACAACAAATGACCCCATGGCAAATTATTTCTCAGTGATGATGACTCCATTGGTGATGAAGAGGTTGAAGACACTTCACAACACCAGCTGGAGGTCTCTGATGAAGACATCAAGCCAAATATCAAAGCTTTACATGGAAGACGCCAGCATTTAAAGGCTGCAGATTTTGATCATATCACCAAGGATGTGCTTGCCACCACCACATCCATTTACCGCTGTCTAGTGGTCACTCAGGCACCTTTTCCAGAAATGCTCTTGGTTGAAACCATGCTAGCAAAACATGCTTGGCATGAGGCATCTGATATTACTGGACTTACCATCCAACTTATGCCTTCATTAGTGAAAATGGTAAGCACTCTGTTGGGTTCTCGTCCTGGCCTCATTTGATGTTTTGTGATGGTATAGATGACGAGGCGCACATCCCATGTGTGTGGGGAGCTCAAAACAAAGATGTGTGGACTCACATCCTCATTTTTCAGCTTCCAGGCAAGCTGGTCAATGACAACTATCAAGGCAAACCATGACTTGGCAGAGTCATTGAAGGAAGGGATATCATTTGTTTTCAAGGTGTGTCATCTTGACTATCATTGGGCATTGTCTAACAGCATGAGTGAAAGGATTGGGAGATGAAAACTGGCATCTACAAAATGGAATTGATCCAGAAAGCAATTAATGATATGTGGTTTGCCAACCGCAGTGACGAAGGTATCCTCTATGCTAAATACTTTGATCCTTTACCTTTGAAATTGATGGTGCTGGTACTCATGGTGGTGAGTACTTTAGAGGTGTCTGATGGTTGGTGCAGCAGCTGACGTCTGACAGATGGAATGTTGTATCGATGAGTGGGCCACTGGAGTAAGGGAAGACATCAAATTCTCCTCAGTGTCTTACGGTCCAGTCTACCTTGCACATCTCGACTCCTTGGAGTGGTTTGAGCAGTGCACTGCTCCTTACAAACTACTGGAGAAAAATTCATGATAATCTGCTTGACATGGCTCGGTGTGTGTCTGGCTACTTGCATTGATTGTTCACTAACTTGGACAATAAGCTTACATGCTGGTGGTATAGACCTATCCAAGACAGCAGTATCTGTTGACACCCTCGCCAATGATGTGTTCAATGACACGATCCAAGAATATGAAGTTGAAATGCAAGTGGCGCGAGATGGGCGTCCTCAAGGCATAGAGGCTAGTGATGCTTGATGCTTCAGGAGGCCTGTTCTTACAAGGGTTGTCACTCTGAATACATTCATTTTTGTTGATGTGCGGTCCTGACACGTTTCATATGGTGAGAGCTACAGTGGCTGCATGCAGATGCCTGCTACTACTGATTGATTTTCATTGTACTGTGTAGCACATGTAGTGTTTCGTATGGTGAGAGCTACAGTGGCTGCATGCAGATACCTGCTACTACTGATTGCTTTCTTTTCGTCATACTGTGTAGCACATGTAGTGGTCTGTAACTCTGTAGTCATTTGCTACAAGAAGCTACTGTAGTGCTATACACCTAACCGTGTGGCTATATAGCAGGGTATAGTAGGGACTTGACACATTGGACTACATGGACTACAGTGACTATATAGCTCCCTCTAGTCAAGGGTTTTTTTACTGATGAAGCATCAACTTGTTTGTGACATCAAGGACTCATGTGAGATATGGTGCATAATGGGTGGAAGATTTTCCCCCATAATGTAATGGGAATCCCAAGAAAACCATACCTCTTAGGTTAATACATGTATAGAGGACTATCAACCTAAGAGGTCCATTTTAGGGGGTGACTGAGGTGTGAGGGATGTCACAATATATCAGTATGCGTCACATTTGCCACATAACTTTGTTATGCATAAGCCCTGATAACGCATAGCCTTGGAGGGGTCCCGACGTTATGCGTTATGATCAAGTGTACTGTATATCGAGACTCGAACAGAAATCACCTCACTGCCACTAACCTGTGTTCTTAGCAAGGTGCCTGCAACCACAGCATGCAAATCTGAGCGTTTAGCAGGTCCGTTCATCACCACTACCGATCTCTTCTCCGAGCTCAGCTCTTATCTTGTCCATTATCTCAAGGCTCATTGTCTACCCATTTGTAAAACACATCGTCCTTTCTCAACCAGTATCATGCCCCGCGAACACGCTGAGTCAAGCACATCAGCCAGAAAGAGAGAGGCGCTGTTTGACTCATCGGCACGTATGGGACCTGTAGCAGGAGAGAAGGATCCACCACCATATGGTGCACAGCACCGCCAGGACGCACTTTGGGAGGGTGAGGAAATTGCACTGTGATAACTACTAGCTTACTCATCGAGAAGCAGGTGGGAATGAGATGCTCCCTCCGCTGTGGCATTCGTTTACTGTATTGGATAGTACACTACAATATCAAGATGACACGCTGATTATGGCTTCATTGCACCGACCTTTACCAGGGGTGCGACTAGGTGAGTGGAGAAAGCGTCACTAGGAGCGAGGGACTCATGACGAAGCATAGATGTACTTGGACAACTCGTTGCTGCTGGATGCGAATGGTACATCTCACCACTCGGTCGGTCCTACTTCGTCAATCACAACACTCGGACCACATCGTGGAAGAAACCAACACGAGAACGCCCAGCAGGGAGCTTGATGCCGGAGTGCATCATCGAAGGTCACTCCTGCTGCATATGGAATGTTATCTGCTTGAGCACCAGTTGCAATATACTGAGCGTATCGGAGGACTGTTCGATTCGCCAGTGGAAATGGGACGGAGAGCCGGTAGGAAAGCCTTTGGATAGCCATGGGGCACGGATAGGCTCGATGGCTGTATCCCCGGATGAAACAATGGTTGTGAGCGGAAGTCCAGGCGACAGACTACGGCTGTGGAACATAAAGAAGGGCAGTATGGTTGGCGATCCATGGGAGGGGCATAATGGTCAAGTGAGGTGCCTCGATTGGTGTCCCAATGCTCTGGAGATAGCAAGTGGATCGACCGACGGCACCATTCAACGCTGGAACCCGGATAATGGCCGACAAATAGCACCACCGATAGAGACCGGTCACGGCTGGGTAAATACTGTCAAATACTCTCCACAAGGCGACAAATTCACGAGCGGGGGTGAGGACGAGATGATCAGTGTGTGGTCAAAGGATGGGCAGCTGCTTATAAAGATCAAGGGACACGAAGACATGGTGACATCGTTGTGTTGGTCAAAGGACGGTGCATACATCTTCTCCGCATCATATGATGGCACTATCCGACAATGGCGGTCGATTGATGGAGAGCAGCTTGTCGTTCTTTGAGGTCATACGAGCCCTGTCAGATCCGTTTGTCTGTCACCTAATGAAAGACATCTCGTTGGGGCATCAAATGACTACTCCGTTCGCATCTGGGATCTCAAAACCAATCAGCAAGTCGGAGATCCACTCTTACACGACGACCAACTATTGGCTGTTGTTATGTCCTCCGATGGAAAATACATTGCCAGTGCTGGATTGGATGCAAAGGTCTATGTATGGAGCGTGGAGGCAGCGCTCAAACAGCATGGTGTGCGTATCTACATTGTGTTTTGACGTTTTTTCTATTTTCTGAAGGTTTTGGTTTGTTTAGGGTACGGATGATGCTAATGTAAAGCCCGACGCGAAGTCCAAGGTAAATCAGTCCTGCGTCTCTTTCATACTTGACCTCACCTTTTTACTAGAGACGTCCAATCCAACCGAGACTCCCGTCCGATCGTCACTAAACAGCTTGCAAATAATAAAGGCATTGGGAGATATGTTAGTATAATTTTTCAATCCTCGGCTTTGGCTAACCTTCCCTTGATGCAGGGGAATGATTTCTTTGGGAGCAGTGCAAACCGTGGGTCAGCTCCACCTGCAACCCCATTGTCCCCCCTTCGTAATTTGTTCGATTCCCTGCGTGTCGGCACGCGACCTCCAAATTCGCCTCGATCAATATCGCGCGAGTCCCGACCTTGGAACTTCAATTTATTTCATGTAGGGATTTCCAGATGGACCGTTTTTGTATCGTCTGCTCGCGATGAAGACATAAGTTGCTCGCTATTACTCCTCTTTCATTCCACTGAAATCCTATGCAGAGATACGGTATTACCCCTGAATCTGATGCAGAAGCTGCCGCAGCCATGCAACGTACGGATGGCAATGAGACCGATATTCCAGCACAGCTTGCTCAACCTGCAGTAGGTGTACAAGGATATGAAGGACGACCCACGGAAACACAAGGCTCAAGTGGTAGGACTGGAGAAGTTTCCTATGAGGTTAATTGTTGTGGATTTTTCTTTGGTCGTCGTCGTCCCACCTCGCATCGGTCGTAAGGTCGTTTATTCGAACTCTGTCATTCGATAATTTTGCCTCTTCCGTTTCGTGTGCTTTACGCTCATTCGCTTAGCTCGTGCCGTCTTATATGTGTACACCTGCATGTTATGTATCATATATTTAGATCACGAAGGGGGGGCGTTCAGATTCTATATGTCAAAACGCTGATCTCCCTGGTCCGCTTCAACTTCCATCGATTCCTGTCGACAATACAAATCCCAACATGACATATCGCGAATGTCAAATAACACATAGTACGGCTTTGGACATCCGACTTTTGAAGTTTACTCAAGGGCAGGCTGTAACACACGGAGGATACAGTGCTGTTGACGCAAAGGGGCTTGGCAAAGAGGAACCTTGATTGTAAAGTAACACAAAAACACGGGATACAAAACACCGGTAGGCCCAAGGCTCAGGACCAAGATGTGCAGCTGGCACAAAGAGTTCATTATGTCCCCCCCGGCATACACTATATGCTCGTTTTCATCCTCCAGTCAACTTCTTGTGCGTGAGCAGTTGGCAAGCAGTATGGGCATGTTGAGCGCGTCATTGGTGGATTTGTATTTGATGATACCGTGAGTAAAGAAGCAGAAGCGAGGAACTGCGTGAGGAACCGGTACTGGATAGGCGCGTTTTTGGTTCTTGGGGAAGCTAGATAATGTCTGTTAATCCTTCAACAGCAGCCAGGCGTCAGCTCGAACTGTATACTCTCAGCGAAGGCAATTGTGTGTACGAGGTCGGATGTGTTGACACATTTAAGTGGGTAAAAACTAGGACACACTTCCCAGGAAGGGTCAGTGCAAATTTCCCTACAGTCATCGGGAGTCATTGTACTGGTATGTCGATACACTGCCCCATCCTACTTCTCCGCCTGCGCCGTAAAGTTCCTGATACTGTTCATCCTGGTCAGTCCACAAGTCAATTGATGCTGATAGAACACGTATAATTCTTATTCTTCACCGTAGATTCCAGAAGCAAACACCGCACGGCCTGTCTGTGTCTGCAGAAAGAATAAGCGCATCTGGGCCCAACATGGCCACCTTTACACGCTCTGCAAGAGGTTTGCCTGGAGGTGCGAAATCCTTTCCACCAAAGATCGTGAAGAGTGTTCCCAACGTGAGGTATTTCATGGCGAGGCCAAAGATGACACTACCAATCCGGTGGGTTGGTAGCTAGTAACGGGATATGTACAAAGAGAGACATGTCGATTTTCTAAAATGGAGGAACAGGTTGAAGCAGAAATAGATCGGGTTTTCCCGGACCGAGCTAGTTCTTAGACTCTTAATACCTTAGACGATTCGACGAAGGAACACGATTTGACAAACGTCGTTCACACTAATTGAAGTTATTATGCAGAGCTACAGTCACGCATTGAACAGCATCCGAGCAATGGTCACTCCAACCTCTTCAAGGATGTTTCTCAAATGCTCCGGTAGCATATCTGATGGCGGCGTCAACTCACTGGGCTTGCTCCCGCTCAGCCTATATTCCCAGTCTACCCCAATCACACCTCCCTGTAGACGCATACGTGTCCTTGCACAATGTAAAGCAGACAGAAGAAATTCTAGCCAAATCATGGAAGGCGTAGCCTATGGCACCAGGCACATGCTCGCTCAAGTGCTCAATTTCGCTCCCCTTCCGAATCCTCCATACACGTTTTTGAACTGGGTACAATAGCGCTCCTCCTTTCAGGATCAAAATTTACCACCGCGACCTTCACCCGTGCACTCGGGTCCAGCATTCCCTTTCTTTTCATGCACCTCCCTCTCCCTTCGCCAATTTCTTCACATTCACGTGTTGAAGCCACCTTCGGAGAAGTTGGCTCTACTTTTTGGCACCCCTCTCTTGGTGGTGTGCAAGTTCTTCTTCGCGGGGAACTTGATGTTCTAGGGGAATGCAATCCGGGAGAGTGGGCGGCCTGAGTTGTGGTGCCGTGACAAAAGGGTGCAGAACTGGACGCTAGGTACGCTTGGGGAGTGTCGACACCCTTGAGGACATTGATCGTTAACTCGGATGGTCATCCATGTATGGATGACTTGACTTGGGCGTTCAATGTGACATTACTACTGTATGTATACATACCGCGTATTCCTCTCTACTTTGGTCACATCTTGCAGAGGCGCCAACTGGGCGTGTGACCGCATTTGCATGTTCATTTGATTTCATTCCAATTTGACTATCACTGGTCATATGTAAGACGGAACAAACCGAGGCGCATCGAAATTCGAACAGAAGTCACCTCACTACCAAGGTTGCCAGCAACCACGGCATCAATCAAATCCAGGCGTCTACCAGGTCCGCTCATCACCCCCTTATCATCAACTCTTATATTTTGCACATTACCTGAAGGCTTATTGTCTACCCATTTGAGAAACACTGTCCCTCCTCAATCAGGGCCATGTCCCGTGAAGAAGCTGAGTCAAGCACATCAGCTGGGGGAAGAGAAGTGCTGTTGGACTCATCGGCACATATGAGACCTCTAGCGGGAGAGAAGGATCCACCACCATATGGTGCACAACATCGCCAGGATGCTCTTTGGGAAGGTGAGTGGACCGTATCGGGATACCCACTGACTTACTCAACAAGAAGCAGGCGGGAACGAGGTACTCCCTCCTCAATGGCAACAGTATACCGTGTCGGATGGTAGAACACAATATCAAGATGACACATTGATCATATCTTCATCGACCCGACCTTTACCAGGTGTACGACTAGGTGGGCGAAGAAATTGTCACTAGGAGCAAGGGACTCATGACGAAGCATAGATGCACTTGGACAAATTGCTGCTGCTGGATGCGAATGGCACATCTCACCACTTGGTCGGTCCTACTTTGTCAATCATAACACCCGGACCACGTCATGGAGGAAACCAACACCAGAACGTCCAGCAGGGAGCTTGACTCCGGAGTGCATCATCGAAGGTCACTCTGATTGCATATGGAGTCTTGTCTGTGTAGGCACCAGTTGCAATATACTGAGCGCGTCAGAAGACTGTTCAATTCGCCAGTGGCAATGGGACGGAGAGCCAGTGGGAAAGCCTTTGGATAGCCATGGGGCACAGGTAGGCCCAATGGCAGTATCGCCGGATGAAACGATGTTTGTGAGCGGAAGTCCAGACGGCAGACTACGGCTGTGGAACATCAAGAAGGGCGGTGTAGTTGGCGATCCGTGGGAGGGCCACAATGGTCAAGTGAGGTGCCTCGATTGGTGTCCCAATGCCCTGGAGATAGCAAGTGGATCGACCGACGGCACCATACGACGCTGGAACCCGGACACTGGGCGACAAATAGCACCACCGATAGAGACCGGTCACGGCTGGGTGAATGCTGTCAAATACTCTCCGCAATGTGACAAATTTATGAGTGGCGGAGTGGACAAGACGATCGGTGTGTGGTCAAAGGATGGGCAGCTGCTTATGAAGATCAAGGGACATGAAGACATGGTGACGTCGTTATGTTGGTCCAAGGATGGCGCATACATCTTCTCCTCATCATTTGATCACACTGTCCGAAAATGGCGCTTGATTGACAGGGAGGAGCTCGTCGTTATCGGGGTCACACCAACGCTGTTAGATCCCTCTGTCTGTCCCATAATGAAAGCCATCTTGTTAGCGCGGCAAGGGACTACTCCGTTCGCATCTGGAATCTCAAGACGAATCAGCAAGTCGGAGACCCACTCTTGCATGACGACGAACTCTTGACTGCTGTCATATCCCCCGATGGAAAATTCATTGCCAGTGCTGGAAAAGAACGCAAGAATTTATATATGGAGTGTGGAGGCAGCGCTCAAACAACAGGGTGTGCGTGTCTGCATTGTGTTTCGATATCTTTTCTATTTTCTAAGGGTTTGGTTGTTGTTCAGGGTGCGGATGATACTAATGCGAAGCCCAACATGTTGTCCAAGGCATGTCAGTTTCATGTCTTTTTCCTACTCGTTCTTACCTTTTTACTAGAGACGTCCAAGCCGACCGAGAGATGTGCGCCAATCAGTAATGAACGGCAATGAGACTAATAGTTCCACGCAACCTGTTCAACCTGCAGCAAGGATACAAGGATCTGAAGGACGGCCAACGGCAACACAAGGCTCAAGTGGTGAGGCCGGAGAAGTTTCCTGTGAGGTTAGTTGCTGTGGATTTTTCTTTGGTCGTCGTCGCTCTACCTCGCGTCAGCCTGTCATTCGATAATTTCGTCTCTTCCCTTACACATCTGGGATCTTACTTACACACAGCTCGTGCCGTCCGATGTACATCGTATGGTGTGTATCATACCTTCAGATCATGCTCTGTTATCATCTCATCTGTTGCATCGCCGATGTCTTTGATCTGTTCCCACTACCAGCGAACCCAAATGAACCTGTCGACACAAGACAAATTACAACACAACATATCGCGAATGTTTATCAACACACGATATCTAGGTGTCCGCTCGAGGTCAAGCCGCATCACACGGAGAATGGAATTTTATTGACAGAAAGGAACCTGACAAAGAGGACTCTGAGTTGTCAAGTATAATACTCGCTCTGAATTCGAGCCTCCAGCAACCATTTGACAAGCACGCAGCACACATCAGCCATGAGGTCATCTGCTAAAACTCTCTATTGTTCGATGATGTTCTCTTCCCTTTCGTGTGCATTTAGGACTGTCTCACATGCAGCTCAACATGCCATGAACGTTCGGTATTTTATTTTGTCAAGATGACTCTACGCCATTGTCTCATAATTTTCAGATTATGACTACTCATCAATACTTGATGCTTAGAATTTGCTAGAGAGCCATCGTTGCTCCAATGAGACATGAGTATACACAGTCGATTTCGCAGTCGGTGGAGAGTGGACGAAATTATCCGCGTGTGGTCAAGGGACGGCAAACTTCTCACCCTCATCAAGGGACATGAACACTCGGTGACATCGTTGCATTGGTCCAAGGACGGCGTACATATATTCTCTGCATCAGTCGATAACACCATCCGAATATGGCAGTCCATTGATGGGAAGCAGCTCGCCGTTCTTCGGGGTCACACTCACAGCATCAACTCTTTCTGTCTTACCCCCAATGAAAGCCATGTCGTTAGTGCATCAACTGCTCCATTCGCACCTGGGATCTTGAGACGAATCAGGAAGTCGGAGATTCCCTCTTGCATGACGATGAACTCTTCGATGTGATCATGTTCCCCGATGGAAAATACATTGCTAGTGCTGGAGTTGAAGCAAGAATCTATGTATGGAGCCTGGAAGCAACCTTCGAACATCATGGTGGAGATCAAGTTGAGGTGCGCATGCGCATTATGTTTCAACATCTTTACTACAGTTTGGTCGTTGTTTAGAGTGCGGATGGCGATGCAAAACCGGGCGCGAAGCTCAAGGCGAGTAATCTCTGCTTCTGTTCCATACAGTATCTCACCTTTCCGATAGGGACGTACTGCTCAATCAAGAGACGTGCGATAGTCAATTACGAACAACGGCATCCCTCGCTCATTTATTCTATTAGATTCTGAACGCCCGTCTGGTCGCTACACAGCAGGCCAGAAAGAGAGGTTTGGCAAGATATGTCAGTACAGTTTCTTGTTCTTAACCTCTCTCTCGTCTGACACTGATATAGGGTGACGACTTTTGGGGCGATGACACAGACCGCACACCTCATCGCCCAGCTCCAAGTGCAAGCACATCATCTCGCGTTCATTGGCGCAGTTTTTTTAGTTCCACAAATCTCGGCCCTCGACCTGCAAATGCAACACCGCACCAGCCCCGACATTGGAGTTTCAAATTATTGCCTGTAGGAACCTCCAGCCGCACCGTTAATGTAGCTGCTGCTCGCGAGGAAGATTTGAGTGGTTCGCCATCGTTCCTCTCATCGAATTAAATACATTGGCAGAGATACGGTATTGCCCCACCCACCGAGGCAGAAGTGGCCGCAGCTATGGGTCATACTACGACTTGCGACGAGGCCAATGGTTCGACGCCGCTAGGCCAAGCTGCAGTGGGGGTACAAGGTTCAACTGGTGGAATGAGAAAAGTCTCCTACGAAGTTAATTGCTGTGGATTTTCCTTTACTCGCCATTCTTCCTCGTCGGGTCAATCATGAGGTCATTCTGTTGAATGTCGATTGCTCTATGATTTTTCCTCTTTCCCTCCGTGTGTTTACTTATACCTGTACAGATAGGGAGGCATGTGCATTATTTTTTCAAGTTGGCGGAGCTGGAGGATGAAGAATTCATGACAGAATATCTCAGAATATTCGCCATATCCGCACCTGTCCAAACGACAAACGAAGCCAATTTGAGTCCTACAGAGTAAGACAAGTTATTTGACTTGCTCAGTCGCTGCAAAATATGCCCTCTACTGCAAGCCAACTAGAACGAGGCCTAAGAGCACTTCAAGTGAGACTTCACATCCATTCGCCGTTTACCATCCTTCATTCGGATCTCCAACTCACAAGAAGAGTCCAGCTCGGAGCGGTGGGTGCCTGCTGAACGCAAAAAGGGTAAACCTCAGTTCGCTCTCGCAAGACCTCTTCCAGCTGCAAATGGCTATTGCCAGTTGTTCGGTTTTCCCATTACTCTCGACGACCTTAAACATCTGACCACCGTCGTTTTCAGCCATCTTCGTCCAGGCGAGATACTTGACACCCCGACGTTCATGTTCTTGAACTTCCCTACATTCATCCAGCAATCTCTCCGTCTTCCCATTTGCAGTCGTTCGTGGCCAAGTGGTTGGACCATCTGAGAATATTCCGTCCGAGTCCACGGCGCCGCCTACAGTTGCTTGTAGTGTGGAAAGATTCAGATTCAGATGATCACTGTTCAACGCAACGCTAAGTGCGTATCCTGGAGAAGAGAATTTGGCGCTCACCGGGATGGTGGGTGGATTACCATCACCCTTGGTTTTGGGAGTGAGTGTCCATATTCTTTCGAACGCCGTTCAACTGATTACGTTATGCCCTCTTCAGTTGAGTGACCCTCTATCATCTTTCCAACTTAACAATGTGGTCAACATGAAACTTCACCAGCTTGTCCACTTTCTCCATTCATTGCTTTGATGTCGTCATTCCAATTCCTCCGAAGAAAATCGAAAGGTAACGTTTGATTGATTGTGAACGGTAGGGCTCGGAGCGGTGGCATAGTGTATTTCGAAACCCAGTACACGGTCTTTCCAAGGCCCCATGTACGATGTTGGATTGGCGACACGGAATCAATTTCATCCCTGCTTTCCATCCAGGCTTGTCCTTTCACATTCTTGCGAGCCAAGCGTGAAACTCGGGAGTTATAACAGATCCAGTAATGACGAAAGGTCGAGACAGTAGTCGTGGAATTTTCATGGGGTGCACTTAAATATCCTGAATGGGACAATGTACAAATCGCTTCTGCCGAGTCACGGAATCTCATTACAATTCTACAGAGTAGAGGCGCCAATGTAATCTGATTCTCGGTTGGTACAACTTGAACGACTTACCGTGGATGTTATCATATTCCAGCAACAATTGATCGCCTGGATAGTAATATACTGAGTAGAACACTCATCAGCCGTGCTCGTCAGTTTTCAGGTCATCGAGAAGCTGTTGGAAGTTGAGTGAAAAAAGGACCCAGTAACCAGTTGCTTGCCCGTCCGCAACATCTCATGGGCCAGTAATTCGTATCCAGCTCAAATACAAGTTCAGGATTAAGAATATCATAAAGCAAGCGGGAAATGCCGTCGGCACCAAGTCGGACTACCATTAGCCCAGCTGAATAAAGACCCCAAACCTTCACCCATTCTGTCGTACTCTTGACACAGGCTGGTCGAATAACATTGGATGCCGTCGTCCTGGTATCCCATTGCAAGTCCCGAACGCTTATCTGGCATCGATCAGGAGGAGGCCCTTCAATTTCACCTGCCTCTCAAGTCGATGGACAGGTTTCGCAACGGGTCAGTGCAGGCAGAGATAGGAGCGATGGCAAATCTTCTAGATGTTGAAGGATTACATGCTGTGGCACTCTACGCGATTGCTCCTGGTCTTTATGATATTTCCCTTCTTCCCACTGTTCCCGCAAACGGTAAGGGTGCCTGCAGTTCCTATCGGATACAAGGGGGAGGACAGTTGCATGAAATACTCGCGCTTCCATCCTTCTGCGTCCACTACGATTGTGAGTAGCTTGGAGGAAAAGAGGTTGATGGGTGGTGGGATATCAGTCTAATCTGGGTGCACTTCTAGAACACTTGGAATTTGCAACATCTATTTTCTAGGGAACATTTTTCGAGGCATCATACCAGGGGCTGCGGACCAATGATCTAAAAGGATGGTGCATAGTGACGGTGCGATGAATCCGGTTTCGTTCAGTACTGACAATGAGAGGTCGATGGTTCTCAGGGACTCACAGCCAGAGACTGACTCATTGGTAGCTGCAGTGCCGGCATTATGCAAAAAGTGCTGCCCGAGATCGGCTACAAGGCAACTTGGATAAGTGTTCAGCCTCCTATCGTCTTCGTCACAACTGGTAGAGTGAATGATCTCAATATGTTGGAGAACCTCCACCTCAAAAGAGTATGTTGGAGGCTCGGAGCGATATGAAATATTGTGTGTTTGATCGATCGATGGACCATGGTACGGGGTATTTTGAAACCCGGTCCGCTATGACCGGATTGAACCTGATTTACTTCCGCTGGCCAATTTCAACTTGCTTCCAACTTTCCATCTATAGGGCTCGTCGTCCTTTGATGTTACCATATCCTAGTAATTGCAATCTGAAGCACCTTTACCTTGAGCTTGTGAATGCATTGGTAGATAAGTTCTGAGGTTTCTTAAAGAGATACGGTGGGATGAAATTAAAGCTGTGCAAATTTGAACTTAGGCGTTTCCGAGTCGTGCATCTTACGCCGCGTCACAGTCTCTGCCGCAGGCTCGCCAGTGCTAGTGCTCGTTTGACCTCCGTGTTGGCCTCGTTCCATCATATAAAATTAGTGATACCCAGTACAATTTGCGTTATAAGTTTGTTCTTCACTGGATTGCCGGTGACTGGTTATACTACTGTCGAATCACCATCGCTCAACGAGTGAGGCTGTAGAAACCAGTCAAACTCACCTCTCCCTTGCGACACCCCTTCTCGCTTTCTGGTTCGTCACGGGTGTATGTATAAATCTGGTGCGCTCCTTCGATCTTGTAATTAAAATCTTGACTGACTATCATATCTATCAAAGGTCCGTCATGGCTCAATCAGGAGGACATTGGCACCCCAATCCACAGCTCATGCAGCAAAATTCTATTCCACAGGGTTGGCAAGGCACCTGGCCCCCACCAGCTGGCGTTTCTCTTCCTCCAAACTTCCCTGGTCCACCACCTATGCCGCCTGGCGCCAACACCCACCCGCATTGGAAGGCTGGTTTCTGGCAGTATAACCCCGCCTATAACATGAATGCAGGTTCCGGTGTTCCTTGGGCACCCGGAATGGGGTGGGCTCAGAACGTCCCTGCTAACTTTAATCCCTATAAGCGCGTCCCGCGTCCGGCAAGCCCGAGCTACTGGAGGACACAGCTTACCGACAATGGTCTTGGTTTGGAGAACATGGTCCCTGCGAGGTGTGTGCGTGGTTTGGCCTTCAGAGATGATCTAGCTTGAAGGACACTGTAGAACAGATCGAGATCGAGAATCCACCAGAGATGTACAAGGGGATGCTGTGCCACAAACTCCGTGGATATGGAATCCTCCAAGTCTGTTGGCGACGGATGGAGCAGACCGTGCTACCCCGACGAAGGACTTCAACAATCGTCGGAGCTCCCAGGATAGTACCCGGAGTAACTCGACTCCGACCAGTTATGGGCCCCCACAAAGAGGTTCACAGGACAGCCACAACACTACAAGCACGGGCACACCTGTACGAGACTATTTTTATAGTCATCCAGCCTCAAGACACGGTTCTCTAGACAGCCTCAGCTCCCGCTCACAGGGGCTGAGCCAACATCCCATCTCTTCGGCAACTCCGCCACCACCATCGTCGCACGGTCGTATAGGTTCGATTTATTCGAATCGGACATCATCTGGACCGCAATATGTGCCCCCTTTTCCAGCTCCGCCATCTTCATCTTCGTCTACATCAACAGCCATATCGTCATCAGCAACCCGCTCACAACAGCCTCTTCATGCGCCCATGTTCACGAGAGAGCCAGAGTCATTTATGACTAGGTCAGACCTTCAAACAACATTCTCATCCAATGTCGTGCGGACCCCTACGCACTATCAGGGGACACGCAGACATACGGATGAAGCTCTCGACCACTCGTCACGCTCGTTTTCGGCGCCGAGCGCGAGTACTTCAGTGTCCGCTTCCCGTGGCCTTTCAGTGCCAGAACCCCTTTCACGGCATCATTCATTCCCAACCACGTCCTCACCGTCCTCTATGGGTTCACTGTCTACGTTTACGGAGGATATGGGTAGTGTACTGAGCCCCCTCATTAATTCCGTGCAAAGATCTGCTACTGGTTCGTTATCACGGAGTAGGACAGAACCTGTAATTCCGCCAGCCCATTTATCGACCATCCCAGAGTCTACGTCATCGTCTTCCCATTCGAGCTCAGATGACTTCTTTTATCCTCTATCTGTACCTCCAGATTCTGATGAGGATTCACCAGAATCATCACCTTCGCGTCATCGTGTTCGCACGCGAGAGATAGAACGTGAACGGGAGAGAGATCGCGAGCGACGCAGGGACAGGAGCCAATCGTACGAAAGAGGGAGCCGCCTCACGCCATACAATAATAACTCGCGGTCCTCGAATCCTCTCCCGCCACCACCAATGGAGCGTCCCAACCCAGCTGCGTCCGCACCGCCTCATCAGTCCCCAGAGCCTGCGCATTATACACAACGTATACGGAAGGGGTTCTGGAACCGACGGGGGGACCACCTCACATCGAATTTGTATGTCGTCTATGCACCAGAGGAGAGGGCGTATCCTGCGGAGTTGCAGCATTACCCCAGCGAGATGGAAGGATATAAAGATCAGTATGGTGCTTTTGTGCCGTATTTGGCTGAAAGGCCAGAGTTACCTGCGAGTTTGCCGTATCATGGACGGCCTCCAACGCAGCCGTATGACAGCGTGAGTGTTGTGCTTTTTTATTCGTCGATAACATGGCTGATGGGACTTAGTTTGTCATCTACAGTTATCATTGAGGAGGATAGGGGTATAATTTACTCATAGTTGTTGCAAGCGATTGGTGGAGTACCAGGGCATACATACAACAGATCTATTACATTGTATAAATAGAATCATAAATGCCACGGACAGGACAAAACACTACAGATGATATTGACACAAGTACAAGTCACAGGTACAAGTCACAGTGCACAGATGGTGGAATAAATGGAAAGTGAAGCAAACCTTGAGAACAGGCATAAAATAAGATGGAAAAAAGAGAGGAAGAACATGTCAACGAATGGATGATCACAGAAATTCTAGCCCGATGCTACCATGCTGTTCTCGCATGTGTTCGTAGATACCATCTCCCTTGGGGAACGTTGCTAGACATTCCCAGCAGATATGTGTTTGGCATCTAACGCAGGTCATGTGGTTGCAACCTTCGCTGCGCTCTATAGGAGTCTTGCAGCCAGGGCAATTTTTGACATCATGAGTGGCTGCCCATTCATGGTACAGCTTGTCCTCTGCCTGGTCACGCTCTTCGCAGGTGAACCCATCATGAGCCTCCGAATTGCAACCAGAACAGATGCGAACTAAACAAGAGGGGCATTGGAGAATTACGTCGCCAGGAACTGTACGATATACTTGAGCGCAGTCCGGTGTTGGGCAGTGGTGGAACTCGTCCGACCGTGCGTGAACATATGACCAAAATGACGCTTCACACAGGGCAGCGAAATCCTCACCAGATAGGATTTTTTGGGCGAGGACGGCTGAGATGCGTTCGGTGCATGATGCATCATCACCAAGGCAGGTGAGAGGGAACGCCTTGTTCTCGACTGCGGACACGAGGTAACTCTCGAGGCAAGACGTGCACCAACTATGTCCGCAGGTGAGAATGGTTGGGACTGATGCTTCAGTAAAGCAAACAGGACAGACAGATTGGGGGGATTGCGTGAAGCTGTCTGTGTAACGGCTTTGTACCTTCTCTATTGCTTCACAGGCAATGCGGTAAGCCTGCTCGTTGCCTCGCACGACAAGATTGCGCTGATTCGGGAGGTGATGAACGTAGCAATTCTCAGGGCCAAGGGTTTTCTGCAGAGTCAAGAGGTCTGTGCCAACAAATGGACCCACTACCTTGCCTGATAGAGGGATGCGCCACCATTGTCGCGCCTGTAATTCTTGAAACCGCATCATGATATCTCGCCGAGCAAGCTGACGCTGTTTGATTGGGCCCAGAAGCAGGATTTTCCCCATCCGAGTGCGTAGTCCAATTCCAGGATATCGGCTCTCTACCTCACGGAGGAACGACTGGCCGGAGGGATGAGAGAAGAATCTGTCCCATATGGGTTTCTTCTGGAGAGTCACGACTTCACCATGTTGGAGCTGTTCGAATTCTGCTTTTGCAATCCCAAGATTGTTCGCTTTTGAGGCCGAAATCTTGATGTGGACAGGTCCATCAGGCTGCACGAGGCGGTCAACAAGAGTCACGTCATGGTTGAACCTTGTTCGCCACGACCACCGAAGGCTAGTAATTTCTCCTTCCAGTATCTTGAACTTGCTCAACGGCAACGAGAAGTTGAGAGACTGCACATGACGAGCAGAGAGGTAAATTCTTCCTCCCATCGCACGAGGATTTTGTCCGTCCAGATGATCCCTGGCATTACTGGCGTCCGCATGGGTTTCAAAGGTTGCCCAGGCGAGTACGGTGCCGTTCCAGATAGGAAGAATTATATCGAAATTGGTGAGATTACCGCAATTGCGTAGCATTCGATGTACTGCATGGCGAGCACTTTCAAGTGGCTGATAATTGGGGCGTTCGAACACGATGGACTCTGCCTTGCCAAACTGCTCCAAATCCTTTCTCTCTGCATCAGGAGGAAGGTGAGAAAACATGACGCTGTAAACGCCAACTGCGGGTAATCCTTCGTACAAGACGGCTGTGAGAATGTTGTCCTTCATCACCAATCCAGCGGCGGCTGCAATCGCAGCCCTGGCCTCATCAAGGGTTGCGTACCCTGCGTACCCAACGCGCTGGGGCGCATTCCAGGTAATACGGACGGCAGTGTCCTTAAGCACTGTGGTACCACGTACTGTGGTGTTCAAAGACAACTTCGCAGTGAGTTTCCTGCCCTGGAATTGCCGTCCATGAAGAGCTATCGAAGCCTCCATGGCTTGTGCTGCGGTGGCAAACTGCACTTTGACGGTCAACCGTTTGGCACCCTTTCCGTCCGGAATACATAATTCATCGACTTGGTATGCCTCCAAAAGGGTGCGGAGTTGGGATTCCTTAACGTCCGGTGACACGTCTCCAAGGTGTACCCACCGAGTTTCGAATCCAGTGGTCACGTCCTGTATATCGAAACCGCTACGTAATTTCAGTGTGATATGATCCGCAATTGTCACGGGTATGACAAGATCCTCGTTTCGACGTGTGGTAGGCGGCAGACTGGACGGTGGGGGTCGTGATAGGGAGTTACCAGACACTGGTACGTCATCGACACGAGTATTCCGAACGGGTGACGGAGCATTCGTTTGGGATATGTTCTGATACCATATGTTAGGGAGTGATGTGTATTACGAAACATAAAGAACCCACATCATTGGGATGTTCGTGCGGATAACGACAGGCGGGACGCCGGCACCGACCGTGCAACCAATCAAGACAAACTTGCTTCGGTTGGCAACCATCGGCCTTCGCGGGATGAGCGCCAGAAATGAGACAGGAGAAGAATGCACATACGTTGCTGGATGTCTTATGCCCAGTGTATTCTTGTGTGGTATTAGTCGAAGCCGCCTGAGACTGTTGTTCCGACCCACGGGATTTTGTTTGAGAGGGTATAACTTGTGTCATAACGGAGCCGGATGTGCCAGAAGATGGAGAGTGAGTTGAGTCTGCGGGTACCGAAATGAGTTTGTTACATTCGACTAGCTAAGCTAAAATACCTTGATGTGTGCCTCGAGCAACGCCGTTTCGAACAAGTGCTTGATTCTTAACAGAACCTTCGGACGCTTGGACGCCCTCTCGAGTTTTGCTATTTCGATTGAGTGGTTGATCATTCATGGGATGATCGGGAACTTGGGCACGAGTGTTGTCGTTTCGAACAAGCAGTCGATGTTTAACGGGATCGGCAGGAACTTGCACGCCATCTCGTGCATTCCCGGTTCGAAGAAGTACTTTATCTTTAAGGGGGCGGTCATGACTTTGTATGCCGTCTCGAGTGTTGCAAGTTCGAACAGGTGGTTGATCAATAGCGGGACCTTGCATGCTGTCTTGAGTGTTGACATTGGGAACAGGATGTTGATCTTTTGGGAGACAGTCGGAACCTTGCATGCCGTCAAGAGTATTACAAGTTCGAACAGGTGGTTGACCCCTTATGGGACCATCAGGAACTTGCACGACGTCTCGAATATCACCGTTTCGAACAGGTAGTTGATGACTGACGGGACCGTCGGAACTCTGAGTAGTAGGTCATCCTTACGCTCAAATTATGACAATGTTGAACTTGCCTGATGCTCATGGGCAAAAGGACACGACCGCCGAGAGCACTCCCCGTTTAGCCAACGCTTGCAGGTGAGATTGGTCGGTATTATTCTATGAGCATAGGGGCACCACCTGCCGCGGTCACAGATACGAATGAACCATTTCCTGCACATTTCATCCTTCCTCGAAGTTGACGAACTTCTCGTATCCTGCTGGCCGAGAAAATCAATACAGCCATCAGTACTAGAGAGAAACCAACGCCCACCGTAGCAGAACTCAATGGCATTGGCGCACTCGATTCTTCAAGGGACGGAGACGGACTCGACGGTCGTAATCCCCCACAGACAGATGGCAGCTTGACGCTACTCAAAGCAATTGGTGATATCGGAGGTTGGGGGGTTTGTGGTTTAATTGTGATGGGTTCAAGATCTGCGACTGAAGTCTCAAGTCTGGATGCTTCACGAGCGTCTTCTTTACGAGTCCTTTCCTGCAATATCGATGACTAAATCAACTCTCGGAAGCCCGAAGTGACTTACATTCGCCTTGGAAGGTGGAGGAAGGCTGACGTGAATTGACGCTACAGGTAATGCAACACCTCGGCCAACAGGCGACTGCAAACCTGGGGGTCGCTTGGGTGATTCAGATGGTGTACTCAGTGTTTGCATATGGTCGCCTGACGTGACTCCAAGCGGTCGGAGGGTGTCGTGACGAGACATAGGTGCTGCCGCAGTTGGTAGTGTTTGTAACATATGCTTAATAAGTACTAATGAGTTTTTTCGTACAATGGAATAATTGAATCGTACTTGATCAATGTGAGGATGAGGTTCAGTAGGAGGTTGCGGGTGTGAGGTATTCGGTTGGCCTATGTGAATGCCCTGGGCGGACAGCGCAGCCTTTATATCTAAAATCTAGCGCCTATGAAAAACTGTGGCTCTTAGGCACGTGTAATGTGGACTCACAAGTCCAGGCGAATGTGGATTCTGGTGAGTCAACGATGGCGAGTCAACAATGAAAGGATCCGTGTGAGGTATTCCTCCACAAGGAGAAGTCACAGGATTACACAGCTGTTTGGGGAAGGTTGAATGGTCAAGGCTTGGATTTGGCTTACCCATCCTATGCCACACAAATGAAGGCACTTTCGAAGAGGGGTAACAGCATGACTCACGATGCTGCAGGCTGCATCCGAAATCGAGGCGGAATCACGCCATGGTGTGATTTAGCACTTTGGGAATGGGCCATAGCTGCACGATAACTAGACGGGTGGACCCGAGGTTGTCCACAAGAGTCCTGAGTCTATTTAGTGGAGTATAATGCAGTGAATATGCCAGTAGACGTACCTCGCCACCTTTTGGCGCTACATATAATTGTAATCCTCTTTTATGATCAGAGACTGTGACGGGTGCAATTGAGGGCTGTTCTTGTCCGCAAGACTGTAGATGCTTGGATACATAGGTGTCCATTATCTTGTTACGTGAGCCGATATGGCGAGCATTGCACCTGGGTGGTGGAAGGATTTTGGACTCCCTGTGGACATCGTGTGCAAGCATGACAGCTCACAACATACGACAAAGAACGGAAACTTAGTAGGTAGACGCCAGACGCCGAAGCAGACTGGGATTAGCGGACTCGGTTAACATCAATGACAAATATTGACGTAGAGGGGCACAGTAAATAATTTTATTTATTTATTTCCATACGCTTATCAAAGCCAGCTTCAGCTTCGTCAGTCGAGTGTAGTCTTGGGCTTCACACGACCAATATGACTCGTTGGGACTACTGCCAAATAAAATAAAACTAGCTTAACAGAACAGGCATGAAAATAATTGGGCGACCCATTAACTAGCATCTACAAAAATTCACACCCCCGAGGGAGGTTTCCCGTAAATTCTTAGCCTTAGGGATGCATGGAAACCATTGCATTTTCCGAATTAACGCAGAGAGTACACAAAAACAGAAAGGGTCAAGGGAGAATTGCAACGATGTTCAACAAGGGGTGGCTCGACGACAGATCCTATCGGGTATGCGAGATACGCGAGGTCCAGTAAGTCGCCGGATGATCCGCGGGTCCAAATAGTCATTCCGTTGCAGATGCCTGACATTCGATACAGGTGACACATTCTCCTCCAGGTGAGAGTCGAGACGCCATGAACTTTCTTGCGGTTGTACCTGTTTTGAACCTCGAAACTTGGGTAACAGTTGACTTCTGATGCTAGAAACTGCGACGCTAGTCTGCGACAGTCGCATCAGAAAAATAAAAATAACAGATTCAAGCCTTGAGTTACCATGAGAAGTGATAGTACCACTTCCAGAAGACGCCAGAGGAATACCAAGAGACTGGTCGCGGCTTGAAAAGTCTTAAAGCCGAGCAATGAAGCTAACATTGGGATGTCAGAAAAAAAGAGCGCAGTTAATACCAACACAAACTGGGTTCGACAAAACGTAAAAGCCACTGCAGGTGAATTAGCCAAGCTTCGTGTTTTGACTTGCGCTGAAAGGTATCAATGAGGGCAAGGGCCGTCTGATTGATTGTTTCAAGTTCACGGTGGGTCACTTCTGTGAGCTGGGAAATCCTGTTGTCAAGAAGCGAAACAGACTCTGCCACCTCTCGCTGGATCTCTTGCACATGCACAACTTGGGAAAGAGAGGTGTCCAAAGAGAATGTAAGCCTTGTGATCACGCCCTGCAGGTCGTGGAAGGACTAAATTGCAAATGTTGTCAACTTGCGACCAAAATAGAAGAAACCCGATCACATTTTGCATAGCAATGAAAGTCGCGTCAAGCGCGGACCATTTTTGCTGAACTTGATCCTGGGAGCTTGATTAGAAGAATGTTAGGGAGAGTATTCAGACGACCGCACCGCGACTACCCGAGATTGAAGGCTCTGCTCTAACATCAATGATGCAATTGCTTCAATTTCAGTGGTTAAACGCGATTCGACGAGTGATAGTAGCGATGACATGGATTTTGAATGCTGTGTATTCCTTCAGGAACGCTTTGAAAGCCCAGAGAACGAGAATAATACGCTTAATGTCAGGTCATCAATCCTCCGATCAACCTAGGAATGTTAGCTTTCATTGATAAGCTGTAGATATGTTACCTTGTCCAATGAACGAATATGATCGTCGAAGCTGCGCTGGTTGATGACTGACAAAGTGGCTTCCATCTTTGTAAACAGCTGCAAGTGCCCCATGAATAAAACGTGCCAAAGAGATCAGAAGACCACCTACTGATTGTGTATTTTGAACGATGGAAGTGGATGTCACATCTGCAATGTCGCGTATATTACCGCTAGTCGACTTCAACACACTGACGAGATCGCGTAAGTCCTGTGAGACGTAATCAACTGCGCAGCTATGCTTATTAGAGGACTCCGCTGACTGTAGATGATCGCTCCCAGTTCTGATGTGCAGCTGTGAATCCATTCTGCTGTTCACGGAAAAACCGAATCAGAGCAAGTTTCTCCAACGTTATGTTTCTATAGATATCCTTTGCGGTGTCTGAGGAGTGAAACGTGAGAGTCACAGCTGCCATCTCCGCTAGAACGCACCAATTTCCATCCAATCGACGGAACGCAAAGCAGAGCTGGGCTGATCGCAACTATTAACAGAACAGCCAAGAAGTGACCCAGCCTCACGGATTTCTCGCAGGTACCCAGAGTAGCTAGACCAAAATTGAGCGCTCCGAGAGAGTGCGCTAGGTATCAATGAGCATTCGCCTATACCTTGTCGACAGTGACGCACTCGACACAATCACCTGCTGCATGATGTGGAATGTGTGGTTCGACATTGTTAATAAATGGAGAACACTCGAGAGGTGATGTATGGTGGCGGGCGGTAGCAAGTTCACAGAGGGTGAGCCTGATAGCAACTAGAAATATAAGGAAGGTCTCAAATTGTGCACATCAGACCGAGAAAACCTTGTATGCGTTCGTCCTCGCTCATATGAGATACCTCGCAACGACTTTGAGCGTGCCTTGCGGCCTCTTGAAAGCAGTCATTTTTACGCATATATCCATCGAATGCACCTGAAAATTATGAGATTCCTGTCCTTCATGGAATGCCAAAGATCTTGATTACCAGAGTGTTTGGAAATCAGGTCGATCTCTTCGTGGGATAGCTCAGCTGGGGAAGAGAGCGTTATACATACGATAATACAAGGGCCACAAAAACTACCGTGCATCTGAGATGAAAAGGCTTGAGTATCATGCTTGACAGATTGAATGATGCGTAGTTGATCCGGAGATTGACGCGACCATGACCAGGCGATGCAGCACCTGACGAGGAATGTGAATGTCATGAGCCTGGAAGCCTTTGCCATCGGTATGCTGGTATATAATTTTACGCGAGCAGCAAAAACGTTGGCCTAGCTTGAGGGATCCCGAGGAAGTAGAGGCAAGACTCTAGAGATAAGCTGGTAAAGTAACCTTCACTAAGTAAATATTGAAGGCGTCCGGTTCAGAGGCCCGGGCTTAGTCAGCGCTTCGCCCAAGGGAGAGCATGCAAATACTGGACCAACTGTCATAGACACATCATGATCTGCCACATCCAATCCTGGAGTCGCTTGAGCGTCCTGCTTGATGTCCTTGACAAAAGAGAGCACAGGGGCTCTGCCAGTGCCACTGATGATGATCTAGTGATGATGAATTAAGTACATGAAATATAAATATATAAATAATTTACATGCTTGTTTATGCCTCACGTTGTCCATTGAAGTTTAAAAGTTGAAACAAAGCCGGTGCTGCCCTCATGGTGCAGGCTGAGGTGCGCACAAGGCAAGATATAGTGCGTGCAGTGCATGAACGCATGATCTGCACTGGAAAACTACTAAATGGGTGGCTGTGGGCTCGCGCGCTGATCATCATCGGCGAGACTCGAATTAGTAGGCTGTACAGTTGGAGATTTGAAACCATATCCGTAATGCTGAATATTGCTGATCTGATCTAAGTCCAAAAAGAAGCAACTCGAGCGCAGAAACATAACTTGGCTGTGGTCATGAACATGCCATGTAAGCAATCATGATAGACAGTCTAAGTAGTAGCAGCATTTTGAATCGAGCACATGACTCGATCATTTGCAGCATTGTGCAATGCACAATGCGGCACAGTCATCGTTAATTCATTCGAATTTTTTTTGCAGACTACTCTGTGGTGATTCACGATGATCTTACTGCTCTCGATTCACTCTTTGTTCCGACTGTCCTTCTGCTACTCTTGTGTAACTAGGGGAAGACCAACTCCAATATTAATCGTCAAGCAGTACGTACGGTTCAATTGATGAATCATCTGTCAATTCTAATACAGTCTCGAGTCGATGTAATCTACATAATTATAAGTTGTCTACGGGTATAACGTTCGAGATATAAGACCATAATTAAGTGTATGAGCGTCAATGAATGAGCATGCCAAATCGGCAATTGTAGACAAGACTAAAAGCGAGACCCAAGAATATGGATACAGTATGCAATCTGAAAGAAAAGTGGTCACACAGTAATGCGGGAAGATGTAGATAACATAAATATTTACAATAACCAAGACTTACCGACGATCGTCGCCTCTTTTCTTAGAGTTTGAAGCACCTGAGAGCAGTTTCTGCTCCCACGAGGTGCTTCCCTCCCCCTCTTTCCAATCCCCCGTAGTCGGATCTCTTTCGAAGTCACCATCCCTGTATCCATATCGCTCCTGCAGTACTTTGAGAAGAGGGTTACGAAGGGCAGGGTCCATACGGACGGCCTCTCCAGGATGGTAGCTGCCAACACCATGACGAGACAAACTTTCTTCAAAAAGCGCCTCTTCATGTGTGCAACCACAGTTTAAATAGCCAGTAGGAGCCATACGGGGTGGGTATATTCGACGCTCCCGACGCGAATCGTGCCAGGAGCATAACGCGTTTCCAGCGCGATTCAACGAACAGAAAAGCCGTATGCGAGCGTCTGTCCGAGCTTTCCAGGATGCCTGCATGGCTAGAGGGGCGGGCATTGTACTAGACCCTGCAGTGGTAGCTGTACTCATGGACGGCCCTGGGTGTCTGGTTGAAGGGTCAGAAATGCTCCGACCAGCTAATTCTGCTTCAAGCTCCCTGATACGCTGACGGCCTTTCTCATTGGCTAGCTCAAGGTCTTTCACCTTCTTTCGAAGGTATTTATTTTCTTCTTCCGTGGCATCCTGCGAAGGGCGGCGAGCCTGATCAAATGACATCCGAGATCCTGGGCGGCCCAGCATAACGGCAGGAGAGTTTTGAGGAGAACGGTCTTGTTGGAATGTCATTTGACTTGGGTAGGTGTGCGCAAATGGCGGGGACCTTGGTGTGGCTGATGGATGGTTAGGGTGTGATGCAGTATTAAGATCCGTGGTAGGTGTGGTATTGTAAGGGACGGTAGAATGAGTATGGGATTGCATGTTTGGCGGAATATTGGACATATTGTGAGCACCGGGCACCCAAGATGTAGGAGCATTTGAGTAAGGTCTGGTTGTAGTATTCCATAAGTGCGGGGGAATATTCATATCCCCGACGGCACCAGACAGGCTTGACGTCGGAGCCAAGCTGGAACCAGACGCTTGTGGGCCTATATCCATGCTTCCATGAGACTGCGAGAGCGAGAAGTACGTTCTGTGAACATGGCAGTGAGACTGGAGAGAGGGACTCACTTGGACAAAAGCGCTTGGCAGTGTGTAAGGCGGTGACTGCATGACGCGTTGCCCATTGTCCGCGGACCTCCGCCCAGGGGAATCCGATTGAGAGTAAAGCATCCGACTAGGCGTTCCCCTCGAAGAAAAAGGATGGGACATGGTCACACTGCGATCAGATACTTTACGAGAATCCCTTTTTGAGTGAGCCTGTCGAAGACTTGAGGATTGAAAGTGCGTTCGTCTCGAGGGAGCACCAGGAGAGGAATAACGCCGGAGGGCAACAGGCGAGGATGAAACAGTGCAATGTTGAGTATTTGAGAAGGTGCAGGTAGAATTTGAAGGGAGACGCCGGTTCAATGGCGTGTCTTCTATAGCCTCGCACTTGATATCCACGGGATGACCACCCTGGACGCCTTCGAACCGATTTAATGTGTGGAACATATCTACAAGGGCCAGGCAGTGTTGATCACGCGACCTTTGGCTGGCAAGGCAAAGATTGGAGGAGAAGTTAGAGCCTCAGTAAGTCAAGCAACGGACAGAGCCCCCAGTACAAGGGAATGGGCTAAAGACCTTAGGATGAGTATCGCGATGGAACTGTTAGTAGTTGCGAAGCAATGTGTGATACGACCGACCATGAACTCACAGCATGACATGTCTTGACGACTTCAAGCACAACACCTGCGACGGGCTGTACGGGAGCATTGATAACACCTTTGAAGACTACCATTGCTAGGCTAAGCGCTTTGTCAAACATTTTTTGATGGCCAGTTATAAACGCCGGACTGGAAGTCACGGCATGCGATCATCGACAAATGAATTGCAGTGACACAGTGCACTGCCGCGGCGCCATAGATCGGGAGTTCTGCATAGCAGATGATAGCAAAATTTGAGGCAGAGCTTATTTATAAATTATGTGCGTGGAAGTAGTCAACTAGTCGACGGTGGCAATGGTAATTGCTAACTGCTACAAAACTGTCCTGATTGGCAAGTCCAATCAACACAACCAACGCTATGTGATCTTGGATTTATGTACTTACCATCAGACGGTGCGGACAATCAGGATCAAGCTCTCTTGGACGACTGGAACGATACGACCATGAGATTCAGCTGTGCCGTGTAGATCATGTCATGGACGGCATTAGACTGGCAATCCCGAGTCGACGCCGATCTTCGTACAAAGTTTGTATAGCATTTAGCACAATTGAATAGTACACGCTTGTCGTCCAACTGCAGTTTACACAATAACTAAAGGACATTGACTTGATCAACTGGTTGGAACTTGGGAAGGGAGGAAATTCTGAGGTATTATTACTACCAACAATGCCATGAAACGCTCCACAGGCAGTGTCAATGTCGCATGTAGAAATTGTGACCTATGCATTTAGATGTTGTAACGTATTATCAACCATCATAGCCGGTTAGTCGGAGTGTGACCAAGAACAAACAGAAACGATGATGGACAATAATACACACCAGAAGCTGAAACATGGGAAACATTGATGACCTGAAGTATCCATAGAAGCAAAAATGAGGCTTCTGACAGTCAATCAATTATAGCCATAGCTGGAATTCATACGATACTGAACGCAAAAAGTCAACCCATTCGGAGAACTGAAGTCCCGAAGGACAAAGCACTCAACAACATATGCCAGAAATGAATCGCAAGGTCTTGAGCCTTGGGGGTGGAGCTTCCGTGGGGGATCGTATGAAACCCGTGGATTAGGTCTTGCGTGGTCTTGAAGGCTTGAAATCGATCAATCACTCGATCCAGCTTTGGCTTCAGGGTTGTATCGACGTATGTCTCGCCAGTGCTTGCCCTTTGGAAGAAGGGAACTGTATTGGATAGACTGAATAGATGGTCACGATACATCATCCGATAACAAACCTAGACTCGTCTGGCATTTCAATCTCTCCTGTCTTGAGGTCGATCTTGATAAGTTTCGTGATTTCCACGGCCGGACGGTCAGGGCATCTGAGAATATAGCCACGTCAACATCATGTTAATTTCTTGAGGCGCAGTGTTCACACGAACATTCTAAAGATGCGAGGGATAGGAAAGCATCGAGGGCGAACTTCTCCACTAGGAAGCTCTTCTGGTTCACATGTATATTGCACTTGAAGATACACGTCGCTAGTTATTCAAGAACGATGACTCTGTGGGGCATTTATCATACCTATTTCCAATAGTCGACATTTCTTTCTCTGAGTCTCCGTCACCTTATCAGGTTTTTCATGGAAGGCCATGTGCATGAACTCTAGAAACTGTGAGAGAAGATTTGAGGGACGTCGGATAGAGTGGGACTATGTCAAGACTGTAACGATGAACTCCCACGCACCTTGTATGGAAATTCCTTGATTAGCGCACGTGCACGGTTTTCGAGATAAAAAGTCGGATTCCCATCTTGTTTCACTCATTTTCTTTCTCCCATCATCGATCATATCATCTCTCAGAAATACTTTAAGATGGTCTTCAAAGTAGCAGGTATGATTATCATTTTGGCTCACCTTGATCGATCCGAACGAGTATTCCTGTAGATGTCTCTCTCGCAGCATTCGGTCGCAAGGAGATCGAGATCGCTGAGGTATAAGTTTTGCCTTGCTTTTCGCGATCGTCTGTCAACCGATTTCGCGTCTTTTAGCATGAAATGCCAGGATTGATGTTCATGAGATCAAAGGTACTTTGTTCGAGATCGTTAATGGATTCCTTTTTGACCCTCTTCCTTTAGTACGGACCTTCTAAGCCTCTTTCTGGCGCTCGTATTGCTGGATGCTTGCATATGTGAGTTCGAACGACGATTAATTGTTGGGGAAGTCCTTATACTCTACAGGACCATTCAAACCGCCGTCTTAATTGAGACATTGACTGCTCTCGGTGCTGAAGTCACCTGGTCGTCTTGTGTAGGTGTCCATAGTTACGTGATCATCGCAAGGCGCTCACTTCCACTGGTAGAATATCTTCTCGACCCAGGACCATGCCGCCGCTGCGTGAGCGCATATCTCACCTTATGATATCAATATCTTAACCATGACTTTATAGTATCGCTGCAACTGGAGTCCCTGTTTTCGCTTGGAAGGGCGAGACTGAAGAGGAGTACCAGTGGTGTATTGAACAGAGTCTTGCTGCCTTCCCTGGTGGCAAGCCCTTGAACATGATTCTTGACGATGGTGGTGATCTCACCACCCTTGTCCACGAAAAATACCCTCAATACTTGAAGAGTAAGGATTTGTATGTCGATTTATGTGACAACATATCTCTGACTTTGCCGGAATAAAGACATCAAGGGTCTCTCTGAGGAGACTACTACAGGTGTCCACCACCTGTACAAGGCTTTCCGTGAAGGCCGACTGAAGGTCCCAGCCATCAACGTCAACGACTCCGTCACGAAATCCAAGTTCGATAACTACTATGGATGTCGGGAATCCCTTGTCGATGGTATCAAGCGTGCCACTGATGTCATGCTTGCCGGCAAGGTCGCTGTCGTCGCCGGTTACGGTGATGTCGGCAAGGGAGTGAGTAATATTTTCTTCGTTTTCGCCCAGCTGTCATTGATGGTTGATCGTTTTAGTGTGCCGAATCTCTGCGTACATACGGCGCGCGCGTTCTCGTCACGGAAATTGACCCCATCAACGCGCTGCAAGCTGCGATGGCTGGTTATGAGGTGACGACCATGGAGGATGCCGCTCCGCGTTCAAACGTCTTCGTCACTACCACTGGTAACCGTGATATCATCACTGCCAAGCACTTCTTGGTCATGCCCGAGGATGCTATCGTTTGCAAGTGCGTACAACATCCATTACATTGGTGATGAGAACTCACTTTTTGATAGCATTGGTCACTTCGATGTCGAGATTGATGTCGCATGGTTGAAGGCCAATGCCAAGCAGGCTGTCAATGTAAAGCCTCAAGTTGACCGCTTCACAATGCCTTCTGGCCGTCACGTCATCCTCCTCGCTGAGGGTCGTCTCGTAAACTTGGGGTTGGTTGATTCCATATTCAATCTTCTAGTTTGTAATTGACCTATGGTGAATTACCAGTTGTGCCACCGGCCACCCGTCCTTCGTCATGTCCTGCTCCTTCGCGAACCAGGTGTTGGCTCAGATTGCTCTTTGGACCACCCCAGAGAAATTCCCCCTTGGCGTTCACATGCTACCCAAGGAGCTGGATGAGGAAGTCGCTCGTGCTCACCTGGCTCAGCTCAACGTCAAGTTGACTGAGCTTAGTTCTGAGCAATCTAAGTACCTCGACATCCCCGTCCAAGGCCCATACAAAGCTTCGCACTACAGGTTAGACAAATGCACTTTGTCGTCGTACATTGACCAACCCCTTCTATAGGTACTAAACGTATCGATTGCTGCATGACGGCCTCAACGTGCCCTCGCTAGTTAAGAGGAGACGGGACCTTCAGCGTCCTTGTGGGTTGGATGTTAATTATGGAAGAGTCTCAACGCTCTTTGTCGAGGTTGACAAAAAGGCTGGCTCCTTGCGGGGTCATTGCTGGAGATTGCCTATACTTAAAGACTTGGCTTCTTGTGATGCACTGTGGAGTTGGGACAGGGCAAGCCATGCGGGCCTCAACGTGCCCTGCCTTACATAGTGTAGCGTATCTATGCAATTGAGATGAGATGAGGATGTTGATTTGCGCAGATATCAGCTAAGCGATCATCACATCATTGGTGTTGCTGTTAAATCGAGGACATTGTGCCATCGGCGCTATGACTGGACTAGTCGGCCCATCAGCTGTATCTGCGCAGCAATTTCGAGCGTACCGGACTACGTAAGTTCTAAACACAGTTGGACAAGATCCGAATTGCCTGCCTTCGCAGTTAGACTTTCGGATATCGCCTCGGTGCCGATCTAGCAATAAAGTTCCAATGCAATGCCCAATTTGAGCGCGGGACCCATCACTACCTCAGAGTCTACATCAAATCAATCGCTCGCGGGAATGATACTCTAAGCATCCCCGAGTTTCGGCCATCGCAGCAATCTTAATTGGGTCACAATATTCAGCAATAGCATTGCAATCATTGGATGCTGAGCTCCGGGAGCGCGATTCAGAAATCAAAATGGTTTTAAATATTACTTGCCTGCAATGTCGGAAGAGATATGCATAATTCCAGAAACACCTTCGACATGTAGAGCCATTTTTCAGAAAACCTAGCAAAGAATGCATCGAAGACCATGAATCTGGCGCATAGCCTCGGGGATTGTACTGGTATCAAAGATGAACAATGTATAATCTATTCTCGTCACGCTTGAGCGTCCCGGACGACGAGCTTTGTGATGCGTCCCACAGCAAGGTCGTACATCCATCCGTGTACAGTGACTTTCTTCGCATCCGGGTCTGCCCACGCAGTGATAATAGGCTCCGACTTGCAGATATTGTCGACTTGCTTGATGATATTGGCTTCAACAACCTTGTTCAGCGCCTCGCTCGCAGAGCACGCAGAAAGGTCGAGGGATTGAACGAGTGCGGTGAGGGGGCTCAGCCAGCGCGTAAGTGGGGTGGACAAGCCAGGGTTAGCGGCTCTGTCTTTGGCTGCTTCTATGCAAGCCATAGCACCTCCACAGTTGGTGTGACCGACGAGAACGACTGTTGAAGGCGTGTACACGTTAGAGGGAGGATCGACCTCATCATGAGAGCAGTAAGAAACTCGCCGTGTTCGACGCCAATTTCTTTGATAGCAAATGTGAGGACTGAGAGCGCGCTGTCATCATGGAGGTGGAATTGGCTGCAGTTACATGTTATGATTATAACACGTATTTTGATTATTTTTGTTCATACGTACTTGGCAACGTTTCTGTGCACGAAGATATCGCCAGGTTTAGATGCTGTGATGACTGACTCCGGTACTCGCGAGTCAGAGCAGCCAATCCAAAGGATCTAAAATGAACTTTGAAAACGTGGCTAAAAACAGTGCGATGGGCATACCTTGGGCTTCTGGCCGGTGGCTGACCGAGCAAAAAAATCAGGCGTATCCTTTATTACGCTCTGTGCCCACTCCTCGTTGGCGTTGAGCAAGGTTCGAATGGGCTTGTGGGACATATCGCGGAGGGGTGGGAGGCGCACTGAATGTAAGACGGAGAGGTTTCGGAGGATGGTTGGGCCACGAGTGTATGTGGCCCTAAGCATTTATTTTGCAGTACGGTGACTGACACTGAGTACAAATCAGCTCAAGTACGAATGGTAGGAGGCAAGTGAAATTTGAAGCGCATGGATGATGGGATGTGACACCAGTCTCGCGCAAGCAAGCTCAAATGCGAGTGAGTGTCATTAGTTCCAATCGCCTAGCTATTAAGACATAATGCATATCCATTTTAGTCACCCCCAGACCTTTAAGCAGAAGGACCTCGCTGCTAGCAGTGGTCTCTCATGCGCAACACATTTTCAAGCACATCGTTCTCGATTTATATGACTGCTGTGACTACAACAAGTCGGACCGTCCTGCCTTTTATCAAAAGAAGGACCAAGGTCACCGCCTGTCTAGGGGAAACACTAGCCCCCTTATTAGAGTATCGATGACAGCAAGCCTCGATAATGATGCATCCATTCATCCACGGCCTTTAACCCTTCTACTTCACAAGTAAGTTGTCAAGATATGTAACACCATTCCATGCATGGGGAATATATGATTTGAAACTCCCGACCGAACGCTCAACTCTCATACCAAGAAATCGGTACAGGCTTGCAATGTCTCGTGCCTCGCAACGAGTGCGCACGCTGGTTATCGGACACGAAGGGACACGGCCCCTCAAACGCCTTGTGCTCCTCCCAGAGTTTCTGGATCACGCGCCCAAACACCACAGCTTGACTAATTGCAATTACAATATGTGGACTAATTACGTCGACTCCTGACGTACACATTCGCACCTATGGTGTGTGAGCCGCTAACACGCCTAGTCATCGTTACGCCTAGGAAACACCTCTGATTAACGGCGATTCTGTGGAAGGTTTGTACCGGAAATCAGTTGTCCTTGGGTCTGTACTTTGATCACATCTTTTGTCAATTGTTCCTTGTTGCTCGTGTCACAGCGATATAGATGGCACATGCAACCTAGAGCTATCAGCAAAGGCTATTCGTTGATTTGGGGCAGGACCAAACTTTGTTTTGCATGCTGCTGAGCCTCATTCTACACGAATTCATTGTTAACATCGACACTCTGCTGGATTTTTCCGCTGCCATTGGTGTGATTCACTTTTACTTATCATGTTTCTCATTGACTTGATATTTTCTTATGTCCCTTGCCAATCCATGCTCAAATAGGTAACCTCCTCAGACTATCCACAGCATCTCGTACTTCAATAGTCGTACGATCCCCCTCAGGCACCGGAATGTCCTGTCTTCCAAATGGCCCCTTTCGCCGGACATAGCAAATTACCTGAAAGACACAGGTAATAGCCGGGTATCTAATATGTCAAGCGAGATCAATTCCTGCCGCTATCCAACCTCTATCACTAAGACACGCTTGATGGCGTGGGGCTGTCGGACTCCTCCGCAAGCTATTGTTTGTCGCAGATGTAGCTTAGAACGGCAACCCTAAGGCAAGTAGTCATTGTGTGCACTGCGGACATGATGTTTACGATCTTGCAGATCCGTGTTTATTACATCTCATACGAACATTCAGTGGAAGAGCTGATGAAGACCAATGGTGCTCGGAGCGAATGTGGATATCAAGCCAAGTAGCCTGGATAGAAGCAGGCAGGCAACCGCGAACATCCGCTTGAAACTCGAACGATCCACGTACTCCCACCATTCGTGAGTAGTGGCAAGAAGACTACGAGGCAACGGTTATCCTGACCTCATTACAAGCATACATCCGAGGATGTTACTTGTGCATTTTCGGGAGCACTGTGTGAGTGAAGCGTGCACGCGCAAGAGTGCTCGTTATTTGCGTCCGCCAAGAATGAATGGATAGTTCTTCGTGCGAGCAGCAGACAGACAATATTGACAGCTGGTTGTCCGGCCAGGCGTCCACGGGCCGTTCCTCTCTGGAAAGGATTTCCTTGTGCGCAGTATATTTATCTCAATGTTCCAAAGGCGATTACAATAATAGAGAACCCATTCTAGTTGTGTCGGCGGTACACACAGATTGCCACCATCACCTGGAACAAGACAGTCCTTGATAGTGATTTATTTTCTGTGCTGAACACAGTTGATTTGCTGATTAGAAGACTGGGACGTAAAGATCCGACCCGAGGTTTGCGAAGGGCCTATGCGTGAAATGGGAGACGGTGGGCGTAATACAATTACAGGACAGAAAAGCATCAGCTGTCCAAGATGCGGCGGCCGTGATGGTAATGAGGTGGATATGGTGAGGAGGTTGAGAGAGATTAACGGTTTATCAATGTCTGGACAAGAAGCATAATATGATCGTGATTGATGGGATGAATCAGATGCTTAGCCTTAGGCTCGATCGGTTCAGTCGAGGCTCGGTTGTAGCCGACACCATTGAACGGGAAGTGCCGATATGGGTGTAGGGGCCATTGTCAAATTATTATGTAGACAAGCGCGTGCTTGAACCCCCTCGAAATCGCCTCCCCCTACTACCTTCCATATCCCCTAGTTTATATCAAACACGACCAACCTGTTTTGGCCCCCATCTCTTACCATTTCTAAAGGTCAAACATCTCTCGAATAACCATTGACTTTCGCAGCTAGTCAATTACTTGACTGTTAATCATCGATTTCGCGTCAGTCACTTCAGGAACGTTTGCAAGCAAGCAGATGGTTTCGTCAGCACCTGCACCATTGACAAACCCTCCAGTTTCTTATGCTGAAAGTGTAAAAAAGGCTCACTCTCCTCGTTCTAACGTTGTTCGGAACTCTCTTGGAGACTTCTCAACCGTCTCTGGCGCGTCTGGGATATCTTCCTCTTCTTCACCACCTTCGAATGCTACGTCCCAATTACCCAAATTTCTTAGTTCGATCGAAGCGATAGGCGGATCTCAGGCCGGCACTTCTGATTTTCCAGAACTCCATACCGAAACATCTTCGCAGAACATCGTAGAGGACCACAACGGACCAACGAACCATGTGCATCCGAATGCCAATAACGTACCAAAGGCCGCGCCTGCTATGAACGTATGGACCGAACGTTTGAAAGAGCAGATGGCGCTTGCACATCTACACGTACACCAACCTCAGAGGCAACCTCGGGCAATAGTCACATCTTCTGTCGGAACGCCTTTAGTCCCTCACAGGCTAAGACCTACCGGCGTGGGTACTTCCCCTGTGCCATCGACTTCCACATCTCGTTCGAGTCCATCACAGACGATGTCTCTCAATGGAGACGATAATGACCATGATCCTTTTATCGTGCGCATGCCTTCACACCTTTCTCGACACTCATCCTCCAAGTCCATCCGTCTACTTAATGGCGCTGACGACTGGCAAGAGGTCGCAAAACCTCCATCTATTGACCTTGGAGGAAATGAGGGCGGCGAGAAGCCCCGAAGTTCGGAAAGTCACGCGGGTGCATATAATTCCTCAAATTCAGCTAATATTTCCAGAAAGAGTGCGTTATTTTCTTTATCGACTCCTTACCTTTCGCCTTTTTAAGCACCCTACTTTCACAATTCTATGGGTTTTCTCGATATGTTCAGACCATGCTGATTGTATGATGGTGCTCGTCACATTTATGTTCGGCAGATAGCATTGATTCTACCCGACATCAAAGTGATTCAAGACCACCATCAGCTCAAATGTCTCGGCTGAACAGCAGAAGCGTATTCGAGGGGAACTCCACAGGTTCGCACTCGGTGCCCTATTCCCGAGTAGAAAGTCGAGCTGGGAGTTCGGCTTCGAGTCCTCGGCTACAAGTCCGAGGACGGCGACTGCCGGAGGACGAATTGACTGTAGTATATGACCTTCGTCATGAGGCTCCAAAGGTTCCCTATAATCCACCGCGCATGAGTTCAAGGGTCCCAGAGAGGGCTACATACCACCATCACACTTTTTCTCATCCTCCCGATATTGCATCGCATTATTTCAGGTCTCCGCCCATACCACCCACTATTGACGTACCACTGCACTCTGCACGGCTATCGCCGCTACTTTCGGCCATTCGACATCCGTACTATGCAAATCCCGTTTCAGGACACACCTCTCCTACGTACGCGGGCTCGCGTCCTCCCTCTGGAGCTGGTACCCCGCCATACCCGGTATATCCTCCATACACAACGACATGCGGATACTGTCATTCGCGTATTCCGTGGGATGGGTTCGTTTCTCCAATCCACCCTCGCCCCGTTCCGGGCTTTTCTACCCCGTTATTGCAGGATGAATATATTGTGCCTGCGCCGATGCATTCGTCATTCTCCAACCCATCGTTTCCAGACACGACGGAGCCATTACCAAAAACCCGTTTGACGCAGAGTGAGCGTTCGTATGAGAGCTCGCAGGACTCACATTTGCCTCCTGCTATTATTTCACGAAATATGGTCTTCGGGAGTATCGACCTGACTCATGAACGCATCCGTCAGACGCCGAACGCAAAGGAGGCTACGAGAAAAGAAGGCAAGAAATCCATTGAGCGAATAGCGGAACAGTTCTCTGGCTTTTATATTGGTATTCCACCTGGCGAACCAGTGCCACCTCGTCAAGGACATAGAAAACATTCGACCAAGAGTCTTTCGAGGCCTTCTGCGAGTCCCGTAGCGGAAGCTACAGACAATGTGAAGGCAATCGATGGTGCACCCCAGGAAGGGTGTAAAGTGGTCGACGAACAACCGAATACTGCTGTTGGGGAAGATGTTTCAGCACCTGGTAAGAAGTGGGTGTTCGGAACGACAGCGAAGTTTGACAGGCTGAACGAAGCTAGTTCACTGGAGGATTCACGGAGCACGTCATCCGAGCCCCCACCTCCACCCGCTGAACCTGCGCAATCAGTCGCTCTTCTACCTGACCAGCACCCGCCTGCCGCGACATCCGTGGCGCAGCCCCCTAGCAATGAGAAACCTGTCACGTCGCCACTTAGTGAAACACAGAATGGACCTTCAATGATGAAGTCTGAGGACGGTTCTACGACGAGCGACGTCTGGGAGGTCAAGGATTACGGATATGGATTCGGCGACGTGAGTGGTACAGATAATGCCACCGACGTCATTCGCCGCGCCAAGGAGGCTCGGGAGAGGCAGCGACAGCTCGAGTGGCAGAAGGAGCAGGTACAGATACAGCTGCAGAAGGAACAGGAACTACAACTTGGAGTACAGGAGATCCATACCCAGCACACGTGGCAGGAGGCACATGAAGAGCGAGAACTGTGGGACCAAGTCAAAGAGTTTGGACGTGGGCGACCCCGTCGAGGCTCTTGGGTTAATTCGCATGGGCCGCACGAACGGGGCGCTTATGGTGGTCGAAGAGCGCGAGGATTCGGTGGTCGCTACCAAGGGCGAAATCCTGGCCGTGGGGGTTACCACCACCAGCAACGATCTTCCATATCTTCTCTCACGCCACCTCCACAGTTTAATCCTTTGCCGCTACCTGGTGCCGGTTATATGAACGGTTACGTCCAGATACCATCTTATACACCTCCCGATTACGAATTATACCACCCCGTTCCAGTCACCATACCTGTGAATGGTGCAGTTCCCATCCCTATGCCACAGTCGGCATTACCGTTTCCTTCGGACACGACACGGTCATGTCTTCTTACCCAGTTGGAGTATTATCTGAGCTCTCAGAACATGGCACAGGACTTCTTCCTCCGGCAGCGGGTGAGTTCAATAGTCAATGGGAATCTCATGTTTCTGACAAGTACCGCCATGTTACACAGATGGATGATCAGGGATGGATACCCATTTCACTGATAGCTTCATTCAACAGAGTAAAAAGGCTCACCACAGATGTCAATCTCGTGCGCGATGTACTCAACCTGTCTAGCCTGACTGAGGTCAAGGGTGATTATGTTCGGATGACCAGGGAGCAGTGGAAGCAGTTCGTCTTACCCAATGCTCCAAGGAGCATTGTATGCCATCCGATTGAATCTGAGGCAACAGAGCCTCAGGACGATCAGGTCGCTTACGCCCAAGTTCAGGATGGTGAAATAGAAGAAGAAGGCGATACATATGGGGAGGATGACGACGACGAAGACATTGTCTTTGTCATTGGCGAAGAGGCAGAAGGCTCATGGGCGCCAGAACGACGACCAGCAGCATTGGAAAGCACTTGATCGCTGGAATTGCATTCAGTGACTCTCTCAAAAAGCATTCTAGAACGAAGTTGATACCCTTACCCGTGTGCACATTTCAGTGCGTTCGCGGACAGGAGATCCCATTGATTTTTACCTCTTTGTTATGTTGTTTATGTGGTTAGTCCGTATCCTCGTGTTCTCCATCGCTAACATTTTGCTTCATATGCATGCTTACACAGTAATAATGTTTTCTTCACGGCAGTATCATCCTCGCATATCGTATCATCGTTCATTCGTCCTTCACATTTCCTTGGCTGGTTTTCATACAATGTTGTTCGTTTTCCTGCAGTTATCGTTCTAGTACACGAGCTATCCCGTCTATAAACTAAATGATCATTGGGCTCTCTGGATAGGGCATTCGCAGAACTCGCTCTTAATGGACGCTGTCCTGTTTAATTAGATTTGTGGTATAAAGAGCTGCTATTTATAACCTAAGAGGTCGCAGGGTCCGGGGTCCTCGCGTTCTGGCCGCAGCGGCTGCGCTTCTTCGCATGCATATAAGCCTGACCCCACTTGCTAAGTGCCGTCAGCATCACCTCTTACTTGCGCGCTACTAGTATGGTCAAAGCCTCTGACGTCCTTTTAATTCTTGTTCGTACCTAAAATATTCACTTAACATACACAGGGAACTGAACCACTAAACAGGTTGCTATCATCTTTCCGCCTGCAGCCGCTGCTTTTATCACCGGCTGTAGCTGTGACTTACTCATTAACATATGTTTGACTATGTGAGTTTCCCATGATTACCGAAATCATGACACGGCCTGATCGCCAGCATAGCTTGGGATATTTCCCCGGACATATTGTGCGCTGGCCACCCATCTCCTAGAAGAGACAGACTCTGACTTGTAATTCCTTATCATAGCACGCCTTTTGGCTCATCTACAGGAAGATGCAAGCTGAAGAGAGGTATGGGTACGGGGGGTTCTATTGTACGTAATCTCCTTGCCATTCTGTGCAACTGCGGCTGAGACTGTGACGTAACAGACACTGGCAACGGGCATTACCAGGCTCTCAATCAAGGTTCTGCTGCTCCTGTAAACTATGGCACGGCAGGGCCTTAGATTATTTGTCACTCGGATGATATCTATCACACATATGTGCTGCAAAGTGTCACTCCACTTGTAGAACTTTGTAACTAGGCTTTGTTCATTATTACCCATACCTTATGAGTTTTGTCGCTACCATCATTCTTTCAAAGTCTTGAAGATTCATGGATTTATCTGGTGAGGTGGAGAACGCATCTAGCATTGCAATAATCTGAAGGGCAATTCTGTCGACAAGGGACGCCGATAGACAATGAGAATGCTTACTTCCTCAGCTTTTATCTTCTCCTTAAGCAGATTAGCAACGCGTGTAACGTCCTTGATCATGATTTTCTGACGGTCCAGCTCAGCATCAGGCACATCAGGAAAGAACCTTGCGAAGTCCTCCCGACATTCAGCCTTTTGTTTCGCGCTCAATTGACTAGCATCAAGCCTCGCGTCGGTGGGTAACGACTTGGATGTCTTTTGGGGTTTGCGCGATCCGGAAGCAGCGGTAGGCTTATCATCTTGATATTCCTCGTCAGATGCTTCTGGTTCACTCGAGTCCCCATCGACGGACATGCGATATTCATCACTGTCCGGGCCACTATCGTTCTCCTGGTCTCTGCGTGCTATCATCTCGGAATGAGCAGCAGAAGGTCCGCCATCGTCACTCCCCTCCCCGTCTTCTCCCTCTAGAAGGGCAGCACACACAGATCGCCAGTCCTTCCGGCTGACTTCACTCGATCCCTCCAGGCTTGCTCCCCAGCCTGACGCAGCATTTCGAAACACAGAAAGAACCTCTTCGTCATTTGAAGGGAGTCCAAGAAACTGAAGTGCAGCTGGGATAGATGAGAGTGATATGGAGATAGGGTCTGGAGACGGAGATGGAGTGCGATCTTCGTATTCATCAAGTAGAAAACCTCCAGCGTCCTCTATCAAGAATCCTCCTTGTGATACGTCTTCTACAGTGGTGAATCCACCAGACTGAGCTGAGTCAAGCTTACGCTTCTTTCGAGGCGGATTTGATGATTTTGAGATGTTTCCGGCGGCTCTATCGAATGCATCATCTATGCGTCGACGCAGACGAGTAGACAGGGCAACGAAGTCGGCATCATCCATGATTTCTTCAGGGATAGTGGAAGTCCGGGAGAAGCCCTAAAGACAATTGTGTCACGTGGAATCGACGTGAGTGTTGTGGGCAGAACCGGCAGAATAACCAGTTCTGCTGAGTGGCATAACTCTATCGGTGAAACTTTCCTATCTACAACGTCAATGACAGTCCTACCGAAGATATCAACGACGCCTCGTCCCATCCATCATCCTTGTCATCATGATTCATGGCATCAACCTCATCTGCAGCAGCTTGGGGTATTATCCCTTGGTCAACACGCTCCAATTCGGCAAAATCGAATGCCTTCCCTCCAAGGACCTCCATGTTGTCAATACTCACAAATTCTTCTGAGCTTCGAGAGCAACAAATGCTTCAGCAATTTCATCAACTGATTTGGTCTTGGGACCTGCAAGGATGTTGTCTACATATTGTGGTTCTGCCGCAAGTGGAGGCATGGTGAAGCTCGGGAGCACCATCCTTGCAGTAGCGGATGATAGGGCTGGGCAGGTTATTGTCGAGGTGACCAGTGCTTGCATTTCCAGAGGTAGCGGCCAGAGCTGTTGGCAACTTTGTCGAGATGCTCAAAGCCACCGTTGATTAGGGATGGCACTGGGCAACCACCAGCATGGACCATATTCTGGGACGAAGAATCAGCCGAGAGCATCTCCAACTCTGTTTTCACATTTGTAAGTCATACGCAATGTACATATTATTATGGACTAGTTATCTGCCAACCCTGAGTTCTGCCAAGTTCTGCCAGCAATTTTTCAGAGTTCTGCCAAACCGGTTGGTAGAACACGTCAGTTCTACCCACAACACTGGCTGCAAATACTACTAATAGCACTTTGGTAACTCCCACTGAGCTGGCAATTCAAGAATTTACCCTTGCTATCTCCAGAACATTTGAATTATGCCTGGGACTTGGTGTCGCGCTCTGACATTGGACAAAACGGGCTTATATCCAAAATAGTCATCCATCTTTGCATGTGAACTTTGATTACAACATACGGGGTATAAGTCCCTCGGGCAGTTATCATGCGGCATCAGTCCCACCTCCCTGACTCTGACTCACGATGCCCCAGCTAGAGGAACACTCAGATAAAATTGTTGTCGAGGTCGCAGAAAAGTTCGACCCCGCCTCTTACTACGAGCAGGCTGCCGGTCGTTTGGTGATCGATCCTCAGTACGTGATCCAATCGCAATCTTGGCCTCTAGCGGCGAGTTAAGGACTAAGATCACACCTGCTTTTAACTTTAGGCAGGCAAAGGTCGAGTTTGGTGAGACACTGGCTTCGATGCTCAAACTGAGCCCCGACGGCTCCACGATTCTCTGGCCACAGCCTACTGACGATCCAAATGACCCACAGAATGTGAGAATTGTTTGCTATTTTGCTCTCAGACGAGCTAACTTTTGAAGTAGTGGAGTGATCGGCGTAAAGCACTGCACCTTCTTGTTATCACTCTGGCAGCCTGCATACCCGATTTTGATTCAGGAATTGGTGCGTCCGCGTTACGATGCTTGTTGTAGTGTCTGACGACATCGCTAGGAATTGCTTCAATCTTTGGATTGGCACAGACATATAGTACAACAACAGGTGTTATCAATAATCTCACATCCAAGTGCGCAGTTTTACATTCTTTGGTGAAGGGAAATCTTAACAATAGAATAGCTGGAGCATTTTCCTGCTAGGTGATTTCGGCTATTCAAGAGATGAAATCCCACAATTGGCTGATTCTTCCTCCTACAAGGATGGGGTGGGATCTTTTGGGTAATGCTCGTACGACGTTACGGTCGCCTTCCTGTGCTATTTTGGACACAGGCACGTATCTTTTTACGATCATTTTGTAGTGCTGGAATCACAGTCTGCATTTAGGTTTTTGCCCTTGCCTTCCTCGTTGGCGCTACCTTTTCACCAGATCTGGCTACCTTCGCAGGTAATATTTCATATGCGGTGAATAACCTGAATGCCGACACATTTCGTTTGAAAGGAATGCGCTGTTTGACAGCATTTTTTGGGTATGCACCTAATCTAAGTTTCTCAGTTAACAACGGTGATACTTATGGATAAGTAGGACATGTCCCCAAGTCACAGTACGTCCTACATGCCCTCATCCATGGTACCGTCATCTGAACTTGATTCAAGGGCCTGTATATTGTCACTGACATATTTCCATTCCATCTACAAGCTCGAAAGTTGAATATTTGGACCTTCGGATTTATCATGTATGTTATTAATGTGTTCATTGGCATTTAACACAATTCATGACTCAGCATAGATCCCCATTCTTATCGCCATTCGCTTTTGGCTTTCTCGTAGCACGTACGAGGTAAGTCTACCCTTCCCTAGATAAACAACTACTGATGCATGCACAGCTGGCGATGGGCCTATGGAATTGGATCATTCTACAGCGCCATCGTTGTACTCCTAATCGGTCTGTTCATGGAAGAGACGCAAGTTGTTTATACTTCACTACCCATCTTGTAAAATGCTACGTCATGATTAGGATGTACGACCGCCATCTGGATCCCGACCAACGACGAATATTACCAGGTGTACAATATCGACTCGAGACCCTGATTGGCATCACGGGGTATAAGATGGGCAAGTATCGGTCACGCTGGTCAGAGATTATATGGGCATGTTTGAACGTTGTATGGAGGCCTCAATTTTTCTTGGTTGCATTTTTTGAAGTGAGTTCGCAAATAAAGTATTTGGCAATGTCTCAACCTCACTGGTATTCATTCAAGACCTTTGTTTTCGGATTCTCAGTTGGTGTCAATGTGAGCTGCTTTTTGTTGCTTAAGCGTTCTTTGATAATTAAAGATGATAGGTGACGAATGTCGTTTTTATGGGCTCCCCTCCTCCAGTTGGTTTTGGATTCAGCCAATTTGGGGTTGCTGGTGCATACGCGACTCCGATCGTGAGCCTTACTGTTACTAGCAGATGCTAATGTGTTCATATCATGCTAGCTAGCGGTAATTCTAGGAGAGTTGGGTGGGCGATTCCTGAATGATCGAATTATGAACTTTACTGTTCGGAAGAATAAGGGTATATTCGAGGCTGAAAGTCGATTATGGCAGGTGCAGAATGTTGGTTGTCACCTATCAGCTACTGATCGGACGTGCGTACTGCAGGGCATGTTATGCAGCAATGCCACTATTCATCTGCGGCTTCTTGACATTGGGAGCTGGTGTTCAGCATTTGAATAAAATTGCATTTATCTTAGGATGGGGGATAGCGGAAGTAGCGGTCATGGTGAATACAGTTGCCATCTGTGAGCCGCGCTATCAATTGTGGATATTGTCTAAGTTGCTAACTCGTTTCAGATGCGTATTGTAATGATTGCTTCCCGCGGCGTCAAGGAGAAATTAGTGCTCTGCTCAACCTGGCGCGTGTGCTCGGTGGTAGGTACTCTCATTGCTTCTCTACATTTGACTACACATCATAATCTATTCACAGGCTTCAGCGTAGCATACTTCCAAGTCCCATGGGCGACAAAATCTGGTGGAATTCAGACATTTGGTGTTGAAGCAGCGTATGTACACACCAGAACAGCTCAGAACAGATTCTAACCAGTTCTAACCACATACCAGGATTGTGATGGGATTGTTTTTACTTGGCGTGCCGACAGTGCAACTGAAAGGGAGATATTTCCGGGTGCGTGACAATATCATGATCTGATGTCACCCTTCAACTTCCCGCTGGCGTTGTAGGAGCACTTCGCCTTATAACGCGATGCTGCTATTTCATAACTCCGGGGCGAGTCCCAGTATAAGAACTGTATTCTGCGAAGACGTTTGTACCAGTCGCGTTGGTATAGTTACCGCTGGAAGCATTAGAAACTTGGACTACAAGAAACAAGTGCACGGAATCTCCACCAGACTTAACAAAACCTTGAAGAAACTGTACAATTATCCAGAATGAAGAGAAAGCATGTCAGACAACACAACAAGCGAACTATGCCGGACGATAGACTTCAAATTGCAAGGTCACAAATAAGTCAAACTTTTTAAAAAAAACAGTCCTATGCTGGGTCACAGTGGGGAATCGATTCCGGCTATGTATGTAAAGGGTCCATAGAAAGATGTGCCATCACTGTTCGGGAAAAAAATAGTGTTCACACCACGAACGCAGCGAGACACAGAACACAAGTGACGAGTATGCTGTACTGTACGCTTGCGCCCAAAGTGGCTCCAGATGCAGTGGTGCTGCCTGGACTGGTCGTACTGTGTGTGCCGGAGGCATTGCCACTCGACCCGCTGGAACTCGAAGAGGATGATGACGATGGTGGGGCAGCTGTCGCAAGGTTGCTCACAGAAGCCCATGTTGCAGCGGTGTTCGTACTCGTGTTACCCTCAAGGTAAGGGAGGTAAGACACGGTGCCATTGCTTGTGAGCTGCACAAGAGCTGTGACGCCGGCGAAGTATGTCGCTTTGGAGTCTTTGGTAGTGGGCGCTGCTAGGGCCTGAGTGGTGTTTGTCTGCAGATTCATTAGTAGTGAGAATAAGTTAGTCAAATTAGGGGCCGTACCTCAACATTGATTATGTACGTGGCGGAGGAATCTGCAGGAATAAAGGCGAACTCTTGCTGGACCTTTCAACTACATGAGGATGTATCTCAGATACAAAAAGGTATAGGGCTTACTGTGTTGTCTGCCTGGAAGAATGAGGTGACTTGCCCGTAAGTGGCAGGGAATGTGCTCCCATCTGAGAGTGGATAAGCCTGGGGCTGCGGTTGGAAGTAGGAGTCTGGTGCTACTGTTAGTGTCTCTTCCTCTGACGATAAGAATACATTAACGCACAGTGAATGACGAAAATGTCTGCGCTCCCAGCAGGGACGCTGGGGACGTCTAGAAAATGAATGTGATTTTGCGCAAGAGCCATGACTGGAACGTAGCCCGAGGGGTACGGCGCCTGTTCATCGTTGACCCAGTTTAATGGCGTACTATTGGCCGCATTGAGTAAACCCATATCTAGAGAGAAGAGGTTTCCCTGTGACAACGCATCTGTGACGGCATGTCAACAAAACAAGGTACGTGGAAACGGCATAAACTTACAGAAGACGTTTGTGTCATGGTCCAGAATAGCACCAAAAGATGTATAGTCGAAAGAACCAGCTTCGACAGCCTGCATGGACCATGATTTTGCAGCCGCGTTGTAGATGTAAACAGACGAAGGATTTTTGGAGTCGGCATTGATCGTATAGATCGCATTGGCATACTATTAATGGGAAATTAGCCCGTTGTCAAAAGCTACAATTGTGCACGCTCTGACTCGCCTGGGAGAGATAGCATGTAGTGTTAGCTGCATCAAATGGCCTGCGAGGGAGAAGTGTAAGCGCAATACATGGATGAAGAAAAGTACTGACGGTCGGTTGGACGCTGTGATGTCTGTGGCTGCAGTGCCTGTATAAACAGAATGTCAGGCCTCTAGATTTTATAACGACAAGAAACTGACTGCTGGACCAGGTGTCTTGGGTGCCCGCGTTCCAGTCTTTGCCGTTCAGGCCGAAAGCAAGGAGGTTCCAGTTGGCGTCAAAAGTAATGCATGGGGATGCTCGGACTGTTGCCGAAGACAAGAAAAAAAGAGAGGCGAGGGTGAGCAAGAACATTATAGTCAAGTATAGAGGAAAAGTTAAAGAAAATATGAAATTGAACGAGCTACCGGTGTAGTTGCTCCGCTCTCATTAGGTAAGATCTTAGCTAAGTCAAAATGCTGAATTCGTCACCTATACACCAAAACACCTACATTGTAGACCGTAAGGCGGTCGCAAGTACATACTTAGATGCGCAACGAAGTAACCAAGGAATTACATAAGGTTGTCTAACTCTAATAACCCTCCCTGGTCTTCGAAATCGAGAAGTTGTAGAGCGCCAATTATAAAGCAAAACGTGCCTGGTATTCGATGCACAGATTAGATGCTGTAAGTCAAATGAAAAGAATCATACGTACTCGAAAGTAGCTTCCCTTCAGTTGTGTCATAGGAACAGCAATTAAAAACATGGTGATCACAAGTCTTTAAAAAACGTCAGGCGCTTCAAGTGTGTCGAGCAATATCACTTGCGCTGCTTCAACACCAAATACCGTCAATGCTCCAGATTTTGTAGCCCATGGGACTTGGAAATATGCGACTGCAAAACCTACGCCACAATCGTGAATGTTGGAGTAATCATGCGTCGTTGCAACTCACCACCCACTGATCTTGCAAAGTTTAAGAGGGCACTGACTTCGCCCTAAAAGTGGGAGGACGTGTCACTGAAATGCAAATAAGTATGTATGCATCACTCACCGCCCTGCGAGGGAAGCAGTCACTGCAGTATGCATCTGATAATATTCCTTGAATTATCCCGTGACACTCGAAGAATTTAGATCCCAGACTTACACACTGCAACAGTGTTGAGGGTGATTGCAACAAATGCAATGCCCCAGCCCATGATGAGAGCGGCTTCGCTGAGATTTTGTATCCCAGCACCCAGTGTCAAAAAGCCACAGATATAAAGCGGCATGGCTAAATAACAGGTCCTACACAAACTCTCAGCTCTAATCATCTGTGAAAGACCATCAGTGGAATTTGCGTACCACAAGCGGCTCTCAGCCTCGAAGAAGCCACCATTTTTGCGAATATTCAGATTCATGATGAAGTCATTCACGTGACGTCCAATGAACTCGCCAAAAAGGACAGCAACCTAAACACTTCAAGCTAAGTACAGTAGTCATGCACACTTCGTAGATGGGAAAAAAACTTGCAATTGGAGTCGCATACGCTCCAGCAACGGCATATTGACTGAAGCCAAATCCGACGGGAGGAGGAGATCCCATGAAGACAACATTTGTCGTCTACAAAGATTGTCAAGTCTATTACTGCAGGTCAAAACGGAAACGCTCACATTTACACCGATCGAGAACCCGAAAACCAATGCCTTTCGAAAAGGTCAGCAGATGTAGTAAGTGTGGTCAGCAAATTACTTCATCTTACCTCAAAGAGAACTACGAAGAAAAACTGAGGACGCCAAGCGACATCCAAAGATGCAAATAGAACCTCCGACCATCGTGATCTGTATTCCGCCATCATGTACCCAGTGACACCTATCAAAGTTTCAAATCGATATCGCAATCCTGTGGAAGTTCGCGGTGGCTTCGATATGAGGCGACGATCGTACATACTGGTTCATCAAAGTCAACGCCATTACCCCAAGAAGAAACAGTATATTAGAACCTACGTTTCTTCCATGAAAAACGCAATAAGAAACAATACGATGGCGCTGTAGATAGATCCTATACCATAGGCCCACCTCCAGCTATCCAATGATTGGTGAATATTCCGAATCAAGAACAGCGTAAGACGTACCTCACACGCGCCACAAGAAAGCCAAATACAAATGGTGATAGGAAAGGAGATCTATGAGATAGTGAGAAATGTCTCTCCCGCTAAAATAATTCGTTTTCTGACATAACAAAACCGGAAGTCCAGATGTTCAACTTCCGTGCTTGAAGATGGAAGGGGAAGATATCCGTCACGACATAAAGACCCTTAGAGGTTGGTAAATGTTGGGACTATCACGAGAATTGCTACCAAACATACTGTCACCTGGGGACACGTTCTGAAACCGCAGTCAGCTTAATGCAAGCACAAAGAAACACGAGGACTTGCCCAAAGAATGCAGTCAGACACCGCATTCCTTTATCAACAGTTAACAGTGTCCGACAAATACCACACTAACGTGTGAATACCTGCAAAGGTGGCTAGATTCGGTGCCAATGTGGCGCCAATCAAGAATGCAAGCGCAAAAAGCTGTGCTCATAGGTTTCAGGGTTTATATATTGGCCAGATTACGGGAGTTATATACCTGACTCCAGAAGAGCACTGGCAGCCGACCGTAGCGTCTCATGAGCATGACCCAGAAGATGCCTCCCCAACCTAGACTACAGATGAGAAGAGGCTATTCCCACGTAATGGTGTAATCTCACCCAGAAGGAAGATGCTCCAGCTTCAACAAGCTGCCATTGAATATGAGTTGAACGAACAATGCATTACGCACTTTGATGTTAGATCATTGATGACACCTGAGGTCGTATCATAAGTTTGAGCGAGCCCAAATATTGACGCGATTCCTGTCAATAAATGCATTTCACAATGACACCACTATGGATGTTGAGCGAGGGCGAAATACATACCAATTCCAGAGTCGAAGTCAGGTATGACTGCAGACATTGTAATGATGATCAAGTGCATAGTCTTGCGGAAATCGGTCCACTACAAATGGATAGATCAGCGTTAGTCGACATGATAGTGAGAAATGACGAGCGTTTTGCGGATCGTTCGGGTCGTTGGCGGGCTGAGGCCAGAGAACTTTCAACCCATCAGGGCTGAGCTTAAGCCTAGAAGCCATTACCTCCCCAAACTCGACCTTCGCTTGTCTAGTAGATTACGGGTGAGTAACGATGGACTCAGGATAGCGAGCAACAACCACATACTCGGGGTCAACTACTAAACGACCACTAGCCTGCTCATAATAAGCAACAAAGTCCAGCTCATCGGTGACATCGACTTCGACTGAGTCATCTGCCTTCGTTTCTGACTGCTGCCGCTGGGAGTCGACATCTTCTAAAGCCATTGGTAAAGGTGAGAGATGGGAAGCGAACAGTCAGGTGTCGCCATTCGGTACCCATGATCAATTTAAAGCGCAGTACTCACAATGACGGTATCTCTTTTAATCTCAGGCAGGCGCAGATTGTAAGAGAGGGATCCGGATTGGAAACACAGTTATTGACAAACCAAGCTTGATGATGAGAGCGTTTACTATGCAACTGGTTTGCAGTGCTAGCGTTGACATATCTGATGCAAGAATAATACGTTTTGTCGAGGACCTAAAGTCACGTGATCTCGATCGCCTTCCCGATCGCGCGGAATCCCGGCGATGAAAAGTGGCAGGGGTAGGCGCGTGTTGGTCGAGTTCGCACCTGCGGCTGGCCCTGAACAAACACTTAACTTGACACAGCGCCCATGCCTCCGTGCGGCATAGGCCTACGGGAAATAGGCTTGTATCACTGAACTGAAATATTATTGGTTCCCAGTCATTCGCCCCAGCAGAAAGGGACTGACCTTGAAAGCTTGATGCGTCATCATATCTCCCAGGCTATCCCAGAAAGGATGTGGTCGCGAAAGAGTTGCTGCGCAGGACCTCGACAATATTTACTTTTCATTAAACTCGCTCCTACTTCGTCCACCCCTGCCTCCCGGCCGTGCCACTAATAACCAGGGCTGTAATTTAACTATGTCATCAAAGGAGAGTTTTACGACGAGCAGCCTCTCGCTGAACCTGAATGAGGACTGGGACCGCTCAAGTGATATTATTGTGCCTCAGACGCAGGTACCACGAAATTCTGTGCTGTTTCCGGGAGAACAAGCGCGGGATAACTGCAGCACACCTGGGGCAAATGGGAGTAGGAAAAGCAGGTCCCTGAGTGAGCTCATGCGACTCCATGCCGAGAAGGGGACCGATGTGACCTTTAACGTCGAGGAAGCGAGTCGTGTAGCAGATGTTCTCAAGCAGTGGGTGAGTCTTTTAGAATCATGAGGCACCGTCTCCCCCACTTAATGTATGGCTCATTGAATGTTATGGCACAGATAAATTCTGGAACTTCTCCATATGAGGGCGAGGATGACTTCTTCTCTCGTGCAAACGATGATCTATCACTTGGAGTAAAACGTTCATTGCAATCGGGTCCGGGAGACTTCAGTGGCCGAACGAGAGGGCAGAGCGAAAGCGTTGTCTCGCGTTAGTCTTCGCTGAGATCGCTTTCAGTTTGCTTTCCAATGTCCATCTCTTTCATAGCCCTTTAGACGACAATTTACGACCTCTGACGATACTGATGACTTCATGACCATATACTCTACTCTGCGAGATCAGCTATACTACTTAGTTACTTCGTAGTCCTTCTCAAATTCTTCGATTTGCAACTCACGGCTGTGACCCGGTTCACCCGTGCCACTGAGTATATTCGGCTATGTACTGCTGATGTGACGTAATCAACAAACTTGGTATAGTCACGTGCGATGTGAACCGTGCAGATCTTGGACAAACCACATCAGACCGCGTCAAATGTGAAACTTACTATTAGACGAATGCTGAAGAGTCCGAGAAAGAAGAGTGCGACGGTAAGTATTTTGATGTGCAACATGTACATGATTGCTTACGAATCAATAGCCATCACGTCCGCCGCGGAGGAATGGATCGAGGCAGACCAGTGTAAAGAGGGAGCCACCGGAGATCGACTTAACTGCAATAAGACCCCCCAGCCCAACAGAGGACCCGCTTCTATTGAGTGCAAGACGTTTGACGTCAACGTCAAGGTCTAGATTGACCCCTGTCTTCTCAAGCTCTTCACCGTGTAGGCATTCCAATGTTCACGACACCCAGTCGGGGGAATGGACAGATACCGAATCAGAAGGCGAGGGAGAGTTCACAGGGCGTTTCAAGATGTTTCAGGTGCCCACGAAAGCGGACCCGCCGACGAGTGGGACAAAGGCGCGCATGGAGGAGTGGGGTCGGCCAGTCAGCCCATTTCCGTACGAGGCACGACTAGACAGGAGCTTGCCTGATCCAGAGGATATGGAAGTTGCAGATAGTGAGAATGAGGTCATGGAAGAAAATATCTTGGATGCATTGGATTTTGAGAGCGTGTTTGAGGACATTGTGGAGGTGCCACCTGCGTCAGACGATCTATCCAGCGATTCACCAACCAGTGATCATATCAGGGTAGAAGAGAGTGAAGATTCAGATGTGGACGTTGAAAGCAACGTAGTACGCATCACGGGTAGCGATCCAAAGGCTGCAGCGAGAGCCGCCGCGATTTTGAAATTAGTAAGTATCTCCCGCTTCAATCTCCACAAGCTGAAGTTTTTGATCAAACAGCATGACTACGATTGTGTACTGGCTTCTTCCAAGCGCGGTGCTGCCCGCAAGTCGCGCACAACCTTCCTTGGTGCAGGCGTTGGGAAACACCGCAGCTCGATACAGAGCCGGCGTGCGATCCACAGGGGAGATTCGACGCCGTGGTGCGATGTCGAAGATATCATGCAGGACATCACCTTCATCGAGCAACATACACCTATAAAACTGCCCCCTCGGATCAGTATTGGACACACTGGAAAGCGAGTGTCTCGTCCTTCGAGTGTAACATGTGCCCAACCTTCGTATAGACCCAAGGCGGGCGAGTGGAGGCGTGAAGACTGGAGGCTTTTGGATAAATGTTTTTTTGAGGAGTGCTATCTCAACGGAGTTATCATTGCGCCGAAGGAGGTTAACAGGGAGGCGGTGGTGATGCGATTTCAATGTCTCGCTGGAGGTCCCGATGTTGTAATGGGGCTGGGCCCCCCCTGGAGTTGGTTTGTACTTTTTCATAGTTTTTGCTGTCCCAGCTGAGCTGACACTTACTCAGGGAGAACTTGCTAGCGAGAGTAGACGTGCTCATCAAAAAGCGGGCTGCACGAACCGATCTGTCAACACTATCTTTTACCAGCTTCGCATCCCCAGATGTATCCACGCTGGCGAATTTCACCTCTACGCCGGTTTCCCACTCGCCACGGTACCGTGACCTCTTCGACAAAGCCAGTGCCATTGACGCAATGAATGTTCCCATATATACATCATCTTACGCAGCTAGGTCTCAACCGACCATTGTACCACCAAATCATCTAGCGGAAAAAACAGGTTTCTTTTCCAGGCTTCCAACATGGGCATCATTTCTTTCTCCCGGTGTACATATTAAACCTGACGATCACCCCGACTGCCCTCCCTTACCTCCTCCGCCCACAGATATCATAGACCGTCGCAAGCCCATCATGACACCAGCGCGAAAAATTTTGGAGCAGCATAAACCGCACAAGGATTTTGTAAATCTTCGCCATACTTCACCTCTACAAAAGCGCGCACAGCTGCGCAGGAACAAGCCAAAGCGTCTCGTGGAGCTCCGTCACATATCGCCGGAGCCTGTGCAACGCGTACTCGTAGGTGATCGCGAGGCGAGACGGAGTAGCAGTGGTAGCGTCAAGGATCTGATCCAATGTTTTGAGGGGACGAATGATCTTGCTGGTGAAGGAGGTTCTATACAGATCTCTCCAGGTGCTGTACAAAGCAGGCTTCCTTGGAAACCATAACTATGCATTTAGACCGGAATATTAGGATAATCAACTTTGTAATTGGGCATTAGAATACACAGCAAGAACAAATGTTTGAACGACGAAAGTCGCTGATGTACGACAAAACAATTACAGCTGATTCCGAAACTATGCGGAATCGCAAAATCAAAACTTGAGCGTCGGAAACGGCCGAACAAGGACCCCGTAAGCATACTGTGAGATTTGCGCTGCGCAGCGTCTGTGTCGTTCATTAATGCCGCCACGCACTGTTTCGAACGATCTAAAGGCTCAAATCCCTGTTCTCCGTCAACGTGGGCACTCCATTAAACATATCTGCCATCTACTTGGAGTAAAAAAGACTCTTGTGTACAAGGTTTTACAGCTCTGTCCCTTGACTTGAAGTTTACAGCACTCTTGTATCCACAGCAAGCATACAGGCCGGCATCACACCCTCACCATTGATGACATTGCCTTCATCACTGCCATTCTTCATCGCCACCCTACTATTTATCTCGATGAGCTACAGCATGAATTGCACTCTTGCTGTGGTGTGCTTGTGTCTCTGCAAACACTTCTTCACACATTTTTGCAGTTGCATTTCAAGTGCAAATGCATTTCTGCTTATGCTCTTGAACGGAACGAATCCACATTTTTCATGTCAACAAATATTTTCACCTTTGGAGGCTCTTCAGAGATGAGTTTCTTTGCCATTTCTGCATAATCAGCTTGGTTGTTGACATCCATTGCTTTGGCATGTCTATAAACAACCACTGTGAGATAAGTTTAATTTCTATGAATAATACAAAGATCACTTGCCCATGGGAGTTGCCAAGGAGGTACTTGAAAGTGTATTTTTTCCTCTCAGTGATCCTATAGTGTGATTTGTCATGCTTCATGAGAATTGTTGTCAGAAATTTGATGTAGTTGGACTCAGAGACTTGAAAGACCAGTTCCTTGACTTTTGTAGATTTCACTTCCTTGGTTTTTGCTTTGCCATTATTTTCAGTAGTAGTCTTGGTGTATGTATCAAGGTAAATAATGAATGTTGCCATGAATCCAGGTGTCTCTGGGGAGGAATCTGATGGCAATGACATCATCTTTCAGTGAATTGCATATACTACACTAGGGCTACTACAAATCTCGCAGTCATGTGCTTACGGGGTCCTTGTTCGGCCATTTCCGACGCTCAAGTTTTGATTTTGCGATTCCGCATAGTTTCGGAATCAGCTGTAATTTAATTAATTTACAAGGGAAGCAAATTTGGTCAAGGGCAACTCGTCGAGTACTACTCCTGTAATATGACAATGGCATGCTTAACAGCAACGAAAGAATTCATGCATATGCAGAGTACTGTAGGAATCCACTCAATTTGACACCCCTATCTGCGTCGTAGCTCACTTGTGTCATCAAACGGAAATTCCCTTGCACAATCAACGCTTAATGCCTCAGAGCAATCCACTGCGTCCTCGAATTTGAATTCTACCGTTGGCACTCTCGTTTCTGCATCGGCGCCTCCGCATCAGTCCTCCCTGTACAGATCGTCCACATTGGACCTCGCAAGCTCCTGTGACATGTGCGTGGACCAGGATGGTACCAGCGAGAATCTGTTCCAGACTGCCAAATTTCGCTGTAGCGGAGGGTATCCGGACGCAGCTATCGTTGGTGCGAAGGGCAAGAAAGTCTTTACGCAGCCACTGTCAACGAAGAACGTCATGACACCTATTCGGAAACAAAACCTAAAGTCCCCGCTCTGACCTCCTCGTTCATTGAGGGGCAAAACTACAGATCATATCAGGGAGTTTCCGATAGGGCCGCACGGGGCTGTGGCCACGCGTTATTATGTAGGTATATTGCCCCTGCTAGCGATGATGAAACGTGGATTGTTGTCACGATTAGCGTAGGCGTGGTATGTGCGTGATGTTCGGCTCGCAGGTCAAATTTTGGGAGAATACAAACGACGTGTCCGGGTACTCGACGACACCCACGTTCCAATCTTTTGCCCGAACGTTTGCGAGCTTGGCCTTGAAGCCTGAAGCTCGATTCCTTATGTGCTTGGTGTGTAGTTGAGGTACTTGGGTACCCGGACCTGAGGTTATGTCAGAGCGTAAATGGCCAAATGAAATATCGCTGTGAATGCATGATAAGATGAGAAGCCTAGCGAAGCTAAAAGCGTAAGCGATAGAATCGCAGCGAGCGTCGCTCCGAATATGCTGCACGTCGTTCCGAGTATCGACAGATCTTTCTTCACTATTCGGATTGAAATTTGTATGTGATACGATTTGTATGGTTCGATAGTACTTAGTGGTTCGAGTGTGGCTGTGCAAATTTTAGATCGTGTGAACATTGGGGTATATAATAAAAAGGTCAGATATGTCGGCCCATCAGATAAACATCGTTTCCTCTTACAATGTCTTCGAAAGGTCTGCCTATCGTTATCACCGTACTACATATACTAACATTGATCATAGCAATCAGAGAATACGACGCAAAGCTTCTCTTGGCCTATTGGCTTCAACGCGCACCTGCACCAAACCCAAACTTCGCACCTTCTCCATCTTCTACTCTTAAGTTCCCCGCTCCACGCGTAGCTCAGATTTTATGGGATTCTGCCAGTGATTCGATCACGCCCGATACCCTTCTCCCATCTTGGGTATCCACGACAAAACTCGTCGCAAAGCCAGATCAGCTTATCAAACGTCGAGGCAAGGCAGGCTTGCTCGCTCTCAACAAAGACTGGCAAGACGCCAAGAAGTGGATCCAAGATCGCGCAGGGAAACCTCAGAGGGTAGGTCGTTATCTGATCTAATCGTATTTCCTATATTAAGCATTTCTCCCACAGGTCGAATCAGTCACAGGCACTCTTAGTTCCTTCATCGTAGAGCCTTTCCTCCCTCATCCGTCAGACTCTGAATATTACATCTGCATTACTTCAGCACGTGATGCAGACACCCTCCTCTTTACCACTTCGGGCGGTGTCGATGTAGGCGACGTCGACGCAAAGGCACTCAAACTCGACATTCCCGTCCTCGGTCCTTTCCCAAGTCGCGCTGATCTCCAGAGGACCCTCCTTCGCGATGTCCCAGCGCACAAGAAGGAGGTCCTCACCGAGTTCCTCGTCAGACTCTACTCTGTCTACGTAGATCTACACTTTGCTTACCTCGAGATCAATCCTTTGGTCGTCCTCGATGACGGCTCCATCCACTATCTCGATATGGCTGCAAAACTCGATCAGACCGCCGAGAGCATCTGCGGACCAAAGTGGGCTGTCGCACGAGACTTGACAGTATACGAGACCGCTCCAGCTGCATCTACCACTGGCTCAAAGGTGAACGCTGACCGTGGTCCACCCATGGCTTGGCCCGCTCCGTTCGGCAGGGATCTCACAAAGGAAGAAGGTGCATAATTTGTCCATGACCATCATGTCGTACTCATTATATATAGCATACATTCAAAAACTCGACGCTTCAACCGGTGCTTCTTTGAAGCTCACTGTCCTCAACCCCACTGGTCGTGTCTGGACAATGGTTGCAGGTGGAGGTGCATCAGTCGTCTACAGCGACGCCATCGCAGCAGCGGGTTTCGCACATGAACTTGCCAACTACGGTGAATACTCTGGTGCCCCAAGCGAGGGCCAAACATTCGAATACGCCAAGACCATCCGTACGTGTCCCATCAATTCAATCTAATGATACTAACCTACATCTAGTTGACCTGCTCACCCGTCCACCTCCTCGTCCCGACGGCAAGGTCCTCATCATCGGTGGTGGTATCGCAAATTTCACCAACGTCGCTGCAACTTTCAAAGGCATCATCCGCGCACTCACATCTTACAAAAACCAACTCATCGCACACAATGCCAAGATTTACGTCCGTCGCGGCGGTCCCAACTGGCAAGAAGGTCTTAAAGCCATGCGTTTACTTGGTGAGTCCATACCACGCATACGTTGATATTGACGTCGCCACTAACACTAACACTCAGGCGAATCCCTCGGTGTGCCCATTCGTGTCTTCGGTCCAGACACCCACATCACCGAAATCGTGCCCCTTGCCCTGGGTCTCAAATCCACAACAAGCGCAACAGCGCCCATAAGCATCCCTGCTACCGCACCCGGCTCCCCCAAGATCTCGCCCGCAGCTCCCGAGCCCGGGGCCAGTGATGTCGGGACCATCCACGCAGACGGCGAACGCACTCAGCCCAACGACGTTGTGGTTCGCTTTGATTCCCTTGACGGCACTAAGGGCTCCAGGCCCGCATACAGGCCTTTCGACGAAGACACCCGAAGCTTCGTCTATGGTCTCCAACCACGTGCCATCCAGGGGATGTTGGACTTTGATTACAGTTGTAAACGTGCCCGCCCCTCTGTGGCTGCTATGATTTACCCCTTTGGTGGACACCACATCCAGAAATTCTACTGGGGCACACGCGAGACTCTTCTCCCTGTATACACCTCTCTCGAAGAAGCCGTCAAGAAGCACCCCGACGTCGACGTTGTCGTCAACTTCGCGTCTAGCAGAAGTGTGTATAGCAGTACGATGGAGTGTTTGGGCTATGAGAGTATCAAGGCCATTGCATTAATCGCCGAGGGTGTGCCAGAACGCCAGGCAAGGGAGATTCTGTGGAAGGCAAAGGAGAAGGGCGTGCTGATTATCGGGCCTGCTACTGTTGGTGGAATCAAACCTGGCTGCTTCAGGATCGGAAACTCTGGAGGGTGCGTGCGTTCATTTTTGCTTGACTCGCGCTGATATGAATGTCTCCTCACAGCATGATGGATAACATTATCGCCTCTAAGCTCTACCGCCCCGGCAGCGTCGGTTACGTCTCCAAATCCGGAGGAATGTCCAACGAACTCAACAACATTCTCAGCCTCGTCACAAACGGCACCTACGAAGGTATCGCCATTGGTGGTGACCGGTACCCCGGCTCAACCTTCATCGACCACCTCCTCCGCTACGAAGCCGACCCCGGATGCAAAATGCTCGTCCTTCTCGGTGAAGTCGGCGGTGTCGAAGAATACCGCGTCATTGAAGCTGTCAAGTCTGGCAAGATCAAGAAACCCATCGTTGCATGGGCGATCGGGACCTGCGCAAGCATGTTCACTACCGAGGTCCAGTTCGGACATGCAGGGAGTATGGCCCACAGTGATAGTGAGACTGCGGCTGCTAAGAACAAGGCTATGCGCGAGGCAGGCTTCATCGTGCCAGCTACCTTTGAGGAGCTCCCTGCTGCTCTGAAAAGCACATACGAGGCCCTTGTCGCCCAGGGCGTTATCGTCCCCAGTAAAGACGTCGAGCCGCCTGTGATTCCCATGGATTACAAATGGGCACAAGAGCTGGGGCTTATCAGGAAGCCGGCTGCATTTATCAGTACGATCTCTGACGAACGTGGGCAGGAGCTGCTCTATGCGGGCATGCGTATTTCGGATGTCTTCAGAGAAGATATCGGCCTTGGAGGAGTCGTCTCCCTTCTCTGGTTCAAACGCCGTCTTCCTTCCTGGGCGACCAAGTTCATCGAGATGGTGCTCATGCTCACTGCAGACCACGGCCCAGCCGTCAGTGGTGCCATGAACACCATCGTCGCTACTCGTGCAGGCAAGGACCTCATCTCGAGTTTGGCGAGTGGCTTGTTGACGATTGGGAGTCGGTTCGGTGGGGCGCTCGACGAGGCTGCTAGTATGTTCAGTGGGGCTAGGGATACCGGGTTGACGCCAAGGGAGTTTGTGGATAATTCTAGGAAGGCGAACAAGCTTAGTGAGTATCTCTTTCGGAATCTGTTATAAACTCGAGACTGACTGACGCGCACAACAGTCTCTGGTATCGGCCACAAGATTAAATCCGTGAATAACCCCGATCTCCGTGTCGAGCTTGTCAAGGAATACGTGAGGAAGAATTTCCCAAGCCACTCACTTCTTGACTACGCGCTTGCTGTTGAGAAAGTAACCACGAGCAAGAAAGATACTGTGCGTCCCTTCATCCTTTGCCAAGCCAAAATCAAAACTAACACACTCTAGCTCATCCTCAACGTCGACGGCTGCATCGCCGTCTGCTTCGTCGACCTCCTGCGCGACAGCGGTGCCTTCACCCCTGAAGAAGCTGACGAATACATCAAGATCGGGACCCTCAATGGTCTCTTCGTCCTTGGTCGCAGCATCGGTTTCATCGGGCACCACCTCGACCAAAAGAGGCTCCGTGCACCGCTCTACAGACACCCTGCTGATGATATCTTCATCAACATTGCCGATTTGAGTCAGCCGAGGGTGTTGGGGAAGATGCAGTGATTGGTGCGTGTCGATTGGATTTGGTCCTGGATTTGGCGTTGTGAAGTTAAGTGAACTCGAAGCCGAGCCGCCGCGCCGTTGTAAAATGAAGACTATTAAGACATACATAATCATTACGAACTCAACTTCGCAGTTTGTTGTTTCTGTACTCAGTACTCATGGATTCGGAGATGGTTTAGAATAGGTAGCATGAACGCATTTCATACTGTTTGCAATGGATAGATTCCCTCGTGAATTTACGTGAAGGAGTCATTTAGCGATTTAAATAATATTTGTTCTCGAGTCTTGACTCCCATGTTCAGTTTTGTCAACTGCTCCAACACTGTAGGAGGTTCATTTTATCTTTGTATCCAACCTGAAAAGTTGTATGGATGCCTTCACAATGATATTGCACTCACTTCACAGCATGAGGCTCTGTGTGTAGTTCATACCTATTCCATGATGTGAGTGAGTGGTGGTAACTCAGGGTTCGAGGCATTGGCACATGCCCATGGGATGACTGAAGTATAGTTCATCATCCCTGTTGCATGTGCTGCGGTACTGTTAGTGTGTTGAAACAGATTACAGTCTAAAGATGAGCTGTGATATCATGAGCATGAATCATACATGGATGGTTTACACCAGTGTTATTCTAGACTGCAATCTAAGAGGTGCTACAGGTGGGGTGCAAGCTCACATATCACTTGACCTGTGAGAAAATTTCAAGACAGGTTGCTCATGAACTGATCTTGCACTAAAGCAATTTTGGTCAAGCTTGGGGGTGGCACTGGTACATATAGGGATTCTGAGGCCTTACATGTGGCCTGTGCAAGTTACTATTCAATACACTGCACTGACAACGTCATTGAACCTCCTGATCTTGATGCTTGCTGATGGATTGGATTTGACAAAGGTGCCTGTGAATATGGCATGCACTCCTTGGTTATATCCTAATGAGAGCTTGGCTTAATTCATTTGTGACCCCTCCCATTTGTAAGACTTGTTGAAGCCATGATTGAGCTCTGTTAAGAACCATGCTCAAAGGGGAGAGAAACTGACTCAGAGGGGCTTGGCCTCAGCTCGTACACTGTGTCCCTTACCCAAGTATGTGCCCTTCATTTCAGAGGAAGTCCAATGATGGTCCGACAAAGTCCAGAGGACTTCCGGAGGCTGGCTACTCTGGTGGAGAGTGCAGGAGGACTTCCGGAGGAGCATGGGAAATGTCTGGAGGAGCGCAGGAGAGTTCCAGAGGAATGCAGGAAATGCTCAGGAGAGTTCCCACTGCAAGGTAATACTTCTACAGGAAATCAGGATGGAAGGATAGGAGGTCTGGAGGACAAGATGTCTGGAGGTCTGGAGTATGGAGGACAGGAGGTCCGGAGGTATGGAGGATGGAACATCCAAAGGTACAGAGGGCGGAACGTCTGAAGGACAGGATGCCTGGAGGTATGAGGGACAGGACGTCTGGAGGTACAGAGGACAGGATGTCCAGAGGTCTGGAAGGAATAGGGGCTACATTGGACAAAGTCCGATGTAGAAGCAAACAGAGGTAGACTACCCTCAGGTAGAGTCGGAGGGACAGGAAGTGGACTAAAGTCCAGAGAGAGGGTAAGTGCCAGAAAGGCAAGACTCTAGCCTAGGAAAGCAATCCCTAGACTTGGGACAGAGACATAGGGGACAAATCCAAAGGTCTGGAATTCCAGCCTAGGGAGTCCATCCCTAGGCCTTATGGAAAAGGACACACTCAGATGGACTGAAGTCCAGAAGAAGATTGGGCAAGTAGAACAGGATCTAAGATGATATTCAGACTGAGGACTCTACTGTAGTTGTACAGGGGTTATATACTAGAGGCTATCTGAGAGGATCAGTAAGCAACAGAGTAAGGCTATGTACAAGCATGTGGAAACACATTGGTAAGTAAGATGGAACATAAGTAAATGAACTCAGAGATGAAACTAGTACAAGGATCAATCAGCAAGACAGAAACAGAGATAACCAAGAACTGGAAAGGTGGAGATGCCTAAATGGGCATAGGTGCAGGATCCAGGATGGAGGGTGGGAATAGGTCCAGAGATAGTAACAGTTAATATCCGGAGGTCTGGAGATCTGGGGATCCAGAAGGCAGGGCAGGAACAGGACTGAGATATGTGAGGTGGTGGATGTAGTCTGGAATCCGAGAGGAGGTAAAGTCCGGATGTCTTGCTGGACAGAATGTGTGTAGGGTGGACAGGATAGGGGATCCAGGAATGAGTCAGATATGGGGTCCAGAAACAGGTCTGGAAAGCATGGGAATATGATGGGATCTATGTCTGGCATACGGGATATGACAAGCTCTCAACTCCTGCCCTGTGTATCTCTTGTAATTGATGAATGTAGGGGGTCTGTTGAGGTCATGTGCTCAAGGGGGGTTGGATCACAAGGGCTTGGCCTCAGCTCATATGCTGTGC